AGATAATTTCGATTAATTCGGGGTAAAGTGCCTGGCCACTTAACTGAAAAGAATTATATGACAATGAAGATATTTTTGTAATTATATTTTTCTTTTAGTTATCTACCCATATAATTCAGTTAGTTTTACTATTAATCTACTTTTGAAGACATAATATTTAAACGACGCTCTAAACGTCAGTTACCTTTACAAGGTACAACAATCTAAATTTTTTTGACATAGGTACCTTAGGGACCGTTACCCACCTATTACATCTAAACAAACTATATTATACTGCTTTTATTGACCTTGGGTCAATAAATGTTGAATATTTCCTAACAACTTTTGACGCCTCAGATTTTTCTTAGTATAAAACCGACTTGCCACGTTCAGAGGTCAGTTACAACCGGACTTCCGATAACACACCACTGGCATTGAAAATACCTTCAACATGAGGGCTATTTTGGTACTAGGAGTTCTGTGCCTTGTGGTGGCATGTACCGCCTACAAAATCGACGACCAGGCAGTCGCTGCAAGTCACCACGAACATGGCGGTGGTCACGACCACCATGCTCATCACCACCATGAACATGGTGATAAAGGACACAAGGGACATAAAGGTCATCACCATCATCACAAAGGTGATGAGGGACATTATGGAAAACATCACCATGAAGGGCATCACCACGAAGATGGAGGCGGGCACAAGAAACACTGGGATGAACACGACCATCACGGAAAACATCACGAACATGGCCACCATCACAAAGGTGAAAAGCATGGACATCATGAACACCACGATAAAGGAGAAAAAACCGACGGCTACCACAAGAAGTATCACAAGGACCACTTCCACAAGGATCACCACTTCCACGATGGCCACCATGATGAGGGCAAGCATCACAAACACGGGCACCATCACGGACATCATGAAAAACACGAAGGTCACCACAAGAAGGGAGGACATCACCACTCCGGTCATCATGAGGGGCACCACGGCAAACACGGCCATCACGATCACGGTCACTACGATGAGGGCCATCACGGCCACAAAGGCCACCACGGCCATGAAGAACATGACCATCACCATCACGAACATGGCAAGAAAGGTGGGCATGAAGACCACAAAAAATGGGGATTCCATCATGGAAAACATTAAATCTTTTCTAGACCCTACAAGTTACAGTGTACATATTCTGATATAGCAGTTGTTAATGCTCTATTTTAATTGTTATTGTTTTTATGTTTTATACTTTAATTAAAGCTCGACTCAGTCATTTTGTTTTTGTAACTTTCTACTTATGATAACATCGCCCCTTGTTTGCCTCGAATTAGCATTTAAAGGATAAAAACCATCCCTGAAAGTAATATACAGGTATCATAGAAAAATCCATATAGGTAATGCTTAATTGCCATAGTAGGCATGCCTTTTAAGTTCTGTCGTTTCCATATTTCCCGGCAATTTTGAATTTGGAACTGTTCTATATTCGAATGTGTTTAAATTTTAAATCTCAAAACAGTTGAAAGTATTAGGATTAATGCTATTGTTTAGCCACAGCGTCGATTGTAATCTGGTAGTGAGGTAACGTACGAAAATGAATCTTTCTAAGGAAAATGTTCGTACAATAATGTTCTACAACATCTGTGTTCAGTGACGAAGCCCCATGTCTGCGGACTGTCGAACGCTGGTATTTAGAATTCCAGCGTGGACATACTAGTGTTAGTGACAAATCTCGCGAAGGAAGCTCAAAATCCGCCTTCGATGAAGATAAAATCATTGCTGTGAGACAACTAATTCTCGAAGATCGTCATGTGACGAGTCGAGAGATAGAGGCTCTATTAGGCATCTCAGGGACAACCATTCAGAAGATCTTGAAAGCTAGATTGCCGTTGGATAGACAAACACAAGGCCGTGTCAGATGGTTTTTTTTTTATTTTATTTTTATTTTTATTTTTTTTTAGACAATTCACACCAATTGACCGAGTCCCATGCTAAGCTGGTGAAGCTTGTGTTATGGGTACTAGGCAACGGATATACATACATATTATAGATAGATAGACATATAAATACATATTTAAACACCCAAGACCTAAGCACCAAATGCTCATCACATCGATGTTCGTCTCAGCCGGGGATCGAACCCGGGACCCTTGGATTCGCAGTCACTAACCACTAGACCAATGAGTCGTCAAATGAATGGTGTAAGAAAACTCTGCAAAGGTTCAACTGAGGAGAGTCAAATCACGTCTACGACATCATCAGTGGTAACAAATCTTGGATATGCCTACGATCCTGATTCCAAACAACAATCTACAATCTGTGTCCACAATTATGTATACGGAAAAATTTCTCGATATTGATATGGCACCTAGGTAACGATATAATTAGATTCTTAACATCAAAAAATTCACTTATCTAAGGATATGTGAATACTTACCTAATCTAAAGAAACATTGCAATAGTTTCTATATAAATAATAAAAACTTAATTTAATGTGGTTTAATACAATTTCAATTTAATATGAAGTTGTACTCGAACATACCGACTAAGGGTATGCTTATAAAACAAACATAATTATCAAACCTTTACATTATGTAGATGACACGCACTCGGTTCGAATTGAAACGCCTGATAAAAAAAAGGGTGCGTGTACTTATGTACGCGCGTAAGAAGTTATACTTCTTTGGCATTATTAAAAATAGTTTTTGATTGCCTGCAAATAATTAGTAACAATTAAATAATCAAAGACTGGAAAAGGAGTCATTATAGTCAATAAAGTTCAGTTTACATTTGAAAAATTAAATAAATAAATATTTATTATTATTCTCTTACATTAAGTGTAACATAAACTCTATTATTATTCGAGTGTTGTTTTTAAAATATGTCCAATGCCGTAGCATCTTCCGTGGGCAGCTTCATTCTGTTAATTTTGTGTCACGGTGCGCGCGCATCGTTAAATTTCACTCTCATCAATTTTTCATAACGCGCCTAAAGAAGTATAACTTCAAAAGCAGATGCTGATCTACTTACCGAGGTGAATAATTATAATTCGATATTAAGGATTATCATAATTATTAATCGACTTATAATTGGTGGAAATAGTATATATACGAGTATTGTCTTACAATAGTAGTACAGAGAAATAAGATACCTAAACGCCTGATACATAAATAATGTAATAAGTTTCGCATTTGGATAATATATGCTAAACGTGAAACTTATTTGTTTAAGTAGTATTAATTATTTTTAAGTTTATTTCTTAATAGTGCAGTTGGTGATTTATTAACTATAGTCTCAATTAATCGCCTAAGGGATAATAATTATGCCTTACCATTCATAAAGTTATTAACTTGATAATTGTAGTTTTGTAGTAATGAATTATGAAGTCTCTCATAAGTATAATATTATCGACTACGTGTTACCAACAGTAAGTAGGATTTTAAATGTTCTATGCGATAAAGTATATACTGAATATCTCCTACGTTTTTTAAAACCTTACTATTTCTGCCGCTACGCTGCTACCAAAATTCTAAAATATCAGGTATCAATGGTGCCAAAAGCAAACCTTACTAAAGTGAGCATTCCTAGAGCTAGATTTAATTCTTCATACGTCGTTAATAATAATTATTTGAAAGGAGTAACCCAATTGCGGGATTTGGGAGTCATCATTGACAGCAGGTTGACTTTCGCTCAGCACTCAAATTTTATTTTATAAAGCATTTACTCATCTAGGTTACTTGTTTTTATTCGAAGAAGTTGTAAGGTTTTTAAGAATGTTTTAAATAAAAATAACAATTTTGCACTTATAAGAACGTCATTAGAATACGTTGTATCTTTTTGTGTAAGTTGTCAATAATTTGTATAATTATTGTCCGTAAATTCTATCGAGCATCGACCTGTGCGTTCCTAGAGCTAATTTACGTTATCGCCAAATATTTTTGTTTAGGGTTCTAACTTCTAGTAACCAATTTGGGCTATAACAGCGTCACTTCTAGAATATGTTGAGAGCACAACAGACTTTTCGTGGTCTCATGGGCAGACTACACCGTGCATGGCCTGGGTGCCTACAGACGCATCCTGGCCGTAGTTCAGACTCAGTGACTCGCTAACTCAAGGTTCGGATGCAGAGATTCCTAATGTGGCTTATTAAGTGCAAGCTGTCAGCCTGTTATTAGGTCTACACCTATATAGTGCAAAGTATTTTTTTATGTAACAGGAGGAAAACGGGCTGGAGGCTCGCCTGATGTTATTTGATACCGCCGCCCATGGACACTCACATTGCCAGAAGGCTAGCAAGTGCGTTCCCGGCCTATAATAATTATCTGCCAATCAAATCTGAAATGCCTAATCGATATAAAGTATAATGTTCGACAATTTTAAAACTAACGCGTTACCATTACCTAGTATGCCTCCAATAACTTTTTATGCAGGTAAGAAGACGTTTTACTAGTAAACATTGATTTATTACTAATAATTTTAGTCTATTTTGAAAATACAAAATTTAAGTTTCTTTATAATAGCAAGGATAGGGCAGTATTTATCTTACCCGTCTATTTAGTATTCCAGACTCTGTTGTATCGATTACAAGTTTTGCTATTATTGAATATTTTGCTGAACTATTTTACATACTTACGTATAAGATTAGCATTCTGTAGAGTACCTTATTGTGAATGTTACTCTTAATAACATACATTTAAGCAAGAGGCGTAACTAATCCTTAAAACATTAATCATTTCTTCTAACAAGTAAATCTGTAGGTGCCTTATTATTTTCTACTAATAGAACTCTAAATTCTCTTTTAGACTAATAGAATTTATAACTGTTAAAATCTGAGTCCGTGATGCAATAAACAATTTCTATAGGCATAGGCGCAATTGTAGTTGTAGTGTCCTTGCCTACAATTTCACCAGTGGCATTGGAGTAGGTATAAATTGCTTTATATAAATACCTTTTCATGTTGTGGTCAAATCAGTTCAGTTCAGCGTTTTATCATTAGCAATCAAGAAGGGAAAACGTTATAATGAGGACGCTAGTCGCCCTTATCCTTACAGGATATGTTCTAGTTTTATGTTCTGGTCGTGAAGTAGGCGAAACAGATTTAGTTGCAGACGCTTCACACCACAAAGGTCATCATCACGAAGAGGGCGGTGGCAAAGAGCATCACGCACACCACCATCACGAACACGGTGAAAAGGGCCACAAAGGCCATAAAGGGCATCATCACCACCACAAAGGTGAACACGGCGATCATCATAAGCACCATCATGCAGGACATCATCATGAACACGGAGGCGGTCATAAAAAGCACTGGGATGAACATGATCACCATGGCAAACATCACGAACACGGCCATCATCACAAAGGTGGTAAACATCATCACAAAAAACATTTTGACAAAGGTGAAGAGACCGATGGTTACCATAAAAAATATCATAAGGATGAATATCACAAGGACCATCACTTTTATGATGATCACCATAAAGAAGGCAAACACCATAAGCATGAAAAGCATCATGGTCACCATGACAAACACGGGGGACATCATAAGAAAGGAGGTCATCATCACTCCGGACATCATGAGGACCATTATGGCAAAAAGGGTCACCACGATAAACATCACTATGACGAAGATCACAAAGGCCACAAAGGACACGGGGGCCATGAAGAACATCATCACGACCATCACGAACACGGTAAAAAGGGAGGTCATGAAGATCACAAACATTGGGGATTCCATCACGGAAAGCACTGATAATTTTGTATACAAGATGTTAAACTTGATTTTTTTGTTAAATTGTTATTTGGTAAATAAAACAATTTTTGATAAATAGTATTAACTGTAATTTCATTCTCAACTAGGTATTAGCGTAAAAAATAAAAGTACGTTTCGTCACCACCACAAACAGAATCACTCGGCTAGAAATCTGCAGCAATGATTGCTACAGATCACTGTAATCGTCAACTAAAGCACCGTTATCTATAAATTCGAAACGCGGAATCGATTAGAACACAATAAAGTTTGATCGACGAGGTAAACCGCCTACTGGTAAGATTTAAATATAATATGTACTTACTTTATAATACATAATTGATTTCATAAACTTTTAAATATATAATAAAATATATTTTTTTACAGAAGTATGACGCGAATACTGTTACTAATTATTGCGTTGTATGCTATAGTAGTGTCGAAGGCCCGAAATGTCGATAATATACCAACGCCGTTTAGCGCTAAAGGAGAGCTTGTTTCTGGAGGAAGTGAACGGCTTGATCAAATAGTCGCAGGAACTGGTAAACATGAAGCCAAAGAAAGCCACCAGGAATCAGGAGGTGGTCACGAACATCACGCTCACCATCATAAAGAGAATGAAGAAAAGGGTGACAAAGGCTACAAATCTCATCACCACCACGATAAAGGTGATCACGGTTCTCATGAAAAACATCATCATGAAGGTCATCACGATGAACATGGTGGACATAAAAAAAAGCACCATGACGAACATGACAAACATGGAGAGCATCACGAAGCTGCTCACGGACATAAAGGAGGGAAGTTTGGACACAAGAAAGGGCATAAAAAGGGTTCTAAAACTACTGGATTTCATCATAAGTCACACAAAGATGAATACCATAAGGAACATAAGTTTTACGACGATTTCCATAAAGGCGGAAATCACCATAAACATGGAGATTTTCATGGGCATCATGACAGTAAGGAAGGGCAACACAAAAAAGGTGGGCACCATGAAAAAGGCCATCACGAAAAACACCATGGTAAAAAAGGGAAACATGACAAGGGTCATTACGATGAAGATCATAAAGGACACAAAGGTCATCATGGGCATGAGGAACATCATGCTCACCATCATGATCATGGCAAAAAGGGAGGCCATGCTGGTGGCAAAGAATATGGGTTCAGCCATGGAAAAAAGGCATAGGTCAGACAGACTTGTAGATCTTCTGTTACCATTATTTTATTTTTATGTAGCTTTTAATTCTTGTGTTGAAATATTTTATATGTGTTATGTTACTATGCATGCCTTTTTGTGCAGTTTGTTGAGCAGCCTTAGATATAGGTATGACTTATACCCACAATTGTATTAAAATATAAAAAAAGATCTTGAAAGCTCATAAAAAAGCATTATTAGGGAAACAATTTTGATGGTTTCTCCAATTAACAAATCTTTTGATGCCCCAAATAGCATAAGTAAAATGACTATGTGATAGTTTTCTAGTCTACATTTAAGTTAACAATTTTCATTTTCTATAACTTTAACATGACAATAAATTAGATTTACTGATTTATTAAACACATTTTTATAAAAGTTTACCTATTATTTTGTTATGTTATATTTGTATAATGTAAGGCTTTCCAATTATTTCAATTCTTTTTGATTTTATTTGATTAAATAAAGACAAACAAAATTATTGTTTACTTTGTGCACTAATTGCCAAAACTTCAAGAGGATTATTATAATCATTTAGTATTAATAGAAACCAAAAAGTACATAAATAACTATTTTGCATTCTAGAATAAAAAGTAGTTAAATATAAATAAAAAAACTCTTGACCAGGAATATTCTTTATAGTTACAAAATTGTCATCAATGGAGCAAGATGATCAAACTCAATCTTTTCTGTTATGTTCTTGGTCTTGATATTATCATCTTGGTTTGCAATGAAAATCAAATTTCCATCATCTCTCCAGCCATATTTTTTGACCCAGTGTTTTAAAGTTACATCTGTAACAAAATTATATAGTTTAAAAAAAACATGTACCCCTACTTTGGAGATTATTGTCCTCTTTCCTTGATATTTTTTTCTCTGTAGGCAGCCTTCTGTTTTTGAAATATACCATTTGTTTTTGCGTCTATTTGTTCTAGTTTCTTTGCAATGTCTTCCTTCACCATATCAGCTATTGTTAATTTGTACACATAGTTAGATAAATCTCTTAGTTACAGCTAGGACTTAAATGTGCAACCCAAGGTTGGGAGGAGTGCACCTAACCACCAAGCTAATACTGCTAACAATTTTTTGATCAAATTTTACAAATTTATTAGACCAGATAGAGACATTTCAAATGTCATTTAGCCATCTGTAAAATATAATTGATCCAAACAATGTGGTACATATTAATAACAAATTGTTGATCAAGTTAATTATGATGTGCATTCCAAGGAAGCTCTCAATATGATTAACTACTCACCATCAATTCCACCTAAAAGATTGGCCAAATTATTTTTATCAATAGTCTGGAAGGTGATGCCAACTACATGACATACAAATTTACGGATTGAATCATGAAAGCTACTTATGCGATTACATAGTTCAGGCATTTGATGTACCCTGTTCCAGAACTGGGCGAAATCACATTGCTCCAATATATCAGCCAAATATTTTATTTGAGAAATTGTTTCATTCTCAACCTAAAAATAAAAACATTTTATTTAGTAAAATATTATCACATCCTATAATAGCACAACTCAGGCCCTAATAGAAATTTAACTTATTTATAATATATTAAACTGGAATAAAAACTTACGACTGACTCCAGCAAAAGGCATTTGCACAAAGTGAAGTCTGTATGAGGGAAGTTAGTTAACGCCTTCAAAAGAATTTGACACGTAATATCTGGATTGAATTTTTCCGGATTGAATTGATACAGCTTCAAAACTGCTAAATTTGCTTCCAAGTCATACGTATTTTCTCTTGACTGCATTTCAACATATCTCTCCAAAGTTTGCAGATTTGCTGGGTTGTATCTTTCGATACTTTTTAGAATAGTAGCAATGGTTTGCCTCATTGTTTCAGCCATTTTTGTAAACTGTATAGATTAAAATAAGTATTATAAATGAGAAACGAGAATCAATGGCAAGAACAAACCCGTGTTAAAACCAATAACTAAACTAACCTAACAATTGAATGCAGATTACAGATTTTTCATTACTGAGTAGTTGGCAGCGTAGCCACAGAGTCTATGACACAGACTAGAAAGTAGGAAAGGAAGTTATAGCATAGAGTTAACGTGTCATGTGACTATAATAGACTGTTTATCTACTGAACACAGAGCATAATAATACAGAGTATAATAATATATGAGTAACAACTAACAATGTTGACTGTCGATAATGGCTATAGTGAGCCGCGTTCCAAACCTACTCGTAACCTATGTAAATTAAATTATCTACTATTTACGCATAACCTTTGCACGGCGACTAAGATTCCACGAGGTTGTATAAGCTTAGAAAAATTAATACAACTATAGGGGGTCTAGCCAAGATGGCTTAACAGTAGTGTATGTAGAAAGTCGAAAACTAAATTTGTATGAAAATGACAGCTCGTGTCGACAGTCGGTAGCCTAGGCCCTAAAGGCGTGAGTCGGGATACAATAAGCGACGCCATGACAGTGCTACGAAAAGACACACATTAACGCTTACGCTATTCGGTAGCCAACGGCCAATTAATGTTTCGGCAGTGTAGAAAAACGGCGTTCTCCGCAGTTTTAGCGTGATCTCAAAAGCTGCTGTTTGCAATAATTCAGTACAACTAGCCATTTTAATGGTACGTTTTAAAAACATGTCAATATTGGACATTTTAACGAATGTTTTAATTTGTTATCTGTCTTTTTTAACGTGTAATTATAATAATTTATACTAGAGTCAATATTTTTAAGTTAAGAGTTTTAGTTTTTCTATGAATCAATGCGAGGATAACATAATAGACACAGATAAATATGAAAATATCAAGAAAATCAGCAAATTAGTAGAGGTAAATCCTAGTTATATTGGATATCTTTTATTTTGGGTTGGGTTTGAGTAAGGACTGAATTTGATGATATAGGAGGAGTCTGGGGACCCTTGATTGGAACACCTCCAAGTGATTTTAGCTTGGATAGGCGTCAAAGTATTTTTAAAAAAAAATTTAACTTTTGTGAATTGTATTGAAATATAAACAATCCGCCATTATCTAAACTTTTCTATTGGTTAGAGAGATGTGACATTTCGATTTCTATTGGAAAGTGATGTGTATTGTTTTATTGGTAAGTGAGTGAATTTGGTAAATTAATTGGATGATTATTTCTATGTAATTTAAAGTTGAACCTATGATCGAATTTCCATTTATTTAAGTTGAACCTAATTTAAGCATTACTTGTGAAATGTACATACATTATATTAACTTATGTTTTAATTAATGTATGGTTCCGAAAATTATTAAATTATTCAAATAGTACCCAAAACCGAATCAGAGCATCCATATCAGTGGTCTTATCTGCCTTACCCCTAGAGTGTATAAAATAATGGAGGCGGGAGGAAGAGCAGCCCCACCCGCCGTAACAAAGCACAGGATTATGTAGCGGTGAGGCTGGTCCGAAGGACAAAAGCCGAGGTTGCGGAGGCTTGAATAAAATGCCTGTGTTTGGTACGAAGGGTGGAGGGGCTGCATTCCCGTAGCGCCGGAGCTGTCCACAAAAACAAATATTATTTAGATTGGTTAGGTTAGAGTTAGTATATAAATATTTGGTGGAAGGCGACCAGGACGCCGAGAAGCCGAGGCTTGAATAAACAATTACTATTTAGATCGGAGCTGTTCAAAAAAAATATTATTTAGATTGGTTAGGTTAGAGTTAGTATATGAATATGGTCGCGAAGGGACCAGGACGCCGAGAAGCCGAGGCTTGAATAAACAATTACTATTTAGATGGAGCTGTTCACAAAAAAATATTATTTAGATTGGTAGGTTAGAGTTAGTATATGAATATTTGGTCGCGAGGCGACCAGGACGCCAAAGAGGCTTGAATAAACAATTACTATTTAGATGGAGCTGTTCACAAAAAAAATTATTTAGATTGGTTAGGTTATATAAATATTAATATACTAACGTATATTAATATTTTTTTAAATAACTGTTCAACTGAAACTCAAAATCGAAAACAAAATCGGATTTAAAATCGGATTAAAATCGAATACTAAAATAATCGATTTTTTCACTTTCACAGAATAGATTATTTTTCACATCTCTATTCTCTACTATTCATTGTTTAAAGTATAAACGCAATGGTAATGGGCCATTTCGAATTTGGATTTTGCCAGAACAGTGTGTGTTCAAGTGATCAAGTGCAAATTATAAGTTAAAAAGCCGTACTTTTAGTTTTTTATTTTTGGAAGTGGTATATAGCATTTTTTAAAACTTGGTTTATATAGTGTTGAATATATGTTAGACAGACACTGATGGATTTTCAAATTTCGTGGGAATGGCTAAAAATAGTGGAATTAGGTTAGTATATTAATATTTTTTAAAATAACCTGTGTTACTTTTTAGTAATGTGCGTATTTTATTATCATTTTTAAAACTTGGTTTACATATATACTAGAACTGATTTCTTGGAATTTAGATTAAGTATGTAAAAAAAAAAAATTTTTTTTTTTTTGTTTCCGACACCCAAAACTTGTGGGGGTGATCCCTCCCCCTCCCTCACCCAAATTTAGGTACTTCTTTTCACATCTTTACCTTTATTTTTCTTTAATTTGAAAAATACATATACCATTTAATATTGCTTATATTATGTAATCAAAAGTAAAATGATGTACATATTATTTGTATATTTAGATGAGAAAGAGTACTAATGAACATATTAGAAGTTCTAAATATATTTTATTGTAATATAATAGAAGCTAATGATAAATATTGATTTAAATTAATCAAATAAAGTGATTTTACTTATGAATTTGGAAATATAAAATATAGTGAGCAATAAAGTACTTAATGGTAAGCAGATATTTTCTTTAATTATTTACTAAGTTAATATACTAGAGAAGTATATAATATTGTTAATGAATGAGAAGTTTTAATTCAAGTCCTTTGGGAGTTACTGACATTGTTTGGTTATTAAAAACTTTAATTGACAATAAGAGCAAAGTGACAAATTAAGTAATTTTTAAGTTTAGAATGAAGTAAAGACTTTTAATATTAAAGTTACCTATTGATCAAAGTACTAACTAAAATATTTTATTTTTCAGAAAAAGACAACTAAAAGTATTAAAAAAACCACAAATGGACAAGTTTTATTAAAGTTTATCTTTTAATTAATTAAAGTGTTATATTATGTACCTGAAAATGAATTTGATAATGGGGAACGAAGCATTTTATGAATAATGTAAAAAAATAAGACAAGTGGAGTATGAAATAATGGTTGGTTAAGTAACATTACCTCAAGAAAGGAAACAGTAACTGAAACTATTTCTTCCACATTTAATCTTAATAAGTTAGAGTTTGAATGTTAATGAGATAATATTATAAACAAACTGCATTTGTAGATTTTGGGAAGAATTATATCTTTACAATAACTATTATTATTTACAATTGTTGTGTTAAGGAAACAATCACTATTTTTTTAATCGCCAGGATGTATTCAAGTAACTGTAGGTATCATAGTAATTTTATGAAATCATCACAACATCTAAGTTAGGTTTTATGAATTGAACAATTTTTTGTATATAACAGCACATAAACAAGATATTGACATTGCTGCAAATTAACACTTACATTAGTTAATTATCTACATATATGAATACATCATTAGGTAGTAATGCATTAATTTGGACTGGTGTGTCAGTAGAATGTGTAAAAGTTGACATAGTTATTTTTCTATGTAGACTGATATGTTAAGGAAGATATTTGGTGCTTATTTTAATAAAAAATAATATAACTGAAATTTTTATTTGATGTTTGTAAATTAATATAGTAGGTATGGGTAATCAAAGATTCTGTATATCTTGTAAAATAAACTAAATGGAACATTTAATGGTTTTCCTACTAAAGAAGACATAGGTAAATTACCAAAAATAAAACTGACAAATACATAAAAAATGTTTATCATTTCTTACTTAAACAGATTTTGCATTTACATATTAACTAGTAGCAAATCACTGATATAACCAAAAGTTAATTGACATAAATATTAACTTATCAATATGGAATAAGGTTATTAAGGGTTATAATTATAAGATATTTCTATTTTATAATTTTTATTAATCCTTTTTCATTTCATTGAGTAGGTATTGTTTTTCAATTCTCACTTTCTAAAAGTATAAATATATTATAAACAATCAACTTTTATGACTCTAACTTAAACTGAAATTGTTTGTTGACATAAAAGAGATAATTCCAACTAGTAGCAAATCACTAATAAAATCTACACTTATATATAAATCTGCTTTCAAATTGACATTAAAAATGTTCAAGCACAAACACCAAACCTAATTAAAGCTTAAATCAAACTCTAATTTCAGTGATCACACTAGTCTAGTTTTTCTATTTTTTAATTTTGGACTTTATCAACTTCTAGTCACCTTATTTTCACTTTTTATTTATCAATCAAGTATATTTTTTTTTTCTTCTAAGCGTAAAAATATGTTGTTATTTGTAGATAGTTGTGAGGTAAATTAAAAATATCAAAGTATGAGTATATAATTATTATATATCGATTATGAATTTCAAAATATTGTATTTATTTGTACCTTAAATTTCTGAGAAAACATGAAACAAACCATAATTAATTTAAACAGAATAAAATTATATATTACTTTGACCTTGTAAATTCCACTTAAATCGAAAATTTTCCGACCTTGAATCTTGTCTTTTATTAATTGCAAATTTACAATAATATTGTAAAGTTTTAACTTTTATTTGTTTATAAAAGTGACATTAGGAATACATTTAATAAGAAAATGAGGAATAAGGTGTACGAAAGAGTCGATTGTGTTTGCGGTAATGTATGAGTCTTTGGAGAAGAAGGTTTTCGACAATACAATTACGCAAAAGGGTAGTGAGTAGATGAAAATATGGGGTCTACAGGAATCTCATGGAAAAAAACAAAAATAAAAAAATGAGGTTTTTATATGGCAATATCAATTATCAAGTGTCACCCATCAAAGTACGAGATCTGTCAACCGCTGCTGAGATTTTGTGATGGCTGTATGTGTATGGACTAAAGTCCTTTGCCTTTCCCATTAGGGATAAATTAATATCAAAATGCTGTAAAAGCCATTCGATCTCAGGCGAGAAATATTGTTTTCAATGTTTATCGTAAAATAAAGGAAAAAGGAAGAAGATTAACACCTTGTAAATCAAACTCAATCTTTGATTTTAAAGCGCGTGGAGTTGACTGGTAATTTGGACTGAGTGGTTTTGATACTTTTAGATTATTTTATATTTTTCTTCAGTACTTAATTGTGACTTCTTTATAGGGCTTTCCAGTACTACTACATGGTGAAACGTAGCTGAGGGCACATTGAATGATGGTGTGTTTTCCACTCCTGGTTTTACCAGGCCCCCCTCTTTTTGTAGAAGAAAATCAACTTGGACAGTTTCGATTTTCCTATTTGCCATGAGATTCCGGTAGAACTATAATTAGTATCTCATATCTAGTTTAGTAAGAGTAAAATCATACACATGCACTACAAGCGACATGGTTGACACTTTGAATTAACTAGAGAGTTGTTATTTAGGCGATCAACTATCATAATTTTTGTTTTGCCAAAATTGAACCTAAGTCCAAACTTGCAACTTTTTCATTTTGCTTAAAAGTTTTTCCATTTTTTTTATGCTTGGAGCAAATAAGGTTGTGTTATCTGCATATCTAGTTGTTGATGACGCGCTCCACACCTTAAAGGACTGCCTAGCATGGGAGGTGGAAAGGAAGCCTCTACTGGGCGTGCTACAGGGCGAGGACGCTTCTCTCGATAACATTGTGAGAGTAGCAGTTACAAGCTCGGACAGTGACGGCATGTGGGAAATCCTCCAGAGATTCTGCGAAGCCGTCATGCGCCATAAGGAAGAGGCGGAGAGGGCCAGGGAGGATGATCCTGCAGCCCACCCGCGTCGCCGTAGGAGTCCACAGCGTCGCCGTTGCACCGTGCAACCCCGTGTGTAATACTGAGCACGCAGTCGCTCCAGCGGGGGAACAGAGGTTCATGCGTACAAAAGAAGGGATGCTACCGCATCCCTGCAAGCATTGTACCTGGCTTCCCCCAGCTTTATAAAACTGGGTGAATTGGCCGATGCGAAAGGCCCTTGCTGTGCCAAGGTACATTCCACATCATTCGTCGCCGTAGACAACCGTGAGTTTAACGGCTGATCGCATGGCTGGATGCGGACCCTGGGCGATTGCTGGTGGCGCCGTAGGGTTTAAGTGGGTATGCACAACAGCGAGTCCCACACAACCCTTTTCCACTAAGTCAACCGTACCGCGGGAGGGAATGCGTAACGCATTTCCCTACAAAAATAAAAACTGCATACCTAAGAATAATTAATTAGAAAGAATATTAATTAATTAATATTATAGTGCCAAATATAACTTTTTATCTTTTGACAGGTACAATTGCATTTAATGAAAGTGGCAAACACATTTAATTGATGCCAATTAATAGTAAAAAATCATGACGGAGGCTGCTGTTTAGTAAAAAAAATTAAAACACTATTTAAAAAAAACATTTTTTTATTATTTCAAACAAGAGTAACAATTTTTTTGCTTGAAAACTGTAGTGTAACACTGTATCCATGTCACACTTTTAATTTTGTAACGGTCTTTTTGTAAAAAAATGTATATAAATTGATATTTTTGAATTGACATCAAAAAAGAAAAAATATTATCAATATGAAACATTTTAGTACTACTGTTTTTTGAAACTTTTCAGTATGGGATAGATGTTATCAAATGCCTCGTAAATTTCTTGTCTTACTTTTGCTCCTGTTAATACAACTTTGCCAGACACAAAAATGAGAAGAACAATCCTTGGTTTAACCATTCTATATATAAGTCCTGGAAATAATTCTGGTTCATAAGAACTGAACTGACCATGGGTAAGCACTAAGCCTTCTAGACGAATAGGAAACTTGACATCACAGCTTCCCACCATATTTTGAATTTTGAAATCTAAAAATTTTGCCTGCAACAATTTTTTTAAATGTAAAATATCAATTAACCAATTACCTGTTACAATACAATTAATAAGTGTGTTACTTACGGAAAACCCTAGTTTCTGTATAATCCTAGCATATTTTCTAGCAGCAAGTCTTGAGTCCTCTTCACTTTTTGCTCCTGTACACACCATCTTGCCAGATGAGAATATTAATGCAGTTGTCCTTGGTTCTCTTATCCTCATTATAACAGCAGCAAATCGTTTAGGATTATATTCAGCATTTCTAGCGTGCAATGCTATTTTCTTTAAATCTAATTTACAAAATAAGTTGACAGTAGATACAATATTTCTGGAAACAATATGATTTATTACAAGTTTTTAAGTATTTCAATCATAGTTATAGTTTAGAAGTTCAACTTACTGAAGTTGTGGTAGTATGCCTGGATCTGCTGAATGTGGAGTCATAGGAGTCATTGGAGAAGGGCAAGTCTGATTAAGCATTTGTTGGCCAGAAATCATGGGAGACATCATATTTTGCTGAAAACACATTTGTATGTTTATAAAGGGTAAACTGTTTAATTTAATTATGTTTTAAATTGTAAAAGTTTAAATAGTTATATATTAACTTATTTCAAAATATACTATCCATAGGTAATATATACCGGTGTCTGAGGCTGCATCATTTGCTGTGGAGTTGCATAACTTGCAGTTGGTGCATAAGTATGCATGGAACGTTGAGGGGTACCCATAAGAGAAGCTCCAAAACCAACTAGTGGAGAGGAGCCCAATGAGGCCAAAGAATGTTGTTGTTGTTGATGCTGTTGGTTTTGATGCTGCTGCTGTTGTTGCATAGCATTTGGAAGGATTTGCTGATCTTCTTCGGGCTGATGCAAAGGCGTACCTATACCCGGTATATTGTACGGACTAGGTAACATTTGATCCATGTTTTGTGTAGTATATTTTACTCTGCTGTAGATATTAAGAGCTAGGTCACTTTCAACTAATACTGTTTAATATATATAATAGCTAACTCTTGCCGTATACAAAATAAATAACAACTTAAATTTAATTTATTATCAAGTCTCGTTTATTTAAATAATGTTCATTTACTAAGTACTACACCACCAGAAACTTGTAACTTGACACTCGCTTCTCTATGTCAATTGTCATTCATATTCCCGCCCGTTGACACATGACATTATATATTTATGGTTGTGTGCAAAACTGTTGCGGGTGGTCTGTGTATTTAATTAGACTGTGGTTTAGTATTGTCAAAGGGAGAAAATACGTACATACGTAAAATTGTAAAATTGTAAATACTAATTTGTTTTTAGGGAAAAAACCTTAGAAAATACGTGATCGGTGACCTACAAAATTAATAATATAATTGGATTTCGATGATTTGTTTCTGCTAACTCCTTACTTACTTTAAAGCAGATTTAAAATTATAAAATAGTGAAACATTGTAAAATGTTAACAATCAAACTTGAAAATCCAATGCATTATTTAATTTAATTTTAATTAATTACCGTCATAGTCAAGTCATTCATAATGGAAATAGAAAAAGAAGCAGGAATTGTAATCCTAAGAAGTTATGGGCAATTCTTCAAACAACAATATCAAGATTATATGTCAGTTATTCAAAATGATAATTCAGAACAAAATAAATCATATCTTCCCATACGAATTAGTTTGTCTCCACAAGAACTTATTCCAATAACAGAACTAGTTGTATCGGATAATCCAGTTATGACAAAAATATTAAGTATTTTCACATCTCTGTGTGTTGAAATAATGGAATTAAAAATGGAAGCATTTGAAAGGTGAGTTGTCACTTAGAAATTGTTACACTAACAGTATAATAAATATTATAATTTAACTGTTACAGGCATTTTCAGTTTCTGGCCCTATATGATGAATATCCCAATAGTGACATGTCCCATCAAATGAAATCAATTTGTAATCTTAATGCATTTGTAAATCGTTGTAATGACACCCTAAGTAATATATTTGGTCAAGTTTTTGCTACATTCAGGGAAAATATTATACATATAAGTAAGTTTTTAACTAATTTATTATATTGTGATACTATGTAATATTTGTATGTATTAAATACCATGTTACAACATATGATGTTCATTGTGTTGGCCTATAATTTACATTTATATATATATATTTAAAATTAAAGTTCTTGTTTTTTATAGATGGCATACAGTGGCATTTTATAATAAATCATATTGGGGAATTATTTACATTATTGGTTTTAACAGAACTTCTCATATCAAGATGCTCATTGCCCACACAGTGGAATAAATTTGTGAATGATATAAAATTTCATTCTAATATAGTAAATGGAATAAATGGACACAGATCTTTGGCAGTTAATAATGCACTGGAAAGTATTACAAGTAAACTGATGTGTGATGACATAGTCCAAACAACATTACAAAATTTACTTGCAATTAAAAAGCGAGATTTATCTGGAATTCAGAGTGGACAAGTAATGGTAGAATTTACGAGCTACATAAGACATGCTTTGCTTAATCTTGAAAAGCTTACACAAGAAAAACCTAACTCAGACAATATGTATAAATGCATTAAAATGAATGCATTATTTATATTAAATAGCCACTTGTTCAGTAACAATGATAAAAAACTTTTAAAACATTTAAATGAAATTAATTCGAAGGTTTGTACAACATTGTCAATTTTTTACTTCAAATATTCATAAGAGTGACATTGTTTTGCTTCTCAAACAGAGCAAACTGAAATGTAAAGTATATAATCAAGTTGAAAAATGTAATATATGTGTAACAATTTTAATATTATTTTCAGGCCCATAGTATCTACATAATTGGAAATGCAATTTGGTTCCCAGAGCAGTTTCTACACAGATATGGTCCTTCATTAGGATGTAGTACCAGCAAAATATCTCAGATTATGTTAAAAGCTCGTCAAGCTTACATAACATCTAAAAAAGCAACTATCCCAAAAGATATTATGACCCTACAAAATATTTGCACACAATGGGTATTAACAGTAGAAGAACTTTTTTCAAACAAAAATAAACTTAGTGCATGTGAGATGACACTGCATGCCAAAACATTAATAGATGGATTAGAAATTTCCTCCAATTTGTCTCATTCTCTACTTTCCTTTATAACTTTACACCTGTCTCTTGGAATTCCACTAACAAAAACGCTATTGCTGCATTTATTTGAACTGATAGATATATTGAAGATGTTTAAAAATGCTGTACTTCGAAATCATTGTCAAATACTGAATTCCATCACAATGATAATTCAACATTTAACATTCCAAGCTTCATCTGCTATTCTTGAAGTCAAAAAGTCAATCATAGATGATAAGAGGTATGCCAATAAAAGGTTGGATGAACTGACATGTATTGTCATAGCAGAACAAGCAATACAAGGAGCTCCCACTATAGAAAGGAATATAGCAACTAATATAGCCTTAAGTTTTATTCCAGAAGCCAGATATGTTGATGAAAGCTATGTTAAACTTGGAGTACTCCTTGAAAAACAACAGACTCTTTTGAAATTCATGAAATCCATAGATAGATTCTGCAATTGCTCATGGATTTTTTGGCATCAACAAATTATCCCACTTTATTTTCTACAAAATTTTAGTATGGACATACAAGCTTTGAAATTACAATATTTCTTAACAGTGATGAGTGAATGTGTTGATTTGCTTCAAAAAACAGATAAATATTTCGGCTTCAATAAATCAAATGACTTTATGGCATTTATAATAACAATAATCGAAGAAAATGTTATAAATAATCTAAGTCAAAATATAGAAACCAACTTGCGTCTTCATATTCATTCTCACTTGCAACTCGACATTGTTAACCCATTGACTACTGATATGTTAAAAAAGCTTCTTCTTCTTGTTGACAACTTGAGACTTAAAACATTATATATGAGAGTTGTTCCTTCTGTTGAATACTACTTATCAAAGACATATTACAATTTAACCACTGTTGTATTGTCTGATTGGAAAACGTACGGTGAAATGCGTCAAATGGCTAAATTTAAATTCAATTTACGTCCAATTCAAGACGATCTACCCACTCAAACTTTGGAGCAAGGTCTGGATGTCCTGGAAATAATGAGAAACATCCATGTATTTGTTTCTAGATATCATTACAATTTGAACAACCAAATATTCATTGAAAAGAGCAGCAACAATAAACATTTGAATTCAATAAACATTAAACATATCGCAAACTCCATTCGTACACATGGAACAGGGATCATGAACACAACGGTCAACTTCACGTATCAGTTTCTTAAAAATAAATTCTATACATTTTCCCAATTCATGTATGACGAACAGATAAAATCTCGGCTAATTAAGGACTTGAGACATTTCAAAGAAGCTTATGGAGAACACGGAAACATGTATCCATACAAAAATGCAGATAGATTTAACAAAGGCATCAAAGTCCTAGGGTTAGCAGAAGATGGACAGAGTTATTTAGATTTATTTAGAGATCTAATCACTCAAATTGGAAATGCAATGGGATATGTAAGAATGATCAGATCTGGCGGGAGGCACTGTTGTGCTGACGCCACGGCATTTTTGCACACCTTTGATCCCAATAAGTTTAAAGAGTGGTCAGGTGAAAACAATTTCTCAAATAAAACAATCGATACTGCTGAATATTTAGATGAAAGCATTGATGGGCTAATATCTAATTTCATTCAGGGCACTGAATACTTCAAATTGCTAGTTGAGGTATTTGCCCCAGTTTTTCGAAATCCAAAAAATTTACATCTTAAAAACTTCTACATCATAGTTCCGCCTCTTATTTTAAATTTTGTCGAACATATGATTTTATCGAAAGACAAAATGACAAAAAATAACAAAGCTGGTGCGGCTTTCACTGACGACGGATTTGCTATGGGCGTTGCATACGTCTTAAAACTGCTCGATCAGGTAATTTCCCTTTATTATCTTAATGTGTCCTCCCGGCCCATTCGGCCACGGGGCTAGTCTATTGTTACTGCCCAATACCGCATCGCATCGAACATTTAAAGGACTACATAAGAAAATTAACAAAATCGCATCAGCTCAGAACATACACAAAATTTGGGCAAGTTCCAAAGCCGAGAGCCATAGGTCGCACTAAGCCTGGATTCTGACCAGTGAGTTGTACATTTCTCTATGGCGAAATAAATAACGGCTGGCGGCAAAAAAATACACGGTACAAGAAAGGCAGTTGAATGGTTACGAATGGACAACATGCTTATAAGTGCGTATGATGGTATTTATAAAAATTATTAATTATTTTATTTCAGGACTCAAATTTTGAAGCTCTGCACTGGTTTGATTCTATTTGGAACCACATTAGGAGTGAAAGGGAATTAATTGAGTTGCAAAAGAGTAAAGGGTCTATTCAATTACAACAGGCGCTGGCCCTCTCTGAGAAGAAGCTTAAGACTCTTGAAGAGGAATATAAACTTCTATACTACAGTTTAACTAGTGCTAGAATATTTTTTAGATAACTAGTTAGTAATAAGATAATATTTACTTTACACGTTCATTTAAACATCTATTACATTAATTGTTTATATTACATATTTATGATGTTTGGCTTTTTGCTGTTAATTATTAAAAATAAAACCAGAATTCTATACATATTGTTTTTATTGCATAATGTTTTATAATAAAAACAAAGTTTATTATATACAGTGTAAACTGTATAACGACACTCAAGGGACTGCTTTTGACGTAACAAAGAGTTTTCGTTAAATGGAAAGAAGAAAAATTTGTATTAGAAAAAGAAAACGTTTATTTCAGACTTGTGTTAGTAATTACATAAAAAAACAATTATTATTTGAACGCTATAGCGTATAGGCTATTTTCGCCTGACGTCTTGATGCACTAGTAATTCTGTTGTATTTTTTTTTACTTATTTTATTCATAGCGATATTGAGGCATCATTGTGATAAAGCATGTGCAAACACAATCCCAATTTGTAAACAAAAGAACAGATTTCTTAGAAAGTTCGGTACGTATGATGTTGACGGTCGAGTTTATCACGGTCTAGGACAATACAGCGACAAAAGAACGTACTGCTATATGGAGTGTATCATTATATGGAAGACAAGCTACACCAACCAAATTCGAGTGATTTTAACTCTTTATGGAGTTTGTCGTTAAATCGAAGGCCGTTACATGGAGTTTACACTGTATATTGAACATAGGGAATGAACATTTATTCTCACCAACCGTATGCAACCTGCTTTAAAGTATTTTGGCAACACTACGACGGTAAATGTCAAAATTGTAATATACTATTTTCTTTAATGTAAAAGTAAAAATGTTTAATATCAGGTAATAGTAATTATAACATCAATCTATCTCGCACTTAACAACATCAATGTGTATTTAATAAAAGATGCGTTGAAACATCAAAAACGTCAAAAATTCACTTAACGCTAGAATATTTCTTACCTTACTGTACCTTACTTACACTAAAATTTCGAATCGGAAGTATCGGATTCGGTATGAGTTTTTGGCGTGTTTTCAATAAAAGCATCACTTTGTTTAGTATCGAGCGCGTCAGGCGAGCGTGTGGGGTCGGGTAGAGTTTGTGGCGTCACTGTCGGAGCGACTACGGGTGGGTGTGTCGGAAGTTGGGTGAGGTTTGTGACGGTGTGAGGCCGAGCTCGGCGCGGATAGTCGTTGAAGATGTGAATGTGTGGGACGCGAGGTCAGTCAGCCTCCTGCTCGTGGAGCTGGGCGAGCAGCGCCGCGCGCCGCGTCTCTAACTCCGCGTCGCTCCACACCGCGCCGCCCGACCTTCGCATTCACACACACACATTATTAACTCCGTAGCCCCCCTTAGCCCTCTACAACTAACACGCTCTTAGCGCAATCTGAAAATTAATTATTTACATTTTGGCGACTCGGTAGTCCTCGGTTCAGAGTTAAACAATAAAAATTACAATCGGTTTATGCTATATTTTTTTTTACATTCGACCGCAATCAGTCCAGTTAGCTGAATCGATCGAAGATTCATTCGTCTTAGAAAACGATTAAAGACCAGTAAAAGAGCTGCAGAAATGTCTCTTACGTATAACTATTTAGGTGAGAAATTGAAGAGTTGCATCACTATGAAATAAAAGGCAAGCCAAATAATTAGCCATAAAAATGTGTTTGAATTTTAGCAAAAACAATCGAGGAAACACCCTAAATCAATTAGCAAGGTAAATGAAAACTACCTTTCTTTTTTGTCTTTTTTATCTTTCTTCTTTTTTGGTTTATGCGAGACGTCCTCTTCGGGACTGGAGGGTGCTGAGCGCTTACTTTTTTTCTTGGGACGGACCTCTTCCTCTGAAATGCCGCCTTCTTCCGGTGTCGGGGACTTCTGATTTGCATAGTCGGATGTTAAAAGTATAATTCTCACAATTCGTTAGGTTTAGTAAGAAGTAAATATTGTTTAAAGATACTGAAAAACTTCTTAAAAAAATATCTGTCGACTTTTTGCTTACGAATTTCTTCATATTGTACCCATATCTGTAGTATATAAATATTCACTATACATATTAAAACCATGAACAGCTAAACTTTTGTAGATTTTGAGTGCAGTTTAGCTCAAAAAAACCTTCCTTAATGTGTATGTTCTGCTGTTAATTAGTTTCTAAAATCATATTTGTTTTATGTAATGCATACACAATACAAAGATACCAAAAGAACAGAGTAAAGAGTTTAATGAATAAGTTTGGTTAAATATAAGAAAGTTAAACTAACCGGTGGTGGCGAATGTTTCTTATGTTTCTTTTTGGACTTCTTGTGCTTCTTGTCTTCGTCGTCTGGCGGTGAGGGGGGCGGGGAGGGGGAGCGGGCAACTTCGCCCTTCTCTAGCGAACTCTCGCGCTCCCGCTCTCGGGACTCCACGGGGGACACCGATCGTGATCCCGACTGTAATTTGCATATTAATTCTACTATCTCTCACTTTGATTTCTTTCTTAACCTAAAAATACATTTACAAAAATGTGGATGAAGTTTAAATTAAGGAGAGTAGGCGGTACCAGACATGAAGTCGTAGTATTTATAACATAATTAAACCTACATTTCTAAACTTGCAGATTTTTTTTTAAGCATATTAGACAAGTTACCAAGGAATGAGAACGCGAACGTTTCTTTTTCTTTGACCTCTTCGCTTTCTTGGGTTTGGGATGATGATAGTGCATACAGCTGTCTTCTTGTTCATGTTGGTAATCCTACAACACATAAAAATAATAGAAAATAAGTACGGAAAACTATCACATACTTTTCTACACTAAAATGCCTCGAAAATTGAATAAGAATCATATGATCCTTTTACTTACACTAACATCGCTAATGGTACAGTGGCTTTTCATGCATATTATACTAGAATCGTTATATGTACAATAACGAACTATTTAACACTTTTTTTTATATTACGTAGATAACTACTTCAATAATAATAGTTTTGACGCACCCCATATCTCGTTAGTGCTTTTTTATTTTTTCAATACGGAAACATAGCAAAATGTATTTGTGATACAAGATATATAAATACAGATATAATTATAGAAGTGTCCTTGAATTGTTTCAGAGATAGGATTTTTTTTATTTAAGTAAGTGTTAACAGAAAAATAATAAACGAAAATGGAAACATAGCAATTTAGAGTATATACATAAAGGACAAAACAATCAACATTTAAAAGTGAGTTGAATAGAATTTTTCACAATTTTATGTATGCTTATAGGTATTGCATCCGCGAAGAGATCTGGCTGGAACATGAAAATTTATTTGGGAAATGAGTTCGGAGGAAAACAGATTTTTGTGTGTAATCACTTCGAAGTATGGAAAACACTTCTTACCCTAATCTATTATTATTTATTACAGCTTTGAATATCTAATTTCTAGAATGATTCATGAAGAAGTTACATAATTTTTCAAGATTTACGGTTAACGATTGGACGTGTGAAGCCAGGGCGTTATATGTATATAATAATAATTCAAAACTCTTGATGTAACGAACTAGGATAATATTAATTATAGTTTGTTAGTAATTTATTGTTTGTCTAATTTGACATGGTCGGAGCGGCTAGTATATTATAGTTATAAATTAACTAAATGGTAGCTCGTCCGGAAATTGCACAAACAAAAAAATTGAATTAAAATATCAATTTTATATATAGAAACAGAAAAATTACCTTATATATTCGTTGGCGGTCTTCTTCGTCTGGCACTGCCGTAAACTCAGCTGCGTTCAAATCGAGCTTCTCACGAACTTCACTCCACGACTGTGTGTGATCAACTTCGGCTTCACTTAACGCCCATTTAAACGAACTCTCTATCTTCTTCTGTGCTTTTGACTCTTCTTTTATCTTTTCTTTGTTCTTTGTTTCCGCCTGGCAATACAATTTATACGTATTTATACGTATGAAAATCATCGTTACGAGTATAGCGGAGTCCGTAATGGGTCCGTTCCGCTCACAGTGGAAGGCGGACATAAGAACCTAACAACTACGTATCCCTAAGCGTATACGTAAGGTAACAGACGGAGCTCTACGGGCAGGATCAGAGGTTCAAGGTGGTTTTTCAAAGCTATCAGGCAGGCTTACCACGGTAATTAAGGCCTTGAAGGAGGCTTCGCCACTTTGAGAGGGAGCGAGAAATGAATACATTGAATGAGAATTTAAAGTCAAACTGAAACAATCTCAGTTCATAGTCATAATGGGCTAAGATTAACGAAACAATAACGCACTAGAAATAACCATAGTTAAATAACAAACCTTTTCCAACAATGAGTTATAAGTTAGTTTAACATTTCCAGCATCCAACGACGCCGACTTACTATCTTCACAGACAATAGTCGCGAATTCCTCAAATGTGGTATCAGCCTTAACATCGAACTGCTTTTCTTTAAGAATCTCCTTGATAACCTTCTTCTCGTCGTGGAATCGCGCTTTTAGATTCTCTACGTAAAATTTGAATAAGTCTAATGGTGTTGAACCGCTTTGACCTGCAATGGAATTACTAATAATGAAACAGTTTGAAAGTTAAAAAGTAACGTTAAATAAATTTCGTTCAAAATACAGCGCAGCGATGGTAAACACTTCCTTTATCCTGAAGGGAGGTTCCTCGACCAGTCTAACTACCGACCGGCCGGGTCGAAGGCCTCGGTGGCTATGGACCACAAGTTGTATGTATCCTTAAGCTACGGTTTCCTAGAAAAGCGGTGACGTTAACTAACGGCCGTCAGTTACGTACGGTGGCCAAGATGAAGCTGTGGTTTCCTAGAAAGTAGTGCGACCGTATTTTTGAAGTGTTATTCCACTTTCGTTCCACAAATTTTGCTTCATCTGAGCTTGTCTGTACTCTTTGGATTTGATATTGTACAAAACTTCATGATTTTTAACAAAATCAATTAATTGTTCACCATTTTCGCTCGTTGAACTACTGTTTACCACCGCTATGACGGTCGTCATGCAAATGATAGCACCGCTATTTGACGTTTCGGTGACACTCAACGTTCTCTAGAAAACCTACTCCGATGTTATTTATAGACAACGTATGGGTGACGTCACCCAAACATTATATTACGGCCGTTAGGTTTCTGCACCGCTTTTCTAGGAAACCGTAGCTTTAGTGGTAGGAATAACTTCGTTAAGCTTAGCTTAGCGCGTTTCAGAGTATGACGTCATGGAAGTGATTTGTATCGCTATAGCGCTGGCTGTCGCTAGACCCTTTTTAATTAATATAGAAAAACGGCTGGCTCTTAGAATACGAGAAAACGGTCCTGAGTTAAAACCAGAGAAGTAATATTGCCATGGCTTAAAATGTATTTTAGATTTCGGCTTTTTAAATAAAATTTAAGATAAGTGAAACGGCGGGAATTTGTTTGCAATATTATTGTTATTATAGTTGTTTACTTTTAAGCCATTTAATTAGCATACATACAAAATAGTATCAAAATTCGAAGACATTTTTTTTAACATGGATATTTACCAAGCATGGCCGAAAATCTCATATCAGCAGAAATAACTGGATACAATTCCACCCACAGAGACATCGACGTCAACTTTCCCTCTTCGTGGAGACCATCGAGAAGTGCCTGTATAAAGAATAAAGTAAACATAAGTTAGAACATTAAAAAAATTAAAACTCACTGGCCAACCTTCACGAGCCTTGGCTTTAGATTTCTGTATATTTTTAATAATTTAATGATGATATTATTTGCAAAAAAATTAAACTTACGTAACTATACTGAAATTCAATACAAAAGTTTAGATAAATTAAAATTCGAAAAAAGTTATTCACCGTTAGTCTGTGGAAAAAAGAACCGTCGTGGGATTTGAGGGCGCTGCGTGCTAAATTAAGTCTTGTGATGAAATATCACGTCATTATAGTTCGACAGTATATTGATACCTAATGTGATTTTTTTTTGTTTAAACAAAATGACGTAATAATCATTATATTGCTACGCAACACCACGCTGGTTCTCTTTCCAAACAATGTCTAGAAAAGTTCATGAAGATCAGAGCCCTTACTTAGTCTGTAACTTCCAATAGAGATACAAAAATTCCTCTCCCAAGGTGACACCAGCGCTACGGATATTGAGAGAACCACATCAATCTTGCATACTTAAACGTCGCACTGGAAGTTACAGAGTAAGGGCGCCGTATCTTATATCTATACACTATAAAGCCAAAGACAAACGCTATTGTAATATTACTAGACCCATTTCAGACTATTCCTTGCTTTGTTAACAAGGAAAATAAATACTCTTAAAAGTTCAAAACATATTCAAATTTCAATTGGAAATAGGAGTATGTTAGACGCATTACCTTGTGACTGAAAACTTACTACATATCTTATAATTGTCATACAAAATAACAAATTCAATAAAAACTGTAACAAAACATTTCTCACCAAAAAATTGTCTCTGTTCTTTCTCTGCTGGCGTTTATTTCTCTTCTTGATCTGCTCCTTTTCTTGCACAAACTCTGCTTCCAGATTTCGTATATGTTGTTCAAAAACTATATAGAGAAAATAATATATTATATTGTTACGAAGTTATACACGATTAGATACATTTTCCGCAAGCTGAAATGTTATTTATGACCGCTTCAGGAGAAGCTCCATCACATACCAGTAAATTGTAATTTTCATAAAGTACTCTCGTTTTCAGGCGTTTTGAGGACTTTTAATACTATACGCTTTTTGATGAATTACTCCTGCCAGAGAAATGTGAATTGAAGTAATTAGTGACAGTACTTTGTAAATTTACTACAGTGTTTCTTTTGAGTAATTTGTGTCTTTTGTTATTATTATATTTGTTAAATTAGGTTTTTTCTTCTGCAGGACTTGAATCCAAACTAACCCTGAATTAATTAGTAGGTACTAAAAAAGAAAATACCTATAAGAGCATCTTCTTTATCCATTCCAAGTAAGCTCACGTCGTTCTTAAAGGCAGAATTTTCTAGAAGCAACACTTGTGCTTCGCTCCACGTACTACTGTATGTTATTTCATTCATATTTTCTAGTACCTGTAAAATAAAATTTATTAAATTCTTAGTGGAACATCCAGACACATTGTGACATTGCTATAAATGTTTCACCACCTAGACTTTAGAAGATTGATTTCGGGTTCAAATGATTTATTCTTAGTAATTGCAATTGATAATAATATAAAATCTTGTCATTTTCTATTTATACGAGTATTATAGAAATACTTTTTAGTTGGTAAAAACGTGTTTCATTAACTGTATGCAGGTCTTAAAGAATATGCTTCATTGACTAACTATTCGGTAAAATTAACATACTGTTACGAAGACGGGTCGACTGCAATGTTTTTAGATTTTCCACTAGTTATAGAACTTTTCAGCAGGCTGAAATGTGATTTCTGACCGTTTCAGGAGAGGGTCAATCACATATTAGAAAATCGTAATTTACATAATGTCACCCTAGTTTTCAGGAGCCTGAAACATTTTTTTCAGGCCGTTTCAGAACACGTGTAGTCGAATGGTACACTTTTCAGGAAACCCGTTTTCAGGCGTTTTTCAGGCCTGGTTATAACCCCTTTGATGAAGGGAATGTTCTAGAACGAATTTTCTAGGTGTGGGACAAGGACGGAATGATACGCGAGAGAGAGGGAAGATCGGAACCTTCTCGAAGCTAGACCGAGCACTCTAGAACGCCGTACGACAAGGACGGAGCAATGTGCGAAAAGAGGGATAGCTAGTACGCACGTTCTAGAATTGTGCGATCGCTACTCAGTTGCGCTGCCGCCTAGAGAGTTCTCGAACATCGCGCCCAGGGATATATAAGCGAGCCGAAATGCGACCAGTTAGTTCAGTTTTTGAATGCGATACCAAGCGATAAACACCGGAGTGACAAAGTGCGAATATAGTGAAGAAAAAGTTAATACAAGTACTGTGTAAAGTGAGTGTTATTAGAGTAATTAGTGACAGTATTTTGTGTGTGTATAAGTGAATTTTTGTGCGAATTCAGTTTTTAGTGTTAACAAATTCCTCGTAGATTTAATTGAAAATAAACCCTTGAAGAGATCTACGGCGTTTCTATCCGATCCCCTAGCTCGTAACATTTTGGTGTCAGAAGTGGGATAGAAAAATGCCAATTACTCCAAGGGAGAATCAAGAGGAGTTTGTAGCAGAGGCTCCAGTGCTGAGGGAGTGCAGACAAGGGCGCAATCAGCACGCGACGTGCCCGACGACAAAGTTTCGATGCGACCGCGGGATGGGTGAAAGCAACGATGCCAACATGCTTCTTGCGTGCGCCAAATGATGGAAGAACAGGCACGACGTCAAGAGGAACAGGCACGACGTCAAGAGGAACAGGCACGACGTCAAGAGGAACAGGCACGACGTCAAGAGGAACAAGCACGACAAATGATGGAAGAACAGGCACGACGTCAAGAAGAACAGGGCACGCCGATTGATGGAGGAGCAGGCACGCCGTCAGGAGGAACAGGCCCGTCATCAGGAAGAACAGGTTCAGCGATTGATGGAGGAACAGGCTCACCGTCAGGAGGAACAGGCTCGCCGACAAGAGGAACAGGCACGCCAAATGATGGAAGAACAGGCTCAGACACGTCGTTTGATGGAGGAACAGGCTTGCCGTATAGGAGAAAGATTAGGAGATCTGAAACAAGAAGTAGATAAAAAAATCGAAAACTTGGAATCTGATATGGACTGCAAATTTTCGAAACAGGACAAACGTATTCTCGGATTAGAACAAGAGATGCAGTGCCTAAAGACCAAAGGTGTCGTAACGACTGTAGCACCATCTGGAAATCTGAAAGTACCTCCCTTTGACGGTACATCTTCCTGGGGCGCGTACAAAATACAGGTTTGAGACTGTGGCAGGAGTCAAACGGGTGGAATGACGATCAGGCTGTCACCGCCCTTATTATGGGACTGCGGGATGAAGCCCTCACCATATTAGATACCAAGACAGGTAAAGTGACGTTGAAGCAACTGTTGGATGCCCTGGAATCACGGTACGGAGACGCACATTTAGAGCACGTCTATAGGGCTCAATTAAAGGATAGAATACAGCAGACAAATGAAAGTTTGCAAAAATGGGGATGTGAAATAGAGAAGCTGGTTAGGAAAGCCTATGCATCCTCACCAGACGTTGCAGACAAGATGTTGGTTCAAGCCTTCGTCGACGGTATTCGAGATCGTGAAATCCGAATGGCTGTGAACCTAGGTCACCATAAGGACCTCAAGAATGCTCTTGCTCATGCGTTGGAAGTGGAAGCATTTTTGCAAGGATTCTCGACCTAACCGCATTAGGGCTGTCTCGGAAAAACGTAGTTCCCAACGTGGACCCACCTGTTACCTCTGCGGGGAAGTAGGGCATATGAGGTTTTTCATGCCCTAAGAGAGATCTCCGAGGTGAAAGGAAGACAAGACGTGGGGAGCCCGATGACGTGGATGTGACTGCCGCTGAACAGCGGCAGGGAAACGAATAGAAGCCAGGACCACGGGGCGGGTGCTGGCCGGTTCTGTAAGGAAGGCCCCAAAAGTTATGATCTCTCAAACTCAGGATGGGAATACCATTGTCATCGACGGAGAGGTTAACGGCACTAGGTGTGAGTTAACCCTTGATACTGGAGCTTCCCGGACAGTAATCAGATACCAACTTCTGAAGTCATTTTACAAAGAGCCTTTCTGGTGGAAATGTACAGCTCCTTACAGCTACTGGTCAGCACATAACCGTTCGAGGAGAAGGTATCGCTACCTTCAAGATTGGTGGAAGAACATACAGACATGAGGTGGTTATTGCTGACATCGTGGATGACTGTATTATCGGTTTAGACTTCATGAAGCATTACAACTGTAAGATTGACCTGAAGAACGGCACATTCAAGTGTAGAGATGAAGTAGTTTCCCTAAAAGATAACACATTGAAGAACGGGTACGACGTGTATAGAGCTATCATTGAAGATGGTACATTTAGTAAACAACGAGATATAGTTCAAGCAGGTACTGGAGGGACTGTAAGGAAACCTTGACGAGAGAAGAAATGTCGAAAGCAAAGGGACTATTAAAAACATTTTCTGACATGTTTGCTACACACGATGGAGATCTAGGAAGGACAGGTGTAGTTAAGCATCGAAATTGAGACTGGAACCGAAGCACCTATACGTTTAAGACCGCGACGAGTACCTGTCGCATATGAAAAGAATATAGACAAGATGATTGCAGAAATGTCAAACCATAATGTTATTGAAGCATCTTCCAGCCCTTGGTGCTCTCCAGTAGTTTTAGTCAAGAAAAAGGATAACAGTTTAAGGTTCTGCGTCGACTACCGTCGTCTTAACGATATCACGAAGAAGGACAGGTTATCCGTTACCTAGAATAGATGACACCTTGGATACCTTAAGTGGGGCAAAATGGTTTACAACTTTAGACTTGAAAAGTGGGTACTGGCAAGTGGAAATAGACTCAAGTCATAAAGAGAAAACAGCTTTCTCAACTGGTAAAGGACTATGGCAGTTTAAAGTTATGCCGTTTGGGCTTTGCAATGCACCTGCCACCTTTGAAAGACTAATGGAAAAAGTACTGTCAGGACTGATAGGAGAAGCCTGCTTAGTGTACTTGGATGATGTAGTCATCATTGGGAAGGATTTTTGATGATCATATACGAAATCTGCAACGGGTGCTCTCCAGACTGCATAAAGCCAACCTGAAACTAAGTGCAAAGAAATGTTTATTTTTCAAGAGAGCAGTGAGCTACTTGGGGCACATTATATCAGAGGATGGAGTTCGAACAGACCCTGAGAAGATAGTTGCGGTGAAGGATTGGCCAGTACCTAAAAGATAAAACTGAAGTCCGCGCTTTCTTAGGCTTATGTTCTTACTACCGAAGATTTGTGAAAAATTTCGCGGATATTGCAAAACCACTTCACAGACTCACCGAACAGAAGAGGAAATTCACATGGGATGGAGAGTGTGAAGATGCGTTTAATGAGCTTCAAGAACCGACTGTGTGAGACTCCAATACTAGGCTACCCGGATCAAGATGGTGAATATGTGGTAGATACAGATGCCAGTGGAATTGGCATTGGAGGTGTACTATCACAAGTAAAAGGTGAGCACGAGCAAGTAATAGCCTACTTCAGCAAGTCATTGTCGAAACCAGAACGGAACTACTGTGTCACTCGGAGGGAACTACTGGCTGTTGTGAAGACGCTGCAGCACTTCAGTAAATACTTGCTAGGTCGCAAGTTCCGTCTTAGGACAGATCATGCTGCATTAAAATGGCTACTTCAGTTCAAGAATCCGGAAGGACAAGTGGCTCGATGGATCGAACAACTGCAAGAGTATGACTTTTGCTACTGAACATCGCAAGGGGCAGAGCCCACGGGAACGCAGATGCATTGTCTCGAAGGCCATGTGAGGAGGATTGCAAACATTGTACAAGACACGAAGGTAGAGAGGTGGCCCATGTAAGGATACTAAGGACAGACACCATTAGTCCAGATTGGTGTGGGAAATTAATTCAGGAAGAGCAACAACAAGATTCTGACATTAAACCAATTCTGGACTGGATGAAATCTTCAGCTATCAAGCCGCGGTGGAATGATGTTGCATCTACTAGCACCACGACCAAGAGTTACTGGGCTCAATGGGATAGCTTAGTTCTTCATAATGGAGTGTTATGTCGCAAATGGGAAAACACTCGAGGGGATGCATCTCATCTACAGTTAGTTGTGCCAAGATCCAAGGTTCGCAACATCTTGGAAATGTTTCATGATGGCTCATCGGGCGGACACTTAGGAGTAAAAAGGACTCTTCTGAAAATTAAAAGAGAGATTTTATTGGATACATTGCCGTGAAGATGTGGAAGACTGGATTCGGAAATGTAAGGCTTGTGCAGCAGTCAAAGGCCCACAGACGAGAACTAGAGCTGGTATGAAGCAATACAATGTCGGAGCTCCATGGGAGAGGATAGCCGTTGACATAGCTGGACCATTTCCGTTAACAGAAAAAGGAAATAAGTACATCATGGTTGTTATGGATTACTTTACGAAGTGGCCCGAAGTGTTCGCTATTCCCAATCAAGAGGCAGTTACAGTAGCTGAGATACTTGTAAATGACGTATTCTCTAGATTCGGAGTACCCTTGGAGATTCACAGTGATCAGGGAAGAAATTTTGAGTCTTTATTGTTTCACGAAGTATGCCGACTAATGGGAATTCATAAGACGCGGACTACTCCATATCACCCACAGTCAGATGGAATGGTGGAACGCTTTAATCAAACCTTGGAAAGGCACTTGGCAAAACTGGTGGACAGCCATCAAAAAGACTGGGACAAGTATATTCCATTATTTTTAATGTCATACCGGTCTGCGGTTCATGAAACCACGAATGTTACACCTGCTTTAGCCATGTTTGGGAGACAACTTAGATTACCAGCAGACATTGTAACGGGACGACCACCTGACACCCCGGAGAGTGTTACAGAATATGCTGCGGATTTGCGTAATAAACTGCATGAAATCCATGAACACGTACGAGCATCACAAAGCAAAATAAGTGAGACTACGAAGATTAGGTATGACAGAAAGACGAATCACATAGAATTTAAAGAAGGCTCGCAAGTATGGCTCCATAATCCAACAAAACGCAAAGGCAAATCACCAAAGCTTCAAGCTGACTGGGACGGTCCATACACGATAGTCACGAAGATTAATGACGTTACTTACCGGATAAAGAAAATGAGTGGTTTAAGAAGCAAACCGAAAGTCGTTCACATAAATCGATTGGCTCCCTATAAAGGAAGTAATGATGCTCGGGACGAGCATGTCTAAGGAGGGGGTAGTGTTACGAAGACGGGTCGACTGCAATGTTTTTAGATTTTTCCACTAGTTATAGAACTTTTCAGCAGGCTGAAATGTGATTTCTGACCGTTTCAGGAGAGGGTCAATCACATATTAGAAAATCGTAATTTACATAATGTCACCCTAGTTTTCAGGAGCCTGAAACATTTTTTCAGGCCGTTTCAGAACACGTGTAGTCGAATGGTACACTTTTCAGGAAACCCGTTTTCAGGCGTTTTCAGGCCTGGTTATAACCCTTTGATGAAGGAATGTTCTAGAACGAATTTTCTAGGTGTGGGACAAGGACGGAATGATACGCGAGAGAGAGGGAAGATCGGAACCTTCTCGAAGCTAGACCGAGCACTCTAGAACGCCGTACGACAAGGACGGAGCAATGTGCGAAAGGGATAAGCTAGTACGCACGTTCTAGAATTGTGCGATCGCTACTCAGTTGCGCTGCCGCCTAGAGAGTTCTCGAACATCGCGCCCAGGGATATATAAGCGAGCCGAAATGCGACCAGTTAGTTCAGTTTTGAATGCGATACCAAGCGATAAACACCGGGTGACAAAGTGCGAATATAGTGAAGAAAAGTTAATACAAGTACTGTGTAAAGTGAGTGTTATTAGAGTAATTAGTGACAGTATTTTGTGTGTGTATTAAGTGAATTTTTGTGCGTAATTTCCAGTTTTTAGTGTTAACAAATTCCTCGTAGATTTAATTGAAATAAACCCTTGAAGAGATCTACGGCGTTTCTATCGATCCCCTAGCTCGTAACATACAATTGCAATTAAGAATAAAATACTGTATATATGTAATACATATTGTATGATATTGAAATGAGTTTCATTACCTGTGCTAACATTTTCATATTCCGTTTTTTAAGAGCTTTAGCTTCTTCCTTTTCACGTTTGGTAATTGTGAAAATACAATCTTCGTAGATATCACGACGGTCCGATTCGGGGACACAGCGCCAAATCTTTAAAAAAATATTTAACGTATTAAAGGAAACTCGCAGAGCGCTCAAATTGCTTAATGCATTTATAATGCATGGCAATGTCAGGCACAGAAGGCAGGTTACTTGCCCATTAGAAATGATTACGGAACAGATACAGAAATAATATCAAATGAGCTATTGCTTTTATCCACTGTTGTCAATAATTAATCGATCGCTACGAGGAAATTTTGATAAATAATTTATTTATAAAAAAAAACAAATTTTGATTCGAACTTGTTAGAATAGACTATTTATTTAAAATAAAATGAATAAAAATAATCAAAAACGTAGACCCGGAATTCTGTTAATCCGGTAGCGGTTCAAAGCCGAGGCGTATATAGTTCGAGAGACTTTACGTTCCTATGAAAAGGTGAAGGAAATGAAAATTAAAAAAAAATTACCTATTAATTTTTATTTTTTTATTAATATTCAGAATCTTACCAGTATTTAAATGCCTTTGTTTTTTATACGTTTTGTACCCAGTTTAGGACTATCAGTGGCGATTAGGAGAGATCTAAATAAGAAGAGAAGAGAATATATTTCATCGCAGCCTGTTTTAATGTAAAGGCGTGAAGAAATAGAACTTACCTCGAGATTACCAAACATATCTTCACACTTGTAATACTTGGTGAGGGAAGTAACACGATCACAGGTTAATAAGAACTCTTCTAAATTTTCTCTGTTCTTCTTTGTTTTCAATCTGAGTAAGATACGATTACAATAAGATACAAGAAGACATTATTGAAGACGGATAATATCTCTATTATTATTGTCATTTGATTAAAGTAAACAGAGCACAGCATTTTTAAAATTTAGCTACACGTAACATCAAATGTAATAATTACAAGAATTGACATATGACTCAGTCCGTACTAACATATTGTATAAACATATTATGGGGAGCGGCCAGTAAAACATTTTTTTTGAAATTAGAACGAAAACATAGAGCTCTTTTAAAGGTAATGCTATTCCGAACATACAGATTCTCATCGGAAGTCATTTAAGTATCATCTCAGTCAATTACTTTTTGTTAGGAAGCTGTATGTCCTAAGTGTAATTATTTAATATAAATTTTTCTGTCAAAGTATTACTATAGCATGCAATAATCGCAATTATATTTCGGATAAAATAAAATTCTCATGTCACAGTTTTCGTTGCCATACTCCTCCAAAACGGCTCGACTGATTCTCATGAAATTTTGTGTGCATATTGGGTATGTCTGAGAATCGGACAACATCTTTTTTTTCATCGATTTTTCATCCCCCTAAATGTTAAGGGTAGTCCACCCCTAAATATTTTTATTTTTTATTTTTAGATGTTTTTTTCTGTTTTTATTTTTTTATGATACAGAATTAAAAAATACATACAAACCCCTAACTTTCACCCCTCTACGACCAACCCCTATTTTTTTATTATAAATGATATATATAGCAAAACGACGTTTATAGCTAGTTAAATAGAAATATTGTCGTTTACCTCTGTTCCTCTCTTTCATCTTTTAGTTTTTGGGTTTTATAAGCATTAAATGCCTGTTTCTTTTCGTTTAATTTCTTAAATGACTGGTAGCGCGGGTCCTTAGAGATTATCTTCACACATTGCTCCCAAGTAGCATTTGATGCCACATTCTAGAAGCAAAAATATCTCTCAGTCTAGTCAATCAAACTGACGTCTAGTTTCAGTCTATGTCGAACCATTTCTGAACGAAGTGAAGTATTCTTAACAGAGCTAAAGACAAGATTGTGACTTAAGATACGATTTAGAATATGGACCATAGTTACTATTTGTAAAGAAAATTCAGGCCTGTAAATACTATTTGCGTATTTTCACTACACTATAAACATTAAATTACACTGACCATATGTATAGGAAGAACGACTAAATTAAATAGTATCTAATTAAAATTAAGATAAGTGAGACAATACCCTCTCCCGTAATAATTCCTTGAAAGCCTCAATGGCCTCTTTCTTATCCTTGTACTGTAACTCGAGCGGTTGCTCTGTTGGTTCTCCATTAACCTGAGCAGGGGGAGCTGCTATTTCTTCTGGTTTGACTGTGTAGTATACTTATTAATTTTCAATTAAAACAACCTGATTATTAATATTAAGATGATTGAGAAAAATTAATCAATAAAATTATATTAACATGTTAATAAAGTTTCTCAATAGAACATGGAGAAGACACACGCCGTCGAGTTTTAGCTCTCGGATATGCCGGTGTAAAATATTTGCTTAAACACTAGGGTGCACCTAGTGCTAGGTGCTAGTGGAATAGATTATGATTTCAGATATTATTTATGCGTGTTTAGACAGGTAAACGATTTTAATATTTTAATTACTATACTAATCAAACTGAGTTACATTATATATTTTTATGCTATAATAACATTATTAGAATTAGCTTACTTTCATCTGGTATTGGGATGGCATTTGTCAATGAGGGGTCAATGGAGGCCAGAGTTTTGGCCATGGCTTCATCCAAAGCTGAACTTCCTGTTTGAGCGACTAGTGCAGGAGAAGATGGCAGAGGCACTTCTCCAGCTGTCATATCAGCATGTAGTCCTGCCCTGTAAATTGTCATAGGAAAAACAATAACACAAACAAAAACATCATCAAAAATTTGTGTTATGTAAAACAAAGAAATATTTTACCTAGAGAAAATTTAAAATATGTTGATAATCTTTAATAAGTGTTGTGGTATTAATCTATTTAGAAGCCAAAAAAGGGCATGTCAGGAACTATTAGAGACGATAGAGCGGGATCCCTGGGTGCGCCGGTACCAGATAGTTACAAATAAACTGCGCACCTCTTACAGTTACTATGGAGCCAGACCTGCTAACCAAGATGGCGGCAAAACATTTCCCCGAGCGGAGTACCCCAAATCTGCACCAAGGAAAGAGCATCGACAACGATGAAGCCATCCCTGAGGAATCGTCTTCGGAATTAGAGACAGCAATAGAGCGGATGTCCACAAAGAAAACCGCGCCTGACAGCGTGCACGGGCGAATTTTAGTCCCTACCCTCGACGCTTGTCTTGGCGTGCGATTTCGATGTCTCCTCACAGAATGCTTGCGAAAAGGCCACGTCCCTTTGGCATGCAAGACTGGACGACTGGTGCTATTAAGAAAGGGCGTAAAGCCCCCCCGAGTCACCCTCAGCGTATCGCCCAATAGTCCTGCTAGATGAAGCTGGCAAGCTGTTCGAGCGGATCATTGCCGGTCGTATTTACAAGCATCTAGAGTCTGTGAGCCTGACATACACGAAGCACGATTCGGGTTTAGAAAGAGGCGATCAACAATACACGCTATCGCTCGGCTCCGAGATGTATGCGAAGAGCAGCCAGTCTCGCGGTGGTGTGGCTCTAGCAATATCGTTGGACGTCGCCAACGCTTTCAACACACTGCCCTGGGAAGGTATCGCAGAAGGCCTCAAATATCACGGGCTAACGGAGTACATCCAAAAGTGTATAGCATCGTATCTTATAGGACACCGAGTGGTTTACCCCTCTAAACATGTTATCAGGGATCGACTTATCAAATGGGGGGTTCCACAGGGCTCCGTTCTTGGACCGCTGCTATGGAATATCGGCTACGACAAGGTACTCAGGGCGAAACTACTCGCGGGGGTGACAACTATCTGCTACGCCGACGACACTCGTGGTTGCTTGTGGGCAGGATTACAAGGAAGCGCTTACTGCCGGAGTAGCCAGAGTAGTGTCTGATATTATAAAGCTTGGTCTCACAGTCGCCCTCGCCAAATCGGAAGCGATATGTTTCCACAGCCACCGCAGGGCGCCACCACAAGGTGCAAGCATCATAGTCGGCGGAGTATCCATCCTGATCGGCTCCACGCTCCGCGGTGGATGTTCAAGGCGCACTTCGCGACACTTGCCCCCAAACATACTTCCACAGCTGGTATGCTCTCACGCATAATGCCAAACATTGGCGGGCCGGGTGGTGAGTGTCGCCGTCTATACGCTAATGTAGTGCGAGCAAAGGCATTATACGGGTGCCCAATATGGGCGGATAAGCTAAACCGACACAACAAAACCATTCTCATGCAATCGCAGAGAGTAATCGCAATTAGGGTCGCGAGGGCGTACTGCACGTATGACTCAGTGTGTGTTATAGCCGGCACCACACCCTGGCACCTCGAAGCGGACGCCTTGAGCGAAGTTTATTAGAAGAGGGCCGAAGCCAGGCACAATGGTAATGACCCTGCGCTCGGAGCAATCAAGGCGTGGAAAATTGCTGAAAAAAACCAAGCAATAAGACGGTGGGCGGAGAAACTGGCTGCTGCGAGTGCCGGGTTCTACAACATCAACGCGTTCTGATTTGATTTGAGGCGGTGGGGCCGCCTCGGCACCCGACTCGTACAGATACTGTCCGGACATGGCTGTTTCGGCAGCTATTTACACAAGGTAGTCGGGCGTGATGAGGCACCAACCTGCCACCATTGTGACACCGGCGTTGTTGATGACGCGCTCCACACTTTAAACGATTGCCTAGCAGGGGAGGTGGAAAGGAGGCCTCTACTGGGCGTGCTACAGGGCGAGGACGCTTCTCTCGATAACATTGTGAGAGTAGCAGTTACAAGCTCGGACAGTGAGGGGCATGTGAGATATCCTCCAGAGATTCTGCGAAGCCGTCATGCTTCCAAAAGAAGGGATGTTGACGCATCCCTGCAAGCATTGTCCCCGGCTTCCACCAGGTTTATAGCACAGGGCGAATTGGCCGATGTGAATGGCCCTTGCTGTGCCAAGGTCCATTCCACATCATTCGTGGCCGTAGAGAACCGTGAGTTTAATGGCCGATCGCGTGGCTGGACGCGGACAAGGCTACGCTGTTTCCGTGTCCTGCCTCGGGCGGTTATGTAGGTATGTACAGCAGCGAGTTCCACATAACCCTTCACTATCAGGCAACCGCGCCGCGGGAGAGTATGCGTAACGCATTACCCCACAAAAAAAAAAAACTATGTAATCTTTAACATAATGTTTTGAAAGAACCTATATCATGGTAGTATGAAGCTCTTTACTTTTAAGTTAATTACATCTTAGTGTAATAGTTTGCATTGCATTAAGATTTTAATTGAAAAATCTTCGCAAACAAATTTTATTATTTATATACACTAATCAGCCTCCTTATCTTTAATTACGTTAAGTTTTTATTATGTTAACGCAATGAAGTTATAGTTAATAAATAAATAAATAGTAAATAAGCAATCATAACACATTTAATTAGTAAATTTGTTATGATTGCTTATTTCATAACAAAATTTACTAATTTTTGGATTGGGACCACTACCACTCTACCCAGTGTTTACACCATATAATAATTTATGAAAACTTCTTTTTTTACAGGACAAAATATTACTATAATTATATGCCTTGCTTCTCAGTTTTACATGTACATATCATCATTTTCATATACAGCTTTTAAGCCGTGATATTACCTATGATTTATGACTTTCTATTTTTCAGCATTACAATTTCAAAAGGGGTTCTATTTCTACAGCCATTGTTGTACCCAACAGTTGTTGACTAAACATGTGTAAACAGCTATTATGATAGACTGAAATATCTTCAATCTAATTTGCAAATTGATCTTCTCATAAAACTAACTACATAGTCTAATTTTTCAAAGTAATATTATAATTATTATAACAGTACATACTGTGCAGCTTCCTCTGCCTCAATTTTTTCTTTAATTTCTTGCAATTCTTTTGGAATTACCCAACTTGACTCTTTTGTCTCTATATTGTGATAATAAACACGACCAGCATCTGTAGTATATTCCTTCCAAACACAAGATGACAATAATTTCTATAAACAAAAATGTATTTAAAATTAATCTCTCCTATTTTACATAATTTATTTCCTCATAACAAAATAAATAAACAAGTATATAACTTAATGATATGGAGTAAAGTGAGTATATTTCTTAACAAACTAATACTTGCCTCTGCAGGAGTTTTCAAATCATCTGGCTTTTCCCAGAGGCTCTGTTTAGTAATTGAATTATAATAATATGTGCGTCCATCGGGAGCTTTGTGCTCTGACCATGGACTAGTCTGGTTGGCCATTGGTGATATTTCAGGTGCTGGTGCATTCAAGTCCTGTGTTCATATAATTATAATTTGAAAACTTTAATGTAAACAGCTTGACTTGGGTGCATTTGAGTGAATCAATAGATACTTACAGGTTTAAATGGTGGAAATCCAGGCGGGGGCATAGTAAATGAAGCCATCATTGGAGGATAGGCCATTGGTGGTGGAATAGCACCCATATTTGGTGCCATTCCTGGAACAGGTGGCATGGCTACGGTTGGCGGCATAGGTGGTGGTATGCCACCTATCATAGGCGGAGGCATCAATGGGGCTGAAGCCATCATTCCAGGAGAGCTGGTTTGTGATGCGTCCTATAAATATATAAAATAATTAATACCAATACTTATTTATATAACAAAACATACAATATTCCAATTCCGAAGGACTGAATTTAAAGCTGTTGCTACATCTAACTCACCATAATAAATTAATCCTCGCAGGTTATAATCTTATACTATAAATCTGGAAAACTCCTAGATTAAAAAATTATCGGTTCTGACAAATCTCCACATTAATTTTATGATAATATTTAAAAATCATAAAGCTTTGCTGGCTACCACCAGAAAACATTGCCGGATTATTGATAGTATTAATTATTAAATATTAATAGCATGTATAAATACCAATAAATACAGATATCTTTTGTAAAGTTTGTATAGACTATAGATGCACAGATTAAGTAAAATTACTACTTTACTAGCACAGAGTACTTACAGCACAGTTACTTTTACATTAGAATAAAATTAAAAGACGGAGCATTTATTCACTTCAATTATAAAAATTACATTTGATTAATACAGCAAAACGCACTAGCATGAATCTGACTTCATAGTGGATTTTCTTTTACTCGTTACCTTTTGCGTCTGGGAGCGGGGTAATATTGTGTGCATTAGTTGATTTGAGTTCGGAGTATGCAAAACAAGACCAGAGCCCTTGCTTAACTTTTAATAGCGCTGTCGCAGTAAAGTAGTTAAATCAGAGAGTTAATTAAAAATCTAGACATTTAATTAAATATCGATATTCAATCAAGTCACTAGCGTTTTGATTGAAATAAAGCAGCGTCGAAATCGTTTAACTATCTGTCTGACCGAAAGCCAGCGTGTTGATTAATAATGTAAAACAAGATGACGATCACGACAACAGCTGATTACTGTTAGAGTCTTTCTTAATTCTTTTGGCAAACGTTGGGCAACGTTGGTTTCTTGTTCTTGTTGCAAACATGGCTTTAGAAGACCCGATACGTTCGTTCAAAGAAACATTTTACGCAAAGTTTTTGGAAGATGATGAGCGACATCAAGGTAGGTTTGTGAGTTTATTTCGTTAGTTGTATATTGGTTACGTTACTAAAATAAGCTCAATGCATTTCTACACTAACGCTTGTGTGTATTTTCTCTTGTAGGATCTACAAGAAAGTCTTGGACGCGGCAAAGAATCAATGACGTAATCAACAATGTGAAGAATGCTAGGGTGACTATGCTTGGAGGGCAAATAAAACGTCCATTAACTACTACTGGTTGGCCAAATATGACATAATGGCGACAGGTGGTGAAGAATATTTAATCTTCAAAACAAAACCGGCAGAAGAACCAATTATCCAAATTGTTGCCCGTGAAGACTATTTTCACATCCTGCTGAGTGCTCACAAGACTGTGGACACGGAGGGCGAGATAAAATAGTATACTCCCTGAAATCAAAATTTTATATACCCATAAGAGCAATTCAATTGTTCGTAGCTCTACGTGTTGCATTGGTCGTGCGGGAGGCCATGAGTTAACATCGATGTTCGATTCAGTTAACATCGATGTTACGATATTTTCGAATAGCTACATCGATGTTTTTGCTTTCAACATCGATGATCATCAAACATCGATCATCCCTAGTACACATAATATTTAGGTTGCGTTGGTAGCACCGCACCGCACTTTGCAAGCGCTCCACGTGCGTTATTAGGGCGACTAGGTGACTATGAGTTTTGTTTTATGCATGTATATTGTATATATTATGTGTAATAAGTTAAGAAATTATTTAAACTGTTGATGTCAGAAATGTAACTCTAATACACCCAAACGAGACTAGTATATATACTGGACCTATATTAAGTGGGTGATAGACGTACGAACTTAAAGTACGCGGTTTTTAAGATCGTGAACTTGCTAGGCTCGACGTCGGTGACACACATGAAGCTTGCTCATACTATATCGCGATGTCGTCGAGAGAAGAAGCTTTGTGTTATTTGGGAATTTAATCATACTATATTTTAAAAACTAATAAAAAAAGACGAAATCGACAAATGTGGGTAAAGCACTGGATTATGAAAAGAGAGCGTTTATCGCATGTGAATATAGTAAGTGAAAAACAAAAAAATGGCGGCTCCCGGCTCGCAACGCTGCCACACGTACGAGCCGAGACGAGCTACGAGTAAGATTTCAAACAGGTTGGATCGCCGGCGAACTTGCGCGGCAATTTTAAAGTACGCGTTTTTAAGGTGACACACAGGCGAAAAAGGTCGTCGAGCCACAAGTCCGCGTACTTACTCGCACGTCTATCACCCACCATAGACATCTGTAGTAAAAGTTATATGTTAATGTTGACCACTGACGTCAAAAACTAAATTTGTATGAAAACTTTTCGACACGAACTGTCAGTTCCATACAAATTTAGTTTTTGACTTTCTACATACACTACTGTTAAGGCATCTTGACTAAGGCCCCAGGGCTGCCAGATGTACGATGTACGATCGCTAGACCAAGATCATACCGAAAATGTACGATTTTTTAAGCAAGTATTATGTTCGGTTGTTTCCCAGCAACCTAACGTATATTTTACTTGAATGAAGACCCTTTACGTCGGAAGACCCTTTTGTCATATAAAGTCTGTATTTATGTGCATTGTTACAAAACTTATTATTTTTCTCTTGTAAAGGCTTGTATTGGAATAGTTATAAACCTGTTTTTCTCATTATTCTCGAGCTCTACGTGATTATATCGTCTTTTGTATTTAGTGTTTTTGTGTTACTTCAATACGCTTAAGCAAGAATGGGTAGTGAAAATGAAGAAGAGCGACCTGCGCCAGGTACTCCAAAAAGGAAATTAGCCAAAAGAGGAGAGCTTTCTGCAACAGAGAGGAACAAACACAGAGTACAGAAGTATCGTCCCGAGAAGTAGGGCCCGGTAAAAACCAATTTAAAGCCAGGTGCACTGTTTGTGACGTAGAAATTGTTTCAAGACAAAGGCAGCCAGTTTCCACTTTTATGTTATACTATCTTTTCATTTCAAAATTTCCTTTTAATACGATTGTTTTTTTTTTTTTTATGGCTCTGGCACCGTTTGTGCATTAGCCAGCGTCAAGTATGAGATTTTTATCATTCGTGCTTTTTGCCTTAGAAATTCGATCATAACCTCCATGTACAGTTTAGGCACTCGCCCGGTACCGCACAACTCTCCCAAAGGCCAAGAACAAATTTAAATTAAATTAAAACTTGCCCTCGAACCGGGAATCGAACCCGGTACCCCTCACCTAGCTGCCACTTAATAAGACCGCTAGGCTATGAGGCCCCCAACGATTGTTTTGTACTCGGTGTACGATCATGCTTTTTTTTCATCTGGCAGCCCTGCCACTGACGTTGACTCAATTGTAGTTTACCAATGTGACAGTGAAATGTCATATAACTTCTTATGACGCTTGTTTAATAGATTTTAGTTTTTAATTTTTATAGTTTACCGCGCAACGTAAATAATAGTTAAATAATTAATTATTCCTGATTACTAAATTAACCACTGGTTTATAAAACGATCCCAATATGTCGAGCACATCGCAAAAACATAGAAATTTTGTTGCTGAACCCATGGGTGAAAAACCTGTCACAGATTTAGCTGGAGTGGGAGAAGTTTTAGGAAAGCGGTTAGAAACAGCAGGGTTCGATAAGGTTAGTATTTTTAGCTGTTGCTTATAGTTTGAAATTCATGACAGTCTTCTAATAATAGTTGTTTTTATCATTCCTGTGTAAATTTCAGTTTACAATTATTAATACTATCTAATCAGTATCTCTGATCTGACAAATGTAAACTGTTATTGTTTCCTATTTATTTTCTAAATGAATTTACTATGTATTGTTTCAGGCCTTTGTAGTATTGGGTCAATTTTTGGTTCTTAAAAAAGATCGTGAACTATTTCAAGAATGGATGAAAGATACTTGTAATGCAAATTCAAAGCAATCCACAGATTGCTACCAGTGCCTAAAAGACTGGTGTGATGAATTCTTGTAATATCTTACACATCTTTATATAGTATTGACAGTGAAACAAATCTCAACATTCAACTTATCTGACATCTTTTAATTACTAACTCATCAATTTTGGGCATCATTGTTAATAATTCAATTGCTGTGACATCTTTCATGACCTCTATGAAGGTTCTCTAGATTACCTTCTTGTATTGTTATATAAATTAAACCAGTTGTACTATGTGTCCAAAGCAGTGTTTTATAAGTAAATATTGGTATTGAAGTTATTGCTATGATTTCTTTAAGGGCAGACACTAAAAAAAGTGTAAAATATATACTATATAATAGAATATTTTTAATAAATAATGTAAATGACTAAAGTTCTTGTAACAAATTCAATTGTTTGTGTTGTAACTAAAGTTATATATGCTAGCTAATATTTTTATAATTTTGATAAGGAAAAAATAAGCGTACTCCTTTGAAAGGCAGACATTATTGATTTGTAAGAATACATAGTTATAAAGATAATGACATACATAAGCATGCAGGTTAACCCCCCTTATTCCTAAAATTGGTCTGATTAGCCTAATTAGCTTAAGTACTCTATTTTAAAGAAAAGAGACAGATAAGTACTTTAGTTAAATTGGTGCCATTAGACTAATTTATTTGTTATGAATTAGGGAGTAATATTATTGTATAAACTCTGTATTACCACATAATGTCTTTGTTAATTGAAATAAAGCTTAATAAAAAAATATTTATTGTGGTTTCGTAAAAAGATATTGCCTTTTACTTTAAACAAAGAGAATATATTTTTTTTTTTTGAGAAACAAAACCTTTAACTTTACTAAAAAAATATTGTAAGCTTAACTTTTATATTTTCATAACTAAGTGATCATTTAAATAGGAATATTTTTTATTTAACTGATTTTTAATGTAAAAGATAGAATAAAATAATATCAAAGAAATGGGGCTTTTGGATAATTTACATATAAAAGTAAATTTTTATATAATACTGTTGTGGTAGTTAATTACTATATCTACTAAGTACTAATTTAAAATTATTACTTTGATATACAAAGACCTATATATCTATATAGAAATTGTGCATGTGTGATAAAATAACCAAACACGAATAATTGCCTAAACTACTCAACCAATTCTTGAAAACCAATAGATTAAACTTAGATTGGCGCAACTATAATTATTAAAACAACGATCCAGAAAATGTTATCAACATTACAAATTAATGTAATTAATAAATATCCCGAAAGATTTATTCTTTGTTAACAAACTCCAAGCATCGATTAGTCAGGCCGCACACCAGGCATACATTTGTTAATTACGTCGCCACAATCGTTGCGAAGTCGTTGCGCTACAAATGTATTGAAAATGCGCACATCGGAAGCACAGTTGTAGCGTGGCACCGCTTTGAGAATGTCGACATCATCGTCTGATGACGAAGATTTCTTGATGTGGCGATTAATGAGAAAAAAAGACGTTATTGGGTTCATCCGTTTAATCAAGATTGCACAAAGTACGGGAATTTCAAAATTTCATTAAATTTTTCGCCAATCTTAGTCCAAATTATTTCTGTAATCCGTCTGTTACTATAATCATTGAGCGTGTGATTGTATAATACAGGGTTTTTTTCAACCTCTGCAATAAACTCAACGTAAAATCCAATGTTGTCTTTCATATTTGCAAACCAACGCGACCCAAAAAACGAACGTGTTCGATCTTGAATTTGTGTGGGGCGGACACCGTCTCGCTACAAAGTGCGCTCGCCACAAATGTTTTCCCGGTGTGCGTGCTCACGTACAAATGTATGATGAGGGCGTTAAATGTGTCGCGTTTCGAATGTGGCGGCTGGCGCTACAACTATCGAGTTACAAATGTATGCCTAGTGTGCGGGGCCTGAGTCCTGACTACGTCTTTATTTCATTATAATGCAATTGTGACATGAAATACTATAGGCTACGATTTACTTAGAATTATGAAAAACAGATGGCGCCATAAAATCTTAAATGTATCGAATCGTGAGTTTCTAAAATGTATTTAAATAGAACTCGATGAGAATTTGTTTGAATTCAACTATTAAGGCTGTATTGTAGAAAAGTTGTCTACATACTTCCGCTATTGCGTAATTTTATTGTCGAAAATGCTTCGTTCGCAGCCAAGAGACATGGTGTTGGCGCGGGTGACAGTTTCAGTAACGTTTCGTTTCACTCTTGAAAGTTGCCGCGATTTAAAAATTATGACTTAATATTTCAGCTGTACCACATTCGTAATATATCAAATCATTAAAGAATAAAACATTAAGCAACTGTGACCCGCACCATGCTATAGCGCACACAGTATAGCATATTCGAATTTCAGAAAACTATAGCTTTATAAAGGAAAAGAAAGAAATATTTTGCTGATATTCTTGATATTTTCATATTTATCTGCGTCTATTAAGTTATCCTCGCATTGATTCAATTCAAAATTGTGTTAGCTTTTAATATTTATTTAATTAAATTCTAAACATTTTTATGAATCATAATATTCTTTTGCTACAAGTGCGCATGTGCAATAATTACTCATTTGACTCGTTCGGTTGATTACGAATAACTGCCCGACGTGGAAAGGTCAAGTCGGAGTGGGGAATAGATGATAAAAGAGGTTGTAAGACATGCGCACGGGCAATTCCTTTGTTCAAGTTTGAAGTTATACAGTTTACGTAAAATCAGTGTGTGAATTATAGTGAATCAAGTCATCATTGGAGTGTTTAATTTCCTACTACAACTAGATCAACTAGCCCTTACAATTGTTTAAACATAAACGAAAACTTAAACTTAAAACACATTAACTCTAGTTTAAATCATTATAATTATACGAAAACGTTATACAAAGCTGTATTACCATATACATATATATATATAGCAAGACAAAATTAACATTATTAAATAACTAAAAAAAAGGGTGCGTGTACTTATGTACGCGTAAGAAGTTATACTTCTTTGGCATTATTAAAAATAGTTTGGCTTTGTTCCACCTCCAGTTTTTGATGTTTCACAGCGATAAGATGACAACTCTTTTTTTGTATTCAATTTAGTGCACTTACACTGATTCATCAATTGTTTTTTGTCTCTTGTCCTAATATTTGCTAGAGAAAAATTACATGTTTTGATTAAACAATGTCGTAATTTTTTTAATCAAAACATTACTCGATAATAATAATACAAACTGATAGTTAACCTCAATTGTAATGAAGCACTTAGGAAGGTTGATGAGCACAGTTTTTTCACAAATATTAATTAGTATTGGTTTAAATATTCAATTTAAATCACTTCTGATTATATATAATTCAAAAAGCATTGCTAAATTTCTTTGAAAAAATAATTAAAACTCCTTTATTTGTTTAAAAGGTAAATGACAAATGTCATTATGGTCATTCAAAATTCTTGGCATATGAACTTCACGCATATTCTATTTCTTTTTACTTGTAGATTGTCTTATTCCTATCTCGCTCGCGCACGCTATAATCACACTCCTAATTTTGTGTCACAGGTGCGCGCGCATCGTAAAATTTCACTCTCATAAATTTTTCATAACGCGCCTAAAGAAGTATAACTTCAAAAACTTTTTGTTAAAACGGTAGCCATTAAAGATGGTGATGCCGAATTAATGGCAAAATCGGTTGTAATAATAATGGCAATCACAGCTTTACTAAGGATTTACGCATAAGAAGACTCTGGGAAAAAGCTCTGAAAAGCCGTAACTTCAAAGCTATAAATGTTATGTTTAGAATATTTTATTGAATCCGATTATGTAGGCGTAAGATCCTCTATATAAACTACTTTTAAATTATGTATATGGTATAGGTACTTAGGTATGTAATAAGCACTAATTATTATGCATTCATTTTAGGTTTACCTCAAGTTCATAGATATTTGAAAAAGACTGCAATCCCAACTATTTTCACCTGGAAGAAGCCCACTACCACATCAAGTATCTTAATAATATAATTTTAGGGGCAGCCAAGTCATTACATATTTGGCCTAGCCGTCCACTGGTTCATGCCAGGTGGCAGATTTATTTAAGCAATATCATCCAGCTACCAGAGTGATAATAGATAGTACAGAAATACCCTTATCAAAGCCAAAAACCTAACAGCACAACAAACAACATTTAGTAGCTACAAATTCCACAACACTTTAAAATTCTTGGTGGGCGCTACACCTGGTGGCCTGATATCGTTATTTTTAAGATGGACATGCATGATTTACCAGTGACCGCCAAATAACTGAAAGAAGTTCCCTTTTAGCTGTTAGTGATGAAAAATATGCAATAATGGCTGACCTTGGATTAAATTGTGTTATGCTATGTTATTTTAAAGAAGGAATTGAAAAATAAAAGTACAAAGTAATCAGTGGGTTTTTATTGTTTCAAAGTAATTCTTATAAATATACCACATAAAATTTGTCCAATAAATTCTTTTCAATGAATATTAAAAAATATCCAATGTGATAACCTCGTGACAAGATCTGCCATTCTTCCTTTTAATGAACCGCCCCGAGTCTTCAATTTTGCTTTTAATTGAGGAACAGTTCATGTCGAATACATTATTCAGGAGTTTTCATTTGTAAACACCTTTTAAGATTTTCTAAATCGTATCCCAGATTTACGTAAAAAATCTGAAAACTGACAGCGTATTGTTATGGGTCAAGCGATGATAGCGACATCTGCAATTAGCTTTGCGTTTTCTCCTCCATTGGCCGTTGACTACGAAAATACAGATTAACGTCTTTTCGTAGCACTGGTGGTTGGTGATATCGAACATTTCATATTTATATGTAAGTGCTTTTCATTTGACAGATTGATTCTTGTTAGTGAAATTATTGACCCAGTGCAAAATCAAGTGACAGTGCAAGATCCCTCCCGCCACCTGAGTGATATGTTAAAAAATTGATCCTATTACGTGCCTCTATATAAATTCATCAAAAATACAGTGGGGAAATTATAATAAACCGAAAAAAAATACTCAAGACTTGGCCTAAAGGTCTAGATACCAGGCCATTAACTCCAAAAAAAAAAAAAAAAAGATTCTTCGTAAAAATAACATACAAATGTGATTCAAATTACAAAACAATTAAAAAATAGATAGATACCAAAGTTTAAGTAAAGGAAAATGATAATTCTTCTTACGCAGGCTTTTAATTTCCTCGCTACAGTTCTACAGCAAGTGTTATATTTAGCATCTTTCGTTGGACAATTAATTGTGATAACACTATTGACTCTAATAAATTTTATATTTCGAAGTTTAAAAAGTGCTTTAGTGTTTTTTCAAATCGTATACGAAGACAATGTTTTTATATTTACAGAAGAATTACCAAACTATTTGTCATTATACTTTGAGACTGTACATGTACAATACTTGCATATTAAGAGTGGTTTGTGGCTACTGTCCAGTGAAATAATATTTAAAATTACCTGTTTCCTTACATCAATCAGTAATTTAATTGATACATTACTCTTAATATTTTTTGAAATATTTATAATTTTAAAAAAGACTTTGTTGTTATTGGGAGATGCACTATGGATATTAATAACATTTATACCATTTCATTTACCATATTTGCTTAGAGTGCTAGTAAATTATATTAAAGAATTTATTATTACTTTAATTATTGATCTTTACAAAAGTGTATTAAAGTTTACAAATTTTTTATCAGATGTGCCTTTTGAGTCATTCATTGGCATTATGACTGCTATAGCCTTAATACGCTTTTATGTAACTTTTCAAATTGAAATACATTTGGAGATATGGAATATATATTTTGCTATTGTAAGGAAATTGTGGTATTTATACTATTCAGTTTATAACTACTTTATAGATACAAATGTTGCTATAATAGCTAGAATTGCTAATGGAGAACAAATTATGACAAGAGATATCCCACCAGAGGATGTGGAGGAAATAAATCCTGCTGATGCATTATGTGTTATATGCCAAGAAAGACAAAAGTGTGTATTAATATTACCATGCAAACATGTGTGTCTTTGTAGGGAGTGTTGTCTTCGCCTTTACGGGTATCAGCGTACTTGCCCTATTTGCAGAACATTTATTTATCACTCAGTAACCATTTATTTGTGATATTGTATTGTAATACAGATCTGGTTCTCTATAATTGGAATAATATGTAGGGGAAATAAAATTTAATATTTTATAGAATATTATTTATCTTGTGTATCTTCTTCTTGTCTTCTTTTTTTTTACCCTTTGTAATAATTATCTTGTGTCAATAAATAAAAAATATTATAGGTTATTATATTATATTTACTTGCTTTAAAGTATACCATCCAGTTTGTTTTACATATATAAATACATCCTATAATATTTAGCCATAATTATGCTATAAATATTATTGATAACATTTAAGTAATATTATTTTTATATCGTAAATTGTGGGAAGCTTTATATAAATTCAATGTAAAAACTGCAAAAATTAGTATAATAAAACCAATGGCACAACCAATAATATCACCAATCTGCATGTAAATCCACTCATCAAATAAAATGCCAGATGCAACTATTACTAAAGTTGTAAACATGACATAATAAACAGGTGTAACAATGTTACTATTAAATATGTCTAATGATTTATTTAAATAATTAATCTGAATAATTATTCCTGCAATAGCTACTATCAATATTAACCAAAATATAAACATATCAGATTCATGACTGTTTATTCCATCTCTAATACCAAGAGATATAGCCTTACAAAACACTACAGAGAGGCTTCCTATAGCAGAACAAATTATAAGATATACTGTTATGTTAGTTTTTCCATATTTTGGAACTAACGAGTACTTTACAACCATAAATAATATGATTATAGAAAATACATATGACAAAAACAAAGTATCACCCAGTCTCACTACTAACTCTGAAAATGTTTTAATATTATCACTTTTAGGAGAATGTACAATTAAGATAATAGAACCGATAACACAGAGCACACAACCAACCTGAAAAAGTAGAATTTATTGTTACTGAAATCATGCATCTTCTCTAAAAGGCAGAAAATCAAGAATAAAATTATAAAGTTTTTTTAAAACAAATATGATCAACTACACATTTGACGGGAAATCAATTAAAAGATAATAGTTATATTAAAAGTACCTTTCCAAAAAAATGAAGTGTTTCCCCAAGAAATTTAGATGATAATACTGCAGTAACAAGTATGCTCAGTGCTCCAAGAGGTGTGACCAATGCTGCTGGTACAAAAGCATATGCTAGGAGATTTGCTCCCTCTCCAATTCCCACTGTACAAAGAATTTTCCATGTATTATCAGCGATATTAAAAATAACATAGTAGTAATTGATGTTTATTTACTTGTTATTAGTCCCAGCCACCACAGCCGTTCTTTTAAATATGAATAACCCCCAGATGAAGCTCTCAAATTACCTTCTAATACTATTCTTTTTAAGGCTTTCTTTTTGACAATAAAACTTATGCCAATAAAGACACTAGATGAAATCGCTAAACTTAATCCAATAATGTAGGATATATATTCCGGGTTTTGTTTAACAATATAGTTATTTGCCATAATTACTGTGTCTTGTACCACTTAATTAATACACCTTAAAATATGGTACAATTATATTAATGAATTAAGAAATTTTATAAATACATCTGTTATAATTAGGATAGATAATTAGGTATATTTCTGAGTCAACCCTAGAATGATAATATGAATTCATAAGAAATCATAATTTTTTTTTAGTAAAGTATTTTTCACTTCAAAGAGGATCTATAAAACGTCACTTAATCTTATGATATTTTATGCACAAGCCTTAGCCTTTGCCCTTTAAGGACTATGGACTATCGTAAATACACGCAATGATCTTACGCCGACTTTATACCCGGCTTTGATCGGCTGTTATTGACCGCAAAGATTTCTAAAATCGGAAATCGGAACTAGCGTTAGTCTACGACAGTCGACAACACAGGAATATTATTTTATTGATTTTACCTTTTTTTTTAAATATATTACTAGAGTATGGCTACAAGATTTTGACATTTATTATGGACAAGTAAAAATGTGAAAATCAATCGAAATTGAGATAAGATCACAGGAATCGATTCATACTAATACAACAAAGTATGTATTGGAAATCAATCTAAACGTTGTGGTTTGGACACTGGATTGGTTTGTTTGTTACTAAGTGCGTTTTCCAATTACAGAGCATTTTTCGACTCAGTGCCGCACAATGCCGCATAATGCTGAAGCTTAATTGGAACGTGAATTAGTTTTCAAATGCATCAGCAGAGTGCGCTAAGTCAGTGTTGACAAAAAAATGGTCTGAATAGAGTTAGCAACCTCATTAATGTATAAATAACAATAATAATTGGTTGAAAACTTTTTACGCTTAATTTAATAATCAAATTATTTCATTAAATTTTTTTTACTGAAATAAGAGAAAACCTTTAAAGAATATAAGGTTTTAACAAGCTAAATTAACAGTAAAATATTTAGTTACATGTAAGAAGTTTACATCATTTACGTTTTGAGTAATATTTTTTAATGATTTCTAAAAAAATATATACTTTTTCAAAACCATTGCAATTTTTTCTAAAGTATAATCCTGTAAAGTAAATTTGTTTACAGATCCGAATTTTAAAATAAAATTGTATTCATATTTTAAATGTGGAATATAAAAAAAGTAACTATTTATACCTTCATCCATACTAATATTTATTTTTTTAGCAGTTTGAAATAACTTTAATTATTTTCAAAATCTACGACGAAACGAAAGCCTTACAAATTTTTCAACAATAAATAATATTTACTAACGAAAATTTCGATAAATGCCAACTTAAAGAAAAATACTGGTTAATTTTCTGTCACTGTGTTGGTATTGTTTGCGAGAGCATTCGTTTTGAGAGTGCTCAATTGTGCGAAGCGTTGCTGTAGTTGGAACACTCAACGTTGAGCATTATGCCGCAAAATGCGCTCTAGTGCTGTAATTGGAAAACGCACTAAAGGTAAACGTCATATCGAAACTTTTTTATAAATATTGGTGTTTCCTATTAAAACTATACTATATAATATGAAACGCCTGAGAATTAGAGTTTAGCAACTTTAAAATAATATAGATATTACATATATGCTATATTTAGTTAATGTTAATTAATTTAATTTTTTTAAATTAGTTTTCTTATATTAATTTAATTTCTATTACGTTTTTAAATTTTAAATCTTTTTTATGCAACCCTTTTTATATTTTAATATAATATATCGATTATTAATATTTAAATGTTGTTTTTTCATTTTAAAAAATAGATTGCTTTTCGTTCTAAAATGGGATCTAGTGCATCACTTAACGATACACAAAACAGAGCGGAGATTTAAAAATTTCAGTACTAAACATTAGTATTGCCAGCTTTACTGTTTCGGTTTCTTCTTGTACTCATGATTCTCATTTCTCCCGCCAATTTTATATGTCAAAGTCCCATATACGAGTTTAATCGAAATCGCGGTTTATAATATTTTATATTACTTTATAACTTGCGTGTACATCTTATTCCTTAAAGTACCTCACTCACACCTGGCTTGCCTATGCTAATTGTTAACTTGAAATAGTTAACAATTTTCTAAAGTTTATTCCTAAAAAGTTGTATATCACGTTTAGACTGACGTTTGTTGTTAATTGAGAAAGTACGTAAGTGTGTACTGATTACTTGATATTCCATTACATTTACGCATTTCAAATGAGTTAAGCCGAAATATATTTTTTCTACATTCTATACCTATTACCTACCATTCGTGTTGTTCAAACTTTAAAAATATTGTAATTTCAGCATTCCAGGAAAATACAACAATAACAATTGGAAGTCTTCTATTTCACCAACTAGGCACATTTTTTTATCAAAACAATTCTTTAATACATCAGCAAATTACAAAGTATTAAAGTTCACAATGGTTGGAAAAATGAATAAGTTATACGTCCTCAAACGTGGTAAGTTATAAACGTGGTTTTAAGCCATTTAAGGTACACTTGAAAAGTTATTTAAGCTACTTTCGCTGTCTTTAGTTGTATATTTAAGACTTTTAAATTTTAAATTAGATGGAAGGATGGAAGAAGTACACATTGATAAGATAACATCAAGAATAAAAAAGCTTTGCTATGGGCTTAACATGGACTTTGTAGATCCAGTAAGTATACAAGTTTACTTCAAGAATTATCTGTAACATGCAAATTTTACCGTATATTATTAAATATTCAACATTAAACTTATGTTATGTATAGACTATGAATCTTCTTCATTCTTAAAATACTTATCAAAGTATGACACTGTTATATGGATAAATTATATCAAGATCCTGTGATTTTATTTATGTATAGGTAAGCATAACACTCAAAGTTATAAGTGGCATCTATTCTGGAGTGACAACAGTTGAACTAGATAATTTAGCTGCAGAGATTGCTGCTACAATGACAACAGATCATCCAGATTATGCTGTCCTTGCAGCTAGGCTTGCTATATCCAATTTACATAAGGAAACAAAAAAACATTTTTCAGGTAACTGCTGATCATTGCTATTTAAGAATAAATATTAATTTTCGTGGGTAAATAATCTTGTCTATATTTTATTTACAGATGTTATGTCTGATTTATATAACATTATCAACCCATATACCAACAAAAAGGCACCCATGATATCTGATTTTCATTATAATGTTATTGTAACTAATAAAGACAGATTAGATTCAGCAATTGTATATGACAGGGACTTTAAATACAACTATTTTGGTTTTAAAACTTTGGAAAGATCATATCTTCTAAAGATTAACAATAAGGTGAGTTTTTTGCATTACACCCACTCTCAATAATGACAACAATTGACTAATAATGTGCTATTTAAGTTGCTAAACTTAGTAAAAACTGGGCAGTTGTGTACATTATTTTGTCGCTTTATTATCCTAGCCCGCAATAAACTTGACTGTCAGCATCATGCATACAAACTTTTAAAGAAATTCATTCTTTTGTTTACAAATTGGGATTGCTTGCATGTGTAGACTGTTGTTGACCATGTGTGACTTATAAGAAGGTGTCATGGATTATCTTTCTATGTTATCATATTCTTAGTTGCTCACCAACTTTCAAACTGCAAACATGGCTAGTAAAAGAAAATCACTAAGTAAATTATCTGATTTTTCTTCTCTCCATTTAACGACAACTCTGTATAATGCTATAAAATTCACAGCCCCTTCAGTGTCGTTATATAGAGTTAACACTGTATGTTTATTGGTTTACCCTATCGTTAAGGTTGAGGCTATTTAAGAAATGTAATTTTTTGCAGGTTGCAGAGAGGCCACAACATATGTTAATGAGAGTTGCAATTGGTATACATGGAGATGACATAGATGCTGCCATTAAGACATACAATTTGTTATCTGAAAAATACTTTACTCATGCCAGTCCAACTCTTTTCTCAGCAGCAACACCTAGACCTCAGCTGTCTTCTTGTTTTTTAATTGCTATGAGAGATGATAGTATTGAGGGTATATATGATACCCTAAAGCAATCTGCTTTAATATCAAAGTCTGCGGGTGGAATTGGTCTTCATGTTCATTGTATAAGAGCTAAGGGAACATATATAGCTGGAACAAATGGGGTTTCAAATGGCTTAGTGCCTATGTTAAGGGTGTACAACAACACTGCAAGATATGTTGATCAAGGCGGAAATAAAAGACCAGGTGCATTTGCTATTTATTTAGAACCATGGCATGCTGATATTTTTGAATTTTTAGACCTCAAAAAGAATACAGGGAAAGAAGAGGTGCGTGCCAGAGAGCTTTTCTATGCTCTTTGGATTCCTGATTTATTCATGAAGAGAGTAGAAAATAACGAAAATTGGAGTCTCATGTGTCCTCACAATTCTCCTGGCCTTGCTGATTGCTGGGGAGAAGAATTTGAGAAGTTGTATGAACAATATGAAGAAGAGAAAAAGTATGTTAAACAAGTTCGGGCACAAATTTTATGGAAAGCCATAATTGAAGCACAAGTAGAGACTGGAACACCATTTATGCTGTATAAAGATTCATGTAACAGAAAAAGCAATCAACAAAACCTTGGCACAATTAAATGTAGCAATCTTTGCACAGAAATTGTAGAATACACCTCGGAAGATGAAGTGGCTGTCTGTAATTTAGCATCAATAGCTCTCAACATGTTTGTCAATGAAAACAAAACCTACAATTTTGAAAAGTTAAAGGAAGTCACTAAAACAATAACCCAAAATTTAAATAAAATTATTGATGTGAATTACTATCCAGTTCCAGAAGCTAAAAATTCAAATATGAGACACAGACCAATTGGGATTGGTGTTCAAGGTTTGGCTGATACATTTGTTTTAATGCGTTATCCATATGAAAGTGAAAATGCAATGAAATTAAATCAACAAATATTTGAGACAATTTACTATGGGGCCTTAGAAGCAAGCTGTGAATTGGCAGAAAAAGAAGGTGTATATAGCACTTTTGATAATAGCCCTGTCAGTAAAGGTATTTTGCAATATGATATGTGGAATAAAATACCTACGGACCTTTGGGATTGGGTTGCTCTAAAAGAGAAAATTTCTAAATACGGTCTTCGTAACTCTTTACTTCTAGCGCCTATGCCGACCGCATCCACAGCACAAATTCTTGGAAATAATGAGTCATTTGAACCATTTACATCAAACATATATCAGAGAAGGGTTCTGTCAGGAGAATTTCAAGTAGTGAACCATCATCTTTTGAAAGATTTAACACAAGCAGATCTTTGGGATGAAGACATGAAAAACCTTATCATTCATAATAATGGTTCAATTCAAAATATCGAAAGAATTCCGAAAGAAATTCGTGACTTATACAAAACAGTCTGGGAAATTTCAGTTAAAACGACGATCCAAATGGCAGCCGATAGGGGCGCATTTATCGATCAAAGCCAGTCTTTTAATATTCATGTTGCTGAACCAAATTATGGAAAGTTGACTTCTATTCATTTTCATGCATGGAAAATGGGGCTTAAAACTGGCATGTATTATTTGCGCACAAAACCAGCTGCCAATGCCATTCAATTTACGGTTGACAAATCAAAAGTCAAAGTTGGAAATGGTAAAGTTGATAAAGAAGAAGCTGATATGTCAATGATTGCATGCTCATTACTTAACAAAGACCAATGTCTAAGTTGTGGTTCTTAGTTTTATAATAATTACAAATATTAAGAACTAAACTTGGTTTATGATTTTGCTTTTATAATAAATGCTTTTATAATCATATTATGCTTTTACTTTTACCCACATAACTACGTTTTCTAGGTTATCCATTTATTATATTAAAAAAAAGCAGTAGTAACCAGCCGGTTGTATTTAAAACTCGCGGAGCAATAGCAGCATATTTTATAAATTCTGTTTATAAGTCCGATTAGAAAATACCTACTAGATATGCATGAAAAGTTTTGAATTATTATAATTACTTTTTATTAACTAGCGACCTTCATGAATCATTCTATATATTAAAAAAACTATAATTACAACAGAGGCAGCGGAAGACTTGTATATATAAGTTAAACATCCTGTCATTGACTTTTTTTTGGAGGCACAGTGGAATCTCTAAAACTCGAATGTCAAGGGAAATGCAAAAAAATCGTGTTAACGACTTAACCAGAATTTCGAGACACATGATTTAACTGATCATATTTCGACTTACAGAGGCGCAATTTCTAAGTGTATTTTTCGATTTGTAGAGTCGAATTTGAATAACAATTCAACGTAAGTTTTTCAGCGGGAATGGAATTTTTTTTCGCCTTAACGAGGTTCGAGTTATAGAGATTCCACTGTATTATTAAGCTCTCGAACTAGAATCATATTTCTCGATCGACTATTTTTTCACCGACTACCCACGAAAGTCGTTTCATTTTTCGTTAATATTTCGGCATAATATATGTATAAAGGTATTCGCGCGCGCTGCGGGTTAGAGTGAGAGAGGGGTAGCCTGCCTACCGCTGCCGTGAGTTGCTGCGTGCTGCGCCAGAGAAAGGGAAGCTTTATGAAGTTTTGCGTCCTACCATTGGAGGCCCATTTGCTTTTCGTCGAGTGCTCCATTCTCTGCGGTGCCGGTCGGTAGCATTATTTGCACGTATTCCGCTAAAAAAAACACCTTTTTCGCTACTCCTTGAAGCCTTAGCTAGCATCGGAATACTGGTCGTTGACATTTCGAACGACGATTAGTTTCGCAGTCATTTGGAAGGCAAAGCTTAATTAGCCTCCAAAAATCTTGGTGTTCTCAGCAAGGAGAGACAGTACTTCACTCCGGGCCACCGCTTGCAACTCTATAAAGCGCAAATTCGGCCCCACATGGAGTAGGTACTGTTCTCACCTCTGGGCGGGAGCTCCCCACCACCAGCTCCTTCCGCTTGACCATATTCAACGAAGAGCGATTCGAATCGTCAACGACCAGCCCGTGCGGCTTGATCCCTCGGCGTTGAGTAGAGATGAGGGATCTCTCTGCATCTTCAAACATGGAGAGTGTTGAGAGGAGTTGTTCGGTCTAATACCTACAGCTTCATTATCGAACGTCAAGGCAGAATACAAAATCCGTATCACCTCGACGTCCGCCGTTCCAGATCTGAGTATTTTATAAGGCAGTTTTTGCCGCGCACCACCTTTTTATGGAACCAGCTGCCCACTGAAAAATTTCCGAACCAATTTGACTTAGGGTCCTTAAAGAAAAGAGAGTACCAATTCTTGAAAGGCCGGCAACGCACTTGCAAGCCTTTTGGCAATCCATGAGTGTCCATGGGCGGCGGTATCACTTAACATCAGATAAGCCTCCCGCCCGTTTGCCTCCTTTTATATAAAAAAAAGGACTAGCGCCGTAACGCAGCGGTACCCTCTAAGAAATTATCACATACATAGTATGCTTATATGGTTATATATAATAAATAAACTTGCCCCAAATATTATTTTTGGTCATACAGTTATCTGAGATACAGTGTAATAGGTAATTTGGCAAAAGCTTCTTAGACGAACAGAAGGCTTGCGGGCGGCTCAAACTCATAAATCATTCTTCTTTATGCCCCAATTTAGGCCGGTGTTACTTTTATTAATTTTTATAAAATATCACAATTAGATATATGCACCAAAGAACGAAATGTAGGCAATTGCTAGTAGAACATAGAACAAAATTTTGGTGTTATAAAAATAAAAAATCATTTAATCACATAGGTAACATAATGTACACTTATGACTTGTCAGTAAAGAAATACATATTAATGCTTCTAATTTTACATTTACTGCCAGTTCTCAAATCAAGGGCGTAGAACGGGAGAGAAGAACTGGCAATAAACTCTCCGCCACTCTTTTTAATCGCCATTTTTTTGTTTTACAAAATGTTTGTAAGGAGCTGCAACCATTACACCATGTTCCACATGACATCTTAAGTAATAAATAATAATAACATAAATTAAAAACAAAGGTTTGTCCTCTATCAGCAGAAGGCATGGTGAAATAGGAGCACGCACTTACATTCTCACGCAAACACATAGTCGAAATAACCAACATCACCGCATACACGAATTCAAGTACGACCAGTCACAACAAGCAGCACCCCTTCACGAGCATGACGCATGGCCAGCCATCGGCCCCCTCGCCATATTTTAGAGAGAGAGACAACCCGACGCATGGACGCATTATAATTAAAAGTATTTTTTTGTTTAAAGGGTGTTTAAGTAAATACTTATATAGATTCCAATAAGTCAAGAGAACGAGAAGAGAACTTCAATCTTACAATTTTAATTTATTTAAATTGTAAGTGCCTGCATTTTAAAACATGTCAATCGTAATTTTTAATATTTAATTAATTTTTCCTATAACTTCTAAGGATAGGATAAATAATATCTAATGATTCATTGATCTCAGACCGACACTTGCCACCTGAAACAATAAACACTTTTAAATCTACTTATCTTTGTATTCATCATCATCAGCCTTAGTTTAGGACCAGGGAGTAACCACAAAATTGCAATTGAACAAATAATACATTGGTTTTAATAAAGAATTGAATTGTGGTTAAAGAAAGAGTGGGGCTTGCAATAGCCTAATAAGTAAAGCATTCATTTACATGGATTCTTTTATGGTAAAATTGAAAATCTTTAATTTATACTACTTTGGACAAAACTATATTTTTTAAGACTTACCTGTAATAACCATTTTTCCATTAACAAATATTAACAGAACAACCCTTGGCCGCACCATTCTATATACCAGGCCAGGAAAAAGTTCTGGTTCATAAGATGCAAATTGGCCATGTGCTTGTTGGAGTGCTTCTAATCTAATGGGAAATCTTAAATCTGCAGTTGCAATAAAATTTTGAACTTTGTAGTTTAAAAACTTTACCTAAAATAAATATATATATACACCTTTATTATTATTATATATACATATATAATAAAAGTGTTTTATTAAATGACACAAACAGAAGAAATATAATGTACACACCGGAAATCCTAATTTCTGCACAATTCTAGCAAATTTTCTGGTTGAAATGTAAGCATCATGTTCGTTTTTTGCTCCTGTGCACACAATTTTTCCAGATCTGTCAAATAAAGTACAGTATTTTTTTATGAGATCAGCAAATTTTAGTCTAAAATACTAGAAAACAGGTTCCATTTTAAATTACTTAAAACTGACAGACTGGCTGTAGAGATAAATAGTAAAGTTACTTTAAAGTTACATAAATTTATATCATACCTGAAAACCAAAGCTGTTGCCCGGGGCTCTAAAATTTTCATAACCACTCCATGAAATCTTGCTGGATTGTATTCAGAATACCTAGTGCGACAATAAATGTCTAACAAGTTAAGTTCACATCCTAAACTAACAGTTGCTACACAATTTCTGGAATAAAACATTATCACCAAATCATTAGTTTGAAGTTTAATTACACAGTCACAGCGCACAATTATAACAATTCTCAGCTACACTATCAAATACATGCGCATACACACCTAATCGCACACTCACACATTCACGCATAATTAATGTTTTAAAAGACTTAGTTGTAACATTAAAATAACTTAAATTAATTAAATTTTTATTTGTTAAGATTACTTATATTATTACTTTTTAAACAAATTTTACATTGTTTTAAAAAGTGTCAAGTCCCAGAATAATCTATCCGTGAACCTTAATATGCAAATATATAGTGCACTGAGCTATAACTGTTTCAAATCTTTACATATGAAAATTATTTTCAATAAATATAACAATGTTATTGTAATGAGTATTAAAATAATGTAACACTATTGAAATTATCAATTTGAAAAAAAAACAGTAATTCTATTTTACATAGCTCTACCAGACATAACTTACTGCAATTTAATACTGCTTTTAACTTGACTGGCAGCGCTAGCCATTGGGGTAATTGGTACCATTGAGGAATGTGGATTGAGAATTTGTGGTGTAAATGACCGATTTGTAGGAGTCAGAGATACTTCACCCACAATTCTTGTTTGTGATAAAACTTGGGTTTCCGTAGGGTTATTTTGACTGGGTGTTGACATTGTAATAGAAGTTACACTTTTTGTTGCATCCAATTCATCATCCCTACATTTTCCTGGTATTTCATCACACATGTCCTTAAACAATATTATAAACATCTTTAAAATTAATGTTTATTTATATTCAAAGAAATCAGAATTAAAGTATAATATGTAAGAAAAGTAAGTCACTCACACCTTTCTCACAAGTAAAATTAACTGGAGGTTAGAATTATACTTACATTACAGGTGAGTTCTGTAGATTCCATTATTATGGTTTGAAAATTTGCCTTCATCAATCTCAGTAACGTAAAAGGACTTTCGTTAAGAGTATGCCCATTTAGTTGTAGGTTTGTCTTTCTATAAATACAATGTGATATGTCCTACAGCCAACTCCAAGTTGTACAATTAAATAAAATACATCAGAACACTATTATTAATTCAAATTTGTTATTAATTTCTGGAATCTGGATAGTTTTTTGTAACTAATTTTAGATGACCATGGATGCAAGTCTTTTGGATTAATAGAGAAGAAATTTGACTAATGACTTAGTGCGTTTTCCAATTACAGCACTAGAGCGCATTATGCGGCATAATGCTCAATGTTGCATGTTCCAACTACAGCAACGCTTCGCACAATTGAGCACTCTCAAAAGTAATGCTCTCGCGTGCTTCTCGCAATCAATACCAACACAGTGACAGAAAATTGACCAGTGTTTTTCTTTAAGTTGGCATTGATCGAAATTTTCGTTAGTAAATATTATTTATTGTTGAAAAATTTGTAAGGCTTTCGTTTCGTCGTAGATTTTAAAATAATTAAAGTTATTTCAAACTGCTAAAAAAAAATAAATTGTGCGTGTTCTAGGTGTACACACGTAAGAAGTGAAACTTCTTTATGATCTTATTTTTCGAAAAATGATCTACTATATGCAACTTTACAGAAATTCGTTAAATTAGATAAAGTTTAACAAAAGGCTTTTATTATCATAGACATGAATACAAATATTTCATTTTACCTTATTACTACGAAGATTATTATAGAATTTCATTAATTGTAATAGAATTATTACTATCATTGAAAAACGTGACGAGTTGCTACAAAATTTCTCCCATACGTCGATAAAGAAGTTTCATTCTAACGCCGATAAAGAAGTTTGTCTTCAAAAAGCAACATGGCGCGTAACCGAAAAATGTGACGCGTAACGAAAAAATGTTACACTACATTTTTTTCCAACCTCGATAAAGAAGTTTCACTTCAATAAATATAAGTATGGATGAAGGTATAAATAGTTACTTTTTTTATATTCCACATTTAAAATATGAATACAATTTCATTTTAAAATTCAGATCTGTAACAAATTTATTTTACAGGATTATACTTTTGTAAACATTGCAATGGTTTTGAAAAAGTATATAATTTTTTTAGAAATCATTTAAAAAAATTAGGTAATCGTAAATGATGTAAATTTCTTACATGAAACTAAATATTTTACTGTTAATTTAGCTTGTTAAAACCTTATATTCTTTATAGGTTTTCTCTTATTTCAGTAAAAAATGTTAATGAAATAATCAAAATCCAAATTACTTAAAATAAGCGTAAATAGTTTTCAACCAATGATTATTGTTTACCACATGATTTATACATTAATGAGGTTGCTAACTCTATTCAGAACATTTTTTTTTTTTCAACACTGACTTGGCGCACTCTGCTGATGCATTTGAAAACTAATTCACGTTCCAATTAAGCTTCAGCATAATGCGGCATTGTGCGGCACTGAGTCGCATTATGCTCTGTAATTGGAAAACGCACTTAGAGTCTGGCTAATGAAAGAAGATAATTGAACTATATGAAAACTTTCGGATGGCAACACAGAATGTCATTGAATTTCTTAGGTTAGTATGATTTATTGTCTTGATACTTCATGCAATTACTCATTTTTATTTCTGTTATATATTTTTTCCGAATAGTTAACAGGTATAATAGCCTTAACTTTGTTTTATTTGATAGAATATTTCGTTTCTTTCGCAGGTTTTGATTATTCCGAATAAAGTTGTGTATTATAATAAATATAGTAATTGTTTTCCATGCAATGCTTGTCATTTTAAATATCAATAGTAAAAGACTAAATCCGTATAATATTTAATTTCATAGAAATACAGTTACTATCAATGTAAAAAATAATAAAATAAAATCAAGTATCAAGTATGTTTAATCCACAAAAAATATCAAACTTTTAGGGATACCATACTAAATTTTTTTGATTTGCCGCGCTTTTTCGTTATCTTCTTTCATTAGCCAGACTCTAAGTAATAAACTAAAATCAATAGGTTTATACACTACTGTTAAGACATCTTGACTAAGCCCCCAGGGGGTCTAGCCTTATTACTACCGAAAAGTTTTCTACATACTCTACCGCTTTTGTGTGTGTATATATAGTGCGTTTTCCAATTACAGCACTAGAGCGCATTTTGCGGCATAATGCTCAACGTTGAGTGTTCCAACTACAGCAACGCTTCGCACAATTGAGCACTCTCAAAACGAATGCTCTCGCAAACAATACCAACACAGTGACAGAAAATTGACCAGTATTTTTCTTTAAGTTGGCATTTATCGAAATTTTCGTTAGTAAATATTATTTATTGTTGAAAAATTTGTAAGGCTTTCGTTTCGTCGTAGATTTTGAAAATAATTAAAGTTATTTCAAACTGCTAAAAAAATAAATATTAGTATGGATGAAGGTATAAATAGTTACTTTTTTTATATTCCACATTTAAAATATGAATACAATTTTATTTTAAAATTCGGATCTGTAAACAAATTTACTTTACAGGATTATACTTTAGAAAAAATTGCAATGGTTTTGAAAAAGTATATATTTTTTTAGAAATCATTAAAAAATATTACTCAAAACGTAAATGATGTAAACTTCTTACATGAAACTAAATATTTTACTGTTAATTTAGCTTGTTAAAACATTATATTCTTTAAAGGTTTTCTCTTATTTCAGTAAAAAAAATTTAATGAAATAATTTGATTATTAAATTAAGTGTAAAAAGTTTTCAACCAATTATTATTGTTTACCACATTATTTATACATTAATGAGGTTGCTAACTCTATTCAGACCATTTTTTTGTCAACACTGACTTAGCGCACTCTGCTGATGCATTTGAAAACTAATTAACGTTCCAATTAAGCTTCAGCATTATGCGGCATTGTGCGGCACTGAGTCGAAAAATGCTCTGTACATAATTGGAAAACGCACATATACATCGATAGCGTAGCTCCGAGCTGTTCGTAGCCCCTTATTGCGTCATATTTTCTCGGGATTAAATATATGTCTAATGTCACTTTTATAAACCTAATAATAGTTAAAACTGCACAATATTATTTTAAATTTGCAATAGCAAGCTGAAAAATGTAACATAAAAATTTGAGCAAATTTATGGAAAGGTACAATATGGCATAATATATTAATTTAAATTGGTTTGGTAAATAATATGGTTTCTTGAATGTGAAACCTGTTTAAGTGAGGAATGAATAAAAATAATTGTATGTAATGTATTTGATAGTATTAGTTTTAGCAATTGACCAATGTATTGTTTAGCAGGAAAAGCCATTGAAGTGGTTCACATTATCCTCTTACCTGTAGCAATATTCTGGCGAAATAAACGAATATTGTATATCTAATTCATATGTAAATGAACCTTACTAATAGTTAGGAATTGGTTTATACTAAACATACAGGTTGGAAAATAAAAAAGGTTCAGTCATAGTTATTATTTGGCCCCCTTGTAGCGATTGCATTGTATAAACTGCTACATTTCTTAACTTTTGTCAAATCCGATGCTATTGCCATTATTTAATAAAACAAGAGAAGGTAATTTTACGATTTGCATACACGAATAAACTATTTCTGTTCTAAAGAGTAAATTGAGTCATTACAAGTTGCGACATCGGACTCACGTGAGAAGCTAAAACTGACAGATGTCAAATTTAACTGTTAAATTGGCCTTACTGTAATCTGTGGTTGCTGGCACTGGCCACTGACTACTGAGTAGTGAGTACTGAGTAGTGAACAACTAAAAAAAAGGATTATTTCGATATTGAATTTCAATTAATTTTAATCCGATATTATCACTGTGATCTTACATTTGAATTAATAAATTTGTATACACATAAGATGGCACCAAAAGCTGGTGGTGACTCCGCCAATGTAAATAATCCATCGGTGTACAAGGATAAAAGCAAACCTAACGATATACGCCTTAGTAATATAAATGCCGCTAAAGGTAAATAAACCCAATTTTTTTATAAATTTTGTGTATATTTATAAAATTACCCATTTAATCGATTTGATCAATTATAAAATACTTTTACTCGTTTTTGAAGACAGTGTAGTAATATTTTAACCAAATTAAGATAGGGTGATCAGCCAAGAACACCTGGTGTTTATTTTATTTATTTTAAATTTAATACTGGCCTTTTCAGTGTTTTGAGTTTAATAATAATTATTCAAAGGCTAAATAAATTGTGTGAAAAAATTTTTTTACTGAATAAATATTTATTTGGATTCTCTTAATAGGAAATTTATACTACATCAAAATATAGGTAGCAATATTATGTAATGATTAAATGTTAACCACTGAATTCACAATTTCAATTATTAATACAATTTACAATGAATATTAACATAATTGACATAATTTTACAGCTGTATCTGACGCCATAAGAACTAGCTTAGGACCCCGAGGAATGGATAAAATGGTATGTATTAAACTCAATATTATTAGCCCTTATGTTATGCTTGTTTGAAAAGCAAAAGTAAAATATGTTACATACATATCATAATAAAACATTAAAACGAAAACAAAGATTTGATTCCTGTATGTCAAAAACATATTGAATTTATAGCATAGTATATGTGGATACTGGGTTTTAAGCCAAGTAGCACTTATTACTCTGCTTCTGACAGAAAATGTATTGCTATCACAAGTATATATATCTAGACTAGCTTTGTTAAGAACACTTGAAAAAATTAGAGGACAGAGTGGAAGAGCTTTTATATACCATATCAAGCTATGTTTGTTTGGTTATGCTAATATAGAAACTACTAATTTTATTTGGAAATTATACTTTAAGTTTGCCTTAGTAACCTAAGGCTTAGTAAAAGCTTTATAATGCTAAACAAATTTGTTCTAAAATAATTCATTATTTGTTAAGATATAAGCATATTGTTAATTTTTATCAATATAAATACTCTACTCATTCATAATAAACCTTGAACTTAATTGTTTTTTATATCATTTGATTTTACTAAATATCTTAGTGTTCAATTACATCAAAAAGTATAACACTTACATGCATTATGTGCAATGAAAGTCTCGAATCAATGCGGTTTTAACAGTGGAGATACTATGTAATATTTGTGTAGTATTTTTTAATGTCTGTTTAAATAAAATAACATAAATTGTTTTAGATTCAAGCTGCCAATGGTGAAGTAACTATAACTAACGATGGGGCCACTATTTTAAAACAAATCAATGTAATCCACCCAGCTGCCAAAATGGTAAGTATTTAATGAATATGCTAAGGTTAGTAATCATCCTTTTTGCCATGCCATAACCAAACTCACACCAAAACCCTTATCATAGAGCCTGGTTATGTATACCACTTAACCACCTCAAGTGCCACACTTACAACATTCTAATGTGGTCTTAGTGTGAGATTCAGAAAACAGACTTAGTATTCCTTTATGTTAAAATCAAATATCTTTTTGACATACAGAAGTCAGACTTAGTGGAATATATAATATTATCTAATGTTAAAATTCCACATTTTGATATCCAGTCATGTGCTAAGTGCACTCTACAATCTTACACCAAGGGACCTAATGGCTACAGGTTTATGCTGTAATGTTTCAATTATTCTCCCCTTCTAGCTCATACTGGATTTATAGATGGATGATACATTTTTAATTGCCATATTATTCCACTAATTACTATTATCACTTATAGAGCACTACACTAAGTTTTTGCTGGGAAACATACCCTGCTACCATGTTTACTTGATTCAGCCTGTAGCAAGCTTTTGCCCAAGTTATTTGTTTCTAGTTTAGGCAATATGGGGAAAAAAATCAGAATACAAGCATGGGTACCTTTTCTACTTTTTAAAATATTAGTAAAACATTAATATTTTATATTTATAAATATTACTTCATATTAAACTAAAAGCATACCTACTATTATACCTATTAGCTAGTGGAGTTATCTCGTGCACAAGATATTGAAGCAGGTGATGGTACCACATCAGTGGTTGTTATTGCTGGGGCGCTCCTCGATGCTGCTGAAAAACTGTTGCAGAAAGGAATACATCCGACAGTTATATCAGATGGCTTTCAGAAGGCTTTACAAATGGCTCTACAGGTATTATTAGGTTGCATTTTGTATAATAATTGTAGCAATAAAATTCTAAGAATCATACACATGCTATTACCTAACAAATAGGGAAATTGTTAGTTTCTTAAATATCTCTTTCAGGTGGTTGAAAACATGTCTACACCAGTAGATTTGTCTAATGAAGATGCTCTTCTCAAAGCTGCTGCTACATCACTAAACTCAAAAGTTGTATCTCAGCACTCAACTATTCTAGCTCCTATTGCAGTACAAGCAATTTGTGCAGGTAAATTATTTTAAATTTCGAAACAGTTTTCTTATGTAGTAAAATTTTTGTGATTAGTAAACAAATACTTTGAGAGAGCAGATTAAGTTGGTGGGTTTATAAAGTACTTTTTTAATACTTTACTCATATAGAAAAACTTGTCATTTTGAAACACCGTTTTTAAATTAATAAGAAAACTTATAGTATTAGATTTTATAGAAAATTAGTAAAATAAATGCATCTACATTTAAACATTATTTAAATTAACTAGTAATGGAGCCAATTCCCGGTGGAGTGGGTGCTCGAGTAGATTTACGTGACGTTAAGGTTATCGAACGTATCGGAGGGACTGTTGAAGATACTCAGCTGGTGCAAGGATTAGTTATCGCCCATCGGGCAGCTAATGTTAATGGACCTCATCGCATTGAAAAGGCTAAAGTTGGTCTCATACAGTTCTGCATCTCACCACCCAAAACAGATGTTAGTATTTTTATACCATTTTAAACCTTATTGTATGAGCTTAACATATCTTAATATAATTATTGTTGATCATGTTAGCCTGTATGAACAAATAATATGTGTTTTTAAATTCATAAACTATTACAGATTGTGAATAATCTTTAGATCCAGACATATGATGGTGTCTTGAATATATTTTTTTTTCATTAAAGTTTCATTAAATTGCAAACATACATTTCTTCCCACCTGTTTCTTGTGTTGTTTTGATTATGGTAGTGGGTATCCAATATTTTTTACAGTTTTCTCTGTCATCCTCATCAATAATATTTAATTTTTTTTAAATATTTTTTTGCTCCATTACCCACTTGGGCTTCAGCTTTTCGTTCGCTGATTGGCTATATCTAATAACATTATATAGGAAGAAGCCCTGGGTATGTGTTAAATGATAGGTGTCTGAACTTCACATCACAACTGTTGTAATAAAAATTTAAAGTATGAATGGTAATATCAAAATTACAGATGGATCACAATGTGATTGTGTCAGATTATGCTGCCATGGACCGTGTATTAAAAGAAGAGCGTCAGTACATATTGAACATTGTTAAGCAAATCAAAAAAGCTGGCTGCAATGTTCTGCTGGTGCAGAAATCAATCTTGAGGTAATGTCATTTTAATTTTTTGTTCTCTCCAAAAGTCAGTACAAATTGTTGTACCTATTAAGAGTGTTGTTTATCAAATTATATTTTAAACTTTTACCTGTAAAATACCAACTTATATTTAAAATGGTTTTCAACTTTTAAATTTCAATAGGCTTACTATTTCTTGGAGTATCTATATATGATATTTAATTTCTAACCAATTGAAATGGTGTAGGAGTATTGGTATATATTGATATTGAAGACAAGTTTTGAAATTACAAAATAATTACAGAGATGCCCTGAGTGATTTGGCCATTCATTTCTTGGATAAAATAAAGACAATGGTCATCAAAGACATTGAACGCGAAGACATTGAGTTTGTTTGCAAAACCTTAGGATGTAGGCCAATTGCATCCCTGGACCATTTCACTCCTGAAAATCTTGTCAATGTAGATTTAGTGGAAGAAGTTAATGAGTCTGGTGGGAAATACATTAAGGTTTGATACTTTTTCTCTAAGACTTATTTATAATGAACATTAATATTTTACATCTATTATGATTACTATTAAGTAACTCTGTACATATTAAACATTCCTGATTCCTAATATCCTTTATAATGGTCAACATTGTGCCCTAGTCATCAATTTAAAATAAGGGAGATAGAGTTTGGCATGGGGGACTTCTGTCGGTCATAGGGTTTCCCCATGACTTGCAATTTTCTTGTAGGACGTACCATTAAAGTCTTAGTTGACGGAGCGCGCTCCAATCCTACACACATCATCAATGTCGGCGTTGTTCTCTCGTCGTTTTTCATACCAATGACCTGTTGAACGAATCACATCTATTGCTATGGGAGCGTTCAAGTATTACGTCACGCAATTTTTGGAGATTATTGACACCCCCCCCACCCCGAAACGCGCCGTAACGTTTTTCTGCACCCAATAGTAAAACGTTTCGTGACCACCGAGTGACTCTTTATACCTAAAAGTTATCATTCTGGGGTGTAAAGTACTGGAAAGTCGAAAATAATATTACCAATAACGCGTAATTTTATGCCCGCCCCGCAACGTAACGTTTTACAAAAGGACCTCCCCCTCCCAAAATGCGTTACGTAATACTTAAACGCTCCCTATGCAGACGACAGCACCAACACCACATATTCCGGCCACCTGAACATCTCGATCTGAAGTCAATAATAGTCGTAACAAACTTGTTTCCAAAATTCAAACGATACTGGAGAAAGTTTCTGATTGTGGTAGTAGCACCCTTGTTCAGTTTAACCGTACAAAGACTCTGCTTTGTTCGTTTTCTGCTAAAAAAGATCCTTTTGTCGTGTCACCTCAATTTAAAGGCGTACTCCTTAGTACTTCACATAGCCTCAGGGTGCATGGTCTATAGAAAGAAATCCAATTCTGCAGTCACCTGCAAATTTTTCCTCACATATTTTCGCACTTGCTCCATAGTATTTAGGTTTGCCTGGGTAATCGTTTGCTAGCCATAATTTCGCCCGTTGCTCTTGTAAACAGGGAAGTAAGCAAATTGTTTTGTCATTTTAATGCAATGTACTGTTAAATAATAGATGACGGGGTGCAGCCAAGGCGGTCGTACGGTGTGCGTGGTAACTCGAGGGTCAAGCAGCGCTGTAGTGGCTGAGGCGGCGCGCTCCCTTCACGACGCCTTATGCGTGGTACGCTGCGTCGCACGACGGCCTGCCTTACTACCCGGTAAGTGGTTTTCACGGTAATTAGCTTTACTGCTAAATGCTACTAGCAAATTAGTCTTCTAGCCTACCTATTCTTTTCAAAGAGCCATAATGTGTGGAAGAACAAGATTCATACTATCCGCGCTGGTTAGATTCGAGCGGAAGGGCCGTATTGTACTATTGTATTGTTCATCAAATTTAGTATTGTGTACCATGGTTACCATTATTTATGTATGAAAATGTCATCGTAACCACCATGATAACTACTACACGATGCGATATGTACTCTCATCCACGTTTTATAGGACGATTTTCTCGCGCTTCCCTAATTTCATCTTAGGTACAAGTAGCGGCACGAAACTCTAGCGCTGACCGTTATTGCGCAGAAGTAAAAAATAAGGTACCTGAGGGGGGCTAGCGGAATGAAGAGCGTCGATTGGCTCTCTAGTCGCATTCCGTCCCCCGCGCGACAGTACACATGCGCAGCAATCCCCTCCACGTATCGGCCAGCGCTAGACTTACGTGCCGCTGCCTATACTGTCACTGATCTCAGTTTGGCACTACTAATTGCTACTACATACAAATTGCTGGCGATAGATGGGGTCATACAGTGTTTGTCTATGGCCCCTAAATATCTATCAAAACATTGTTCATTTTGTCAAAGTCGTTGTTTTGTGTTTTTATGGGATGCCCTCTACCAGTAGAACAATCTGCCTTCAATCGTATTATCGGGAGATGAGCATTCCGTTTAAAAAGCCGAAAATGTAAATTCTTACAAAACGTTAATAATATTTGTTATAAAGGTGGAGGGGCTCCGGAAGCTGCAGCCGCCGCGGCGCTGTCCCATGCCGCTCTTGTCGCGCCTGGTGCCGACCACTACTGCCTGAGGGCCTACGCTGACGCCCTGGAAGTCATTCCTTCGACTCTAGCTGAAAATGCTGGTAAGATAATAAAGCAAACACAAACGTATATTATGAGTTTTGCCAAACGATACAGAAGCTACTATATACTTAACTTCTGGGATCTATACTGTGGGTTACAAGTTAAATTGAATACGTGCACTAATGCAATATTTTGAGAACTGGCGATTGATAGTGCATGTGATTCAAGGTTAAGTTAGGTTAACTATGGAGTAATAATCATTTCAAGAAATTTTCAGGCTTAAATCCAATCGAGACGGTGACGGAATTACGTGCGGCACACGCCAGTGGTTCGGCTGGAGGCGCCGGCGTTAACGTACGTCGTGGCCGAGTTACGGACATGAGACATGAACACGTGTTGCAGCCGCTGCACGTCACTGCTTCTGCGCTCGCACTGGCCACTGAGACTGTGCGCTCTATACTCAAGATAGACGATATTGTAAGTATACATTCCTTATGCGCTAAAGAGGCGCACCAAACAATTGCCGTGACTGCACGCGCGCAGCTCGAAAACGGCTCGCGAGCTGCACATTCGCGGCATATTCGCCAGATGTGGACGCACCCTAAGACTTAGCTGCATAATTTAATATTTTTAAGTATGTAGTAATTTGCAGTTGCTACAAGTTAATTTTAAAGATAAATGTTGACTATCTAGACACTAAAACAATCAAATATTTATATATTTACTATGAATGAAAACCTAATTTTAACTCTACTATTGTTATGGTATCTTTTTGTTACAGGTCAACACAATAAACTGAGAAGAGGATTATAATTTTATTCTTTATAGTATTAACATATTAATTTATGACACAAAAACATGTTAATTTAATTTAGTAATGATGTAGACCATCTACTGTTTGCTTTGTACGATGAACACTCGAAATATAAAGAAACCAATATTTACAAGTGTATGCTTTATTTGGCTTAATTCGAATAAATAACAATATTAAAATATCTGGTTTTATTGGCAAAAAAATAAATTTTACAAATCAAAATTTACTGCTTCCCATACTTTTAACTTTAAGAGACTTAGTTTTGAGAAATACTAAGGATTCTGACTAGGGATGTGACATTCTGCATAAAAAATCGATTTTTCATTAATCGATTATTTTTTTAAACATGAAAAATCGATTAATAAATAATCGATTTTTCTTAAAAAAATAATCGATTTTATTTATTAATCGATTTTTTCCTAATTTTTGAATTAATTTCTAAATAAACACCCTAAATATTTAATTTTTCATGGTTTTTTTAATTAAAAATAAACAATAGAAATTATAAGCACAAGTTAACGTTTAAGAATAATCGACATTAACTTAATCTCGTTTTGATAGATTTTAGGTGAAATTTGATAAATGCTGAGTGTATGCCTTTTCAGTAGCACATTGCAGTATTTTTAATTGTATGTAGTCCTGTGCTGCTGAATAAATTTATTTTACTTTTAAATTATAGTGTTCCATTCAAACTTGAGTTTTTGTAAAATTAACTGGTTTTATCATCCTTTCGATGTTTTACAAAAAAAACATCAATGTATCGAGTATATCAATTCATCTTCAAAGAATCGGATTCAATGTATCGCATTGTAAACATCGTTGTAAATCGAATATCCCTAATAGTTCGAGGTCCGGGTTTTAAAAGACCAGACATAATGTCGGGAGGTGGCAGATAAAAAATCGACTATGATTGATTTTCAAATATAAAAATCGCGTAAAAAAATCGATTTTTACTTTTGAAAAATTTGATTAAAATCGATTTTTTTCATAATCGATTATTTTTTCACATCCCTAATTCTGACACAAGAAAAAAAATCATATACAATTATCTCTTGTGTTACAAACTATTAATAATACCCACTATGCACGGCCTTATGCAATAGTTATCAAAACTTAACTTGCTGATATGAATTATGATGATGTTCTGGTGCTAGATAGTAAATATATATATATTATACTACTGCTATAAATTTATACCAAATAAGCCCATTTGGCTTAGGAACTGGTGGTTCCAAAGTTTTCTTAACGGATCCGATATACACCTGTATAGGGATGGGACATTCTGCATAAAAAATCGATTTTTTATGAATCGATTATTTTTTTAGCATGAAAAATCGATTTTTTCCTAATTTTTGAATTAATTTCAAAATAATCACCCTAAATATCTTATTTTTCATGGTTTTTTTTAATGAAAAATAAACAATATAAATTATAAACACAAACTAACGTTTAAGAATAATCAAAATCGAAATTAACTTAATCTCGTTTTGATAGATTTTAGGTGAAATTTGATAAATGCTGAGTTATGTCTTTTCAGTAGCACATTGCAGTATTTTAGTTGTCTTTTTAATTGTATGTTATCTTGTGCTGCTGAATAAATTTATTTTACTTTTAAATTAGTATTCCATTCAAACTTGAGTTTTTGTAAAATTAACTGGTTTTATCATCCTTTCGATGTTTTACAAAAAAACATCAATGCATCGAGTATATCAATACATCTTCAAAGAATCGTATTCAATGTATCGCATTCTAAACATCGATGTATATCGAATATCCGTAATAGTTCGAGGTCCGGGTTATAAAAGACCAGACATAATGTCGGGAGGTGGCAGAGGAAAAATCGACTATGATTGAATCGATTATTTTAAATATAAAAATCGCGTAAAAAAAATCGATTATTTTTTCACATCCCTAGGTGTATTATTAGGACTTACATATTTGTTTAGTTCTACTGTAATATAGCCTAATGCTTAGTCAAAGCCTAACATAAAGTACAAGTGTTTTTTACTTAATTTAAAGTCAACTAGTATCTTAAAACCAGTCTTATAAACGTAGCAAATGTTCAGTGTCTACTAAGATTTAAGCTTTTTAAATTTATTAGCTTTACACTTGCTAAAAATATGGTAGCTTTTGAGCTAACAAAGTTTTTCGTCGACGCTTTCTGGCTGTACCAAGGAGCATTTACTAAATCTGGGTCCTTATTCTGTATTTTTATATAATAAACTTCAACATTACTTTTGCTGGTGCAACTATAGTTGGATACCGTCCATATTGGTTTCAGGACTTGTTTATAAATAAAATAAAAATGTGTTTATTCATTTTAAGTAGATATGCATTACAATGTGCAATATTTGGGAACCCTTGTAAGTAAAAAATACTTGTGCCAGCTCTTCCATAACAAAGTTATTATACCTAGTCCAGCCATAAGTTCTGTTACAAATGAAAATGTTTTTTTACATTAAGTAATCTAATATTATTAAAATTTATACGTACATTATTTTAAACTCTCAGCAGAAATTTAAAAAATATTCTATTAGAAATGGCCACCTTTGGCTTTTATACAGGCCTTTTCTATTTGGCCATGAATCTATGGATTTATGCACTGTTTCCTAGAGAAATTACACCACTGCTTGCTCCTAAGATTTTTTAAGAGACTCAATGTTGCCATGTCGTTTAGAGCAGGCCATGTCTTGTCTTTTTGTTTAAAGGCGTTTTATGTTGTGGAGATCTGGTTTACTGGTTCCGTCTCTTTTCATTTATTCACCAAAACAACTGACCTTTTTACACATTTATTAAACAGTTTAGCAAAGTTCATATTTGGTACTTTACACTTTTTGAACAAATATACAAAGAGTTCCAGTTTAACGTTGATATGGGTGTATTTGATTAGCTGCTTTAATATTTGTCTTAATAGCTGATGGTGCTTTGGGCATAATAGGAGCTACAGGTCCCATTTGTGGTGTAGGTCCTCGTGATGGTCCCATTCCTGGGGCAACCACACCTGGTGGGACACAAGCTGGCATGCCAGGTCGGAGACCTTTGCCAGTTCCCACAGCAGTCACTAAAGCATGTGTATCAGCAATGCTATGTGTAGGCTGCATACCTTTTATAAAAAAAATAATAGATTCAATTAGAAAATACAGAACATACATTTTTATCTTAATTAAAGAAGATTAAATAAATCCTCCTTTCTGAATCAATTCTAAGATTATTAAAAGGAAATCATGAAAACAAACCTGCAGATCTCATTGATTCTCCTTCCCAATCTTCACGTCCTTTTGATATAATTTCCCAAACATGACTAATAACTTTAGTGAATTGTGCTACTTGTTTCTGAAAAAAAAACACAAGTTTACCACGTAATTCTTATGTTAGAAGTATATTAGAAAACATGTTAAATAAAATACCTGAGCTGTATCATAGTTTAATGTACTGGCTTTATGAATAAGTTGCTGTAGTCTTTGTTCAGCCTGCGGTTCTGGCTTAGTACGCAAGAGATCCGGTACTAAATCATGAGTACAGGCAGGAACTCTTCCTTCAGTCAACCGAGATAATTCTTCATCTCTTTCACAGCCTAATTGAAGCGGTAACACTACAACTGACCGCAGTGAAGGTGCTAATTCAGCTTGCAATATTTTACTTAGGCCAGTTAACTGCAAATATAACAACATGTAAAGTTGTGTTTATTTGAATAAGGCGTAGTTTAATAATAATAGTAGAGTTAATTATTGAAGAAATGACCTTATAAATAAAAACAATCACTATTTGGAGGTGATTACAGAAAATAACTAGTAATTAACTCCTTTTCCTCTGCATATTAAATACTATACTTATATAATTGTTTGCTTAGAAAGATGATCAAAGAATTAAGTATGTACTTACATGCCCAGATAAAATTGCATAGTTGTCAAGAAATGAAGGCCAATGGATGGTTTCATACTCATTTTCTAATTTTGAAATCAAAGCTTGAATTGCTGATTTTAAATCGTTTACTCTATTTAAAATAGCATGTAATGTAGCTTCCAACTGCTTCTCTTCTCTTTGCATTGTGATAGAAAAGTTGGGTTACAGCACGTTTAAATTAAATATATACAACGTAAATATATTTATTTTAAAATAAAATTGGTTCATTTAAGAATTATAAAATAAATTATGTTTAATTGCTAATAATATATTACTGTTAAGAGATATTAATAAATACAATACACATTATAATTTATAACAGTACATAATATTTAATCATCATAATCACAGTTGAATTAGAATTAGAAAAAGAGACTATTCACTATTGAGTTTGAGTGTAACGCCTAGCTCAATGTCACGCCTTCTTAAGTTCCATTTCAGCCACTGAACTAAATTGACAACTGACAATATATAATCTTTTAGTCACACATTATAGCATCCACCCGTAGACGGGCTATGGTATAGACCGGGCATCAGCGTACAGCGTGTGAGATAGCGAATGATCGACATATGTCATATTTACAGTTTTAATTAATTGAAGATTGCTTATTATTGACCAAAATACACATTCGAATAATAATTCTTGAACAAAGTTACTGAGTCGTAACAAAATAAGCTACTTACCGATGAAAGATGTTTGGTTCTTTACGTTCACTATAGCTTTTACAGCCAATTATGCAATAATTCACCACGACTGCCACTTTAAATACACCTCTTATAAGGATGAAGTCTTAAAATATGGGTTTGACTTGGGTTTCACCGATTTATCAGTAAGCGGTGAAAACTTGTTTACCACCAAGGGCTCGGTGGTAAACAAATAAAACCTGATACGCAAATAGAGACAGAAAAACTGATACTCTGTTTCACTCGCACTTAAGTATTTTACGTTAATGCCTTCTCTCTTTAGTTATTATTGTTATTTTAGTTCTATACTCTATCTACGCATCCACCAATCAAAAAAACCATTTTCTTCAGGTCTTCAGTTGAGAATGACATCTCTATTCCCTACAATTTTAAACCTTGCGTCAACTTAAAGTAAAATAAGCGTTGCTAGAATGTTACTGTGGTAACATTTTAAGTTACTTTTGATCCTCTCATGTTACCTCCATGTTACACGGCTCAAAATAATACTTTTCGCACTTAAAATAATATTTTCTGCTAACAAAAAATAATCGTAAAACGAAACAAACTTTTTAGTATTACAAAATTAATTGAAACAAGCAAATCTTTAAATGAAATAATAGATTGATCTAAATTCTAATGTGACGTTCAGATTCCTATACCTAAAAAAATACGTAGACATCGTGCAGCTACAAAAGGAATAGGAACTCATGGTTTTCTTCGCCACAAAGACTTGAATTTATCCCCGAATTTTTGGGAGTGTGCTCCCAAATTTTTAACTTTTACTCATTTTTCCATTTTCTAATACATGCGTCGAAAGAAGTTTTAGTCAACAAAAATTTAAAAAAATAATAATATCTGAAATAGCCTACACACTGACTGGCTTCATTATCATCAAATGCTTATGCTTAATTACAGCTTCAAAGCTTAAATGTGTTGACTGTTGTGGCTTATTTCGCTATACATTTTAAGCCAAGGTCACATTTGCCAAAGTAACATTTTAAGGTCTTCTAAAAATGTCACTTAATTTTAACTAACTTTCATGATTTAGTTGACAATATTAATGCTTTTTCAGGTTCGCGATCGCATTAGCTACTCCGTCGATTGATATATTATGTACTTTCAAATGTAATATTATGTCTATATTTACAGGTGCATGATTAATAATTAAAATAAATAAAATATTGTTACGAAAGAAAACTTTAAATTGTTTGTGTAACAAAGAATATTACACTAAGCGTAGTTTTCTACAAAATATAATAATGTTGTTTTCTCGTGAAAATGTTACATTTTGAAATGTTTTGTGTTAATTTTGACTATCGACCTGGCAACACTGCTAAATATTTTATTCTGTTATTTTTGGCCTAAAGATATACAAGGCCATAGATTCTTGGCGGGAAGTTGAAAAAGCGCGGTTCAATTTTTTTTTTTCAAAATTGTATTTTAATTAATATAAATATTATTTCTTTGTAAATAACAGTATAAATTGGCAAATTAAATATAAATATAGTGAATAAATAATTAAAATGGAAGGAAACGAGGGGGGCGGGTTTGACCCGCCCACCTCAAAAAAAGAGACCACGACGGCGGTTAGAAGATCTCCAAGATGTTTCTGATGCTGGCGGCGGAGGTGGTGAGAAAGACTCTTATATGGCATATCGCAAGCCCAATTATAAAAGGTTATATCCTGAAAATGCAATTAACACAGAATTTAAGGTTTTCATTCAGAGCAAAAATATACAAGACAAGCTGGGAAATAAAAGCCCAATATATTTGAATCAGATATTTTCCGATATTAAAGGTGTGGTGGCAATAAGGCGTATTGGCGCAAATAAAATTGTTGTGATCTTCAGACAACATAATACAGCTAACAATTTGATAAATAATAACAGCTTTCTTTGATAAAACACGAAATGAGAGCATATATTCCAGAGCTCAAATTGAGAAAACTGGTATTATCAGATTTGTGCCCACAAATATTACAAATAGAGAACTATTTGCTAAATTGACTTCTACAAATGAAATAATAGCAGTTAGGAGATTTGTGAAAAAAATTGGTAATGAATTAGTCAGAACACAAACTGTAAGTATCACATTTCTGGCAAATACTTTACCTGAAAGTGTCCAATACGACTTATTTTTTTATAGAATATTTGAATATGTTCCTCCTCTGCAACAATGTTTTAAATGTCTTAAATTCAATCATTTTGCAAAAATATGTAATGGGCAAAGAGCGTTGCTCTATTTGTTCAGGTGAACATTCCTATAAAGACTGCACTAAGCCAAATGAGATTTGCTGTGCTAATTGCAACGGACCTCATTTAGCTATTTCTAAATTGTGTCCCATTAAAATGAAGAAAACATTAGAAAAGAAAAATAAAATAACTTATGCAAGCGTTGCCAATACAAAAGATAATGATGAGTTCCCTCCTCTTCCACCACGCTCCAACCCTATAAATAAAAAAAGTAATTAATGTAAATAATAAACCTAATGTAAAACATGTAAATAAATCTGTAAATAGTATTAATGATATAAAATTACAAATAATTGAAAACAGTGATGTACTTATGGCCCTGGTACAAACACTGGTTCAAATAGGTAATAAGGTTGATAATGAACCCATCACTGCAACATTTATAAAAGATATACTTATTAAGAATCTGTCAACATAATGGATACACAACCATATATAACACACTCTCTACGTATTGCGCAATTTAATGTTCAAGGTGCAAATAATAAAAAACATCTTCTTACAAAATTCTTAAATGAAAAAAATATTGATATTTGCTTACTTAATGAGACATGGTTAAAAGAACACCATTCTTTTTATATTTCTGGTTATAATTTCTACAATAAAAATTCAAAAATCCTCGTAATGGTGTAGGAATATTAATTAAACCATATTTGAAACATAATGTCATAAATACTACTTTTTATGAAGATATACAGACAATAGCCATAAGTATATACACAGAAAATACTACTATATCTATTCTTTGTGTGTACTGTCCTCCGTCCAGTAGGAATATAAGAATGAATAGATTGCACAATATTATAAGAGGATTACCAAAACCTATTTTTTGTTAGTGGTGATTTCAATGCACATCATATTGCTTTTTGGATGCCTGTCTACGAAAAGTCGAGGCAATAACTTATATAATATAATTGATGAATGTGATTTATGTATTTTTGAATAATGGTAGTTTTACTACAGTAAATTATCCTACACGCAACCCCTCAGCAATAGAGTAAGCTTTGTTAGTCCACAGGTGGCTCCACTTTGTGAATGGTATGTACATGATGATGCTATGGGTAGTTATCATTATCCAACCATAACTAAATTCAATGTGCATTGAAAGATACACAATTAATAAACATGTTGACAGATTTTTATATGATAAAACAGATTGGACAAAGTATAGCGAATTGTCTGGTTTGGTCTTCCATGACATGATGGTTAGTGAAGAGAGTCCAATGAAATCTTATGACGAGTTTTGTAGTCGGCTTAATAAACTCAAACTAATGGTAGTTCCTAGATTCACTAGGACTAACTTTAGGAGTAGACCACCAGCCCCTGGTGGAACAGTATATGTGAACAAGCCGTTATAAAATCATATGAAGCCCTGAAATTGTATAGAAACAATTCAACAGAATATAATTACATCAACTATAAAAGATTAGATGCTTTAAAAAAACGCACTATAAAGGAGCAAAAAAATCAGTTGGATTGGTTTTTGCAATAGTTTCAATAGAACTACACCCATCAGTCAAATATGGAATCTCATTAAAAAGTTTAAGGGAATCAGAACTGGTAATAAATCATATAGGGATGAATTTGTACAGCCACTTTTAGATAAGTTATCAGATAATAACAATTTAGTTGATTCAGATTCATTAGACAATTATTTTAATATTAACAATGAGAATCCTCAATCAACATTTTTACTGGATTCTTTTTCATGGTCTGAACTTTTAATGAGTATACAATCTAGAAGAAATACTAGTCCTGGTTTAGATGATTTTCCATATTTATTAATAAAACATTTATCTGAATCTGTACAAAAGATATTTTTGAATATTCTTAATAATCTCTGGCATAAGAAACTCATACCAAGTTCATGGAAAACTCAATGTGTAATACCTATATTAAAACCAGATAAGTACCTGAACAGATTAGTTCCTATCGTCCAATCTCGTTATCATCATGTATTGGGAAAATATTTGAAAACATGGTAAAATCTCGACTTGACTGGTATGCAGAATCCAATATGTCATACCACATATTCAATATGGCTTCCGTAAAGGAAGAAGCTGTGCCGATAGCTTCATTTCTCTGATATCCGACCTGAAAAATGCAAAAAACAATAAATTACACACAGTTTGTGTATTTTTGGATGTGCAAGGTGCATTTGACAGTGTGGATCCTGGCATACTGGTGAAAGTACTCAGTAATTCTGGTATACCTGGACAATTATCTAAATGGATTTATGATTTCCTTACTAACAGAATACTATATGTTAGGCATAACAATATCTTGTATGGACCTAGAACTGCATCAAAGGGTACTATACAAGGTGCAACTTTATCGCCCTTGTTATATAATGTATACTTGTGAGATATGTAAAATGTAAATACTAAAAATGTAAATATACTTCAATTTGCAGATGATTTAGTGTTGTATAGTTCTGATGTAAATTTAACAGTAGCCATTGAAAATGTTAACATGGATTAAAGCAGTTAAGTAATTATTATCAACACAGATTAAATTTGAAAATAAATGGCCAAAAGTAATGCCATGATATTTGGAAAAGACACACCAATAGTAGATGTTGTATATAATGGTGATGTCATCAAGAGTCACCTCACACAAATTTTTGGGTATTATCATTGACCAGAAGCTGTATTTGAAGAACAATTAAATATGTATCTAGAAATGCATTAAGAGGTGTTAACATTTTAAGATGTCTAGCAGGTGTTTCATGGGGTGCAGATCCCAAAATACTATCTATATTATATAAATCTATTGTAAGAAGTCATTTTGATTACAGTTCTTTGGCTTATTTAAATAGACTCATACACATAAATTGGATATTTGCAGAACAGGGCTTTGAGGATCATATCAGGAGCAATGTGTTCGACTCCATAGGGCCATGGAAGTCGAAACTAATATTATGCCATTGATATTGAGACGACTTATGCTTACAGAAAGATACTGTCTGAAACTATTATCATCAAATAATTTACAAATTATAAACAGGATAATACCTCACCCTATCAATATAGATGGTCCTCTCACTTCACCAAATGATCTTCTGACAGGTACATCTCCAACTTTGTGCCAGATCTTTACAGAAATACAATCTCATTATTCAAACATCAAAAAACATTCTCACTGGTCGTGTTACACTCATTCATACAGTTGTATCACACATCCTATTACGATTTTATCAAATTCAATTGAAAATAATTCGGACTTACTGGCTTTCAAAGAAGAAAATAACAAGTACTATACTATATATACTGACGGCAGTAAAGGCAATGATTTTGTGAGAAGTGTGGTATATGATTCCCAAAAGATTTGCTCAAAGCTTTGTTCTAGATAAAACTGCTCCATATTTACAGCAGAGGCATATGCAGTTTTTGCAGCTTTAAAATCGATTACTTCTATAAACAATTGTAAAATTTTCAATTTGACAGACTCTTTGAGTCTTTTAAATAGTCTTAAGCAGTACTTTAATAATTTTAAAACCAATTATATTCTCTATTTAATTAAAGAAGTCTTGCGGTTGTATAAGAAAGATGTAATATTGCCTTTATGTGGGTACCCTCACATAAGGTATTACTGGTAATGAAATAGGGACAAAGCTGCATATGAAGGGATTAACACTCTTAATGTCAGAAATGTGGTACATGTTCCTATGACCGATTATTATTATAATATAAATAATTCAATAAAAGAATGGGCAAATTTATAGAAAGAAGATCAAAAATTTAAAGGAAAATGGTATGGAAGTATACAAGAAAATTTACTGAGAAGACCCTGGTATGAAGATTATGAGTTGGATACAGTTAGTCGTGAGTTCGTTACCACAATCAACAGATTGCGTTTTGGTCACAAACGACCCGCACACCTCGCTAAACTTAAATTATAGATAACAAGTTTGCTTTTCTGCACTAACGAGATCGGATATGAATCATATTTTTTTAAATGCCAAAACCAAATTTTCATTTTTAATAGACTACTATTAGCAAGTGAAATAATGGAAGTTAGTGATCCCTCCGGCAGTTGTGTGATTTGCTCAAAAACAGTGTTAAGTGCATTATATAAATACGTTAAAAATACCGTAGGGAAGATTTAAGAAAACAAGTGGAATGTTGGAATAAGAATAACATGTGAAATTAAATGAAGTGAAAATAAGTGAAATTTAGTGACCGAAAATAAGATTTGGCTTAAAGGTCTCGTTACCAGGCCATAAAAAAATAATAAAAAAAAATACAAGGCCATAAACTCCAAAACTGTTATCAATTATGTCAACTGTCATTTATATTCCGATTTCCGATTTAGTCAGTACTCAGTAACAAATAACAATGAAAAAAGTATAAACTTTAATGTGTAGATATGGTCGAATTTATACATTATTAAATTTTTGTTGAACTACAAATAAAGCAATCATACAATGTGTAATGTAGAACAAATAGCAGATTGTGGTGACATATTAAGTGTGGGAAGAGCATTGTTTATTCCTGAAAAAGAAGGTAATTTTTTTATTGTTATATGAATCATAATTATTATCAGAAGTAAAACGTTTGTGTTGAGTTTTGATGGATAAAATTGGCTTACTAAAATATGCTAACACGTTGAACCAATTGAATTCTTACAATAACTTAATTTTTATAAAATATATATATCATAATATTTTTCATTTCCGACATTACAAAACTAATATGATGTCTGAAACGATTTTTTATTGTTATAGTTAATCAAATATTGTTTCAGATTCAGCTTGGTTATCACAGTGCATAGTATCCCTGTCTTCTTGTGGTAACTTTTTAGCTGTTGGATATAAAAATCGTATTTGTTTTTTAACTACACAATGGATAAGCTCTATAGAGAGTAACAGTTACCTTATATCATGGAGTGGTACCCTCTCATCAGAAATCACTTCAATTTTAGCAGTGACTCTTTGTTCAACACAACAGTCCTCTCAGGTAAAGTTTCAACCACTTAATAAATGACAACATCATAATGTCCTTTAGAAGTTTGAGGTATTTGTTATGTATTATATTATATCATCTGTTATAGAATGGTCCTGATTGGTTCTGTGTTATAATTGGATTTAATAATGGAAGTGTTGGATTCTATACAAATACTGGCCATCTCCTCTTACTGGAAAAGTTAGATGAAAAAGCTGTGTTGAAACTTTCTTGTCATACTGGTACCTATGGTACTTTGCCAGATGACATTCATGTTTTATTTCAAAATTGTGTTTATGTTATCACTGGTTCAAGTTTATTTCCAACACTCAGAAGTGCAAAGGCTCAGCTGGCTAAAGGTTATTATTTTTAACATGAGTTAATTTTGAAGCTTTGTTGGGTTATAAATGGCTTAATTATACAACATCGGTTATGTGTCTACAGAAAATTCATTCTGTAGTTGTAGTTTCTATACTAAACAATTATATTATAAATTTATGAAGCTTTTCACAAAAGTTAAGGCAAGTTTGTTACTTTTAGTATATCTCCGAAGAAAGATAATCAAATATAATTTATAAAATTAACTTATCTAAAAAAGTGTTGTCATTATTTTCTCTATCTTTTAAACATTCTGTATTTGTATATTTCGAATCTCAATAGTTCACGCAGGTATCCAAGACAATTACATGGTAGACAGTAAAAATATAAATGTAAGAAAATTGATGTTTTCTGAACAAGAAGTCATTTCGGATGCTGCAGTAGTGGGACTGGAGCTTAAAAATACTTATGACCATTTATTAGCTGCTTCAACATATGGAGGATATGATATTTGGTGAGATAGTTTTTATTTTGAAATATGTATGTATGATAGTTAAAATAAAAGTTAAATTGATTAATAATGTTATAATATTTCTTATGTTTCTGCACTGCTTTTATTGTAAAGTTACTAGAACTATTTTAAATGTAACATATAATAATAATGGACTTCCAAACCTTATTATCAGATGACATGTTCTTTGTTTTAACAGGTATCGTTCTGTACCTCCTGTTAATACTTTAGTTTCTGCTGCTGGGCAGAGCCCATACCTAGGTTTTCATTATGCTATTGAAGGAGGTATCACACCACCCTTACAAGATGTTGCCAGAGCTGTGGCTCATAAAATTAAATCAGCACTTCCGTAAGTACTTGCTAACAGTTTGATTATTTAAATTGCATTAAACTAAGAGTTAGTAAAGTAGCCTCCATTTCTATTAAATATTAATCTGTTACATTAAATGCCAAACTTAGTTATTTAGGTGGCGACTGACATTAAATTTTCGCTTGATGTGAGCACGTTAGTATGTAGCAGCAGTACAGTGAACCGTGCAGCTCGATACGACCGCCGAGCGCGCTACACGCGACTGTCGGCGAATCCCTTAGAATGTTACATTACAATTTACAAGTCAGCCGGTCAGTCGCTGCCTGCGTGAGCACCGCACGCGGCACGCGTCGTCTTGCTGAGCTGATTGTGTCCAAGCTTTTCCTTGCTTTTCTCCAAGCAGTATCTTTTTTGCACACTAAAGGTCCAACTAGATTGATTAGTCGTTGAAATATTTTATTATTAATTATTCATTAAGTTATAAGTATATTGACACCCGATTTCTTATTTTTTTAGCATATTTAATATGTTCAATCCGCCACTTTCATGTCTCATTCTGAATAAATTTGTTGTCCAAACACGCGTTTCTTTCTTCTTTAAATAACAGTAAGGGATTTAAAGAAACGCAGCACACACCACCTCTACGTCCGCCATTTTGACTGCAACTGTGGATAGGAAGGAGCACAGGCGAATCGCGAATATTCCGGTGTTGTGAGCATGCTCATAACGAAAAAATATACACATCGAGCGAAAATTCAATGTCAGTTGCCACCTTTGCAATACAAAAACCACAATCAATCTTGATCATTCCATGTACCAGTGTTGTGGCCAGACCAAGGAACAGGTCATTTCATGAAATAGTTGGCCAATTATGAAATAGAACCATGTCTTCTATCGTACCATAGAAAGTTCTTAAAATGTATAGATATATGATCTATTTACATGTCTTGTTGTTTTTATATTTATATCCAATAATATTAATATCTTTCATTACATATAAAGACTAAATATTTGTATTCTACAAAACTTGACACATAAATGCCATAACGTACCCTATACGGGCGTCCCAAGACTATTAGTATTAAGTATGCGACTATACATCAAACATTTTAAATGCCACATTTTTACTAACATCTTTAGTGGTTGGCTTGGCGGTTCCACTGAAACTGCAGTTCCCAACAATGAGCCTCTCATCCGAGCTGAATCACTGGCAATGCGGAATGGATTATATGACCCTCAAAGATATGGCACCTCCATAGTGGTGTCACCTGACAAAAGGCTAGCAGCAATCACAGACAATATTGGAAGAGTTTCAATACTAGATATTAATAAGGGATATTTGATAAGGTTATTCAAAGGTTATAGAGACGCGCAATGCGCTTTTATTCAGGTAAATATGTTGTGTTGTGGTGTTTTTATGATCTATCCAATTTTTAGGCTCCCGTAGTCCTCTATAGTTTTTTTCTTGTACAGTCTTGTCCGTCCGTCCTGGGCCTACGGTGCTAGGGCTCACACGTGGGTTCTTTATTCAATACCTAAAAGACGTACGAATTTTAACGGTAGTAAAAAGTAAAAAGGAAACCTAAAGATATCCTCGGAACATTTAGAAGTTTTAAATTAATTTTAGATGTAATAACTATTTTAAAAAAAGACTTGTATATTTTTGGTTTAATTTCAGCTGTTTGATTCAGACACTAAAAAGCCTCAACTCTCAATGGTGAAGGATATAAAAAGAACAATGTTTTTGATAATTTACAATCCAAAAAAGGGTCTCATAGACATTAGATTGATGCAAAGAGGAAGCAGAGTAGCAGTATTCACTGCAACCAAAAACGGAAAACTTTTGTACAATACATGCGGATTGGTAGGAGCCGATAAAACGTTTGCCCATAAGAAGCTTAATCTCCCCGAATTTCAATGTGTTCTAATTGATCCCGATGGTAAGCTTAAGAAATTTAACATTCCATTTTATTATTCTCTGGAAGGGGAACATTTGGAAAGGTCCAAGGATTTACACACCTTTCGTGCGCTACGAGATGTGATAAAGAAAGGTAATAATCTAGATGAAGACACAATAAATGAATTACTAAAAAATGCATCGAGCCTTAAGACGTTTGAATGTAAAAAACTCTGGATTGATATTTTAATAAAAAATTATGAAACATGTAAGGAGTTGTTGCCGCACTGTTTGAATTTTTTTTGGGATAGTTTTGGTGATAAACAAAGTGCTATAGACGAGAAAATTAATAAATATTTTAGTAACATAATACTAGTTACTTTATTTTACAACCATATCCATGACTATAATACTGATGATATACAAAATGTTGCGTTTAAAATATATCAATCATGCAATATTGATATAACTAGTTATAATCATGAAGCTGATTTTTCCATCAGAAAAGAAATGCAAGGATTTCATCTTTTAGAAGACGACAATTGTGTTCTAGAACGCTTGCTTATTCTGGCACAGGAAAAAGAGTATAAAGATTATCAACACGCTAAAGTTACTTTTGCTGAGACGCAATTTAATTATTATAAAGAATTTATTACAAACTTTTATTTTGATGAAAAAACTAACACTATATCTTTAAAGTACGATATAAGTGAGGAGAAACTTAGTCTTCTGGCGTCGAATTTTACAAAATCGATATTTAAACTGAAAAATCTTGACAATTTAACCAAATTTATCAAATATAGTGCTATTGATCCAAAGGATGTTGTCAAACTTGTAATAACACATTTGATGTATATGCCTTTGAAAGACTTTAATATAGAATTAATTGAGAAATTAATTCAAATTATATGCTATACCTGTTGTGCTTCCGAAGAGGCTACAAATATAGTTTACAATGAGATATCGGAGTGGTGGGAAAGCATTCGAACCATGTTGATAAATATGACGTGCCCTTTGCGCAGTATGATTATAGCAATGGCTTGTAAAGCGGTGGTCAAAATATTCGAAGCAGAGAATGATAAGGATGATGCCTGGGAGTCTGTCACTGCTGAAAACGCTAAGTGGGGTATCCTCATTGGTAAATTAGAAGATATATCTATTCTTAGTATTATTTTAATATTTAAAGATTCGTACATAGGAAATGCAATGACGAAACTGCAGCTTGGTGATATCAATGTCAACTTCAAATATATCTATACTCGAGGAAAGGGATCAGTTACCGAACTCATTGCAAAATGGCTCTGTAGTATGGGAGTACCGCCAGAGGCAGTAGTCGTTAATGCATTAATGGAAACATATGGTGCTACAAGTTTCGAAGATGTGGATAAAGACCAAGCGTCTTACATTTTTATGGTAAATAACAGACAGTGTGTAGATGATAATCCTAAAATATTTAAATGGCTTTCGCTTTTACGACGACAATTTCCGTTAAGTACGAAGTCTGATTATATTATTGCAAACATGTGTTGGGAATATGCTGTTGAGTGGCAAAAAGACATGAAAAAATACGATGAATTGGCCGCTGTAATACATTGTTTAAGTCACATAACTAATTCTCATCTTCGTCTAGGCCTTTTCTCAATCACATGGTGCACCTACATAAAACAAGTTTTCGACTTGAGTTGCCGTTTAGTGAACAAAGTGGGAAAGTTACCCAAGGACCAACTGTGTTTGCAGGACTTGAACTTCGACAGCGAAAGCTTAAAAAGAATTTTGGAAATTATCACAAAATTTTTGAACGACTTTTATCAGTGTTCTGTAGCGTTACCCGATCGCGAAAAGGATACAATTCAGTTTGAGAGAATATGGGATGAGAGTCTGCCCTGTCTGGTTGAGGTGGCACAGGATACAACGAACATAAACTCTAATATATTGGAATTAATTTATCAGATGTCTTGTACGATTTACTATCAGTGTTATTTTAATGTGAAATTTTCAAAGCCTTTAGATACCTTATTTGATATCGATTATCAGATTGTAGTCGAGGCTCTTGCTGGACATACGCAAAGGGAATTAAATTTAAAACCATCGGAGAAGTTGTTGAACCCAAGAATGAAATACTTGACAAAACTTATTCGTGTAGCAATTGAGACGATTAGCTGCGTGGATAATAGCGAACAAAGCAAAGTTTATAATGATGGTGATTGTTTGAAGTGGATAGAAAATATTACAAATCTCGCCGATTTATGGGATATAAATAGTGACTTTGTGCAGCGTCAATACGTAAGTAATATAAAGTAATAAAACTTACTATACATAGAAAAGAAAACAGACAGTCATGTACATAAGAAGAAATTCGTTTAAAATAATGTTATAATCTTAAGGAAAGATTGAAGGGGCCAAGGAGTTCCACGCCTTCGCTCTTCGCTTTCATACTTTATAAAATGTAGTAACCTTTGGATGAAGTAAAGTAATTTTAATATTGTTTAATACAAAGATATTGCGTAGTATTCAGTCTAATAATGAACATCTTGCTAATACAGGCACCAATAGAAAGTGACAAGCGAGCGCATATATTTGTCGGCCTGTTAAAAGTGGTTCCGAAAAAACAGCTTTTTAAGGTATACGATTATACTTTTGAATTCCCCCGGCACCGGCGTTGTAGGTGTCCATGGGCGACGGTCGACACTTCATTCTATGTTGACCTTTCAGTTTGCTCGTTTGTAGTAAAAAAGTATGGTGTATGATTATTACTCGTAGAAATTTTAATATCCAACCTTTAACAAGGTCACGTAAAATATAGGATCAACTGAATACAATTTCTATTTTATTTTTAATTATTACAGGTTATTGGTTTGTACCATATGGGCTATGATAGCTTAGCTGAAAATATGCTAGTTTTACTCAATGAACCGAGGTCGCTGTTACCTCCGCTTCTTGCTATCACCATACAAAGACTAAAAAAAAGCTTAGAGAATTCGAAAAATCAGCCAGAATGGATAGTCTCAATTCCACCACAAGTTTATAAAAGGATTCAAAACACGGTTTGTATTTTCGAGTAAATTACACATTTTAAACATTTGCTGCGGTTCTCATGTCTTGTTGAAATATCACTAAAACTGTAAAATTAAAGAAGTCTAAATCTGATAATATAATCTTTTAGTAGCAGGAACTGAAGAATACTTGCTATTTATAGAAATCAATGTTGTTCATCAAACATCGGTATTTACAATGATCAAAATCGCAGTAGTTTAGAATATGCAAAAATATGTCTGTCAATTTGGGTAGGTAGTCGACTAAATAATTATTTTTTGTATGTATATTTCAGCTACCCGATTCTTCGATTCCGCCGTGTCCATCTTTGTCATCAACTGTTTTGCTTCTTCAAAAGTTATTGATACAAATTGATAAAAAGGCTTCAGAAACACTTGATCAGAGTGATTTTAAAACGGCGAAGCTCTTAATTGAAAGTTGTGAAGTATTGTTACGAAGAAATCTTTAAAAAATATATATACTTAACTTATTTGTATTTAATTAAACATAATAATATTAAGTAGCCTTAGCCAACAAATATTTCGATAGTTTTATTAAGAATTCAACTGATAACATATTTTTTTACTTTATTTAGTTCAATATGTTATAACGATGATGTCATCTGCAGAAACTTGACATGTCGACCATTTGGTATATCTTGGACTTTTATTCGAACGTACTATGTTCGTGCTTCCCTTAGGCCTTCCCTTAGCCAAAGGGCTAGATTTGCAACTTAGAGCCTGAGCAGAGCCTCTTTAGGCTCTGCTCAGGCTCTATTCCATTACGTCGTACCAAGTACAAAATTAAAGTACCTAATAAACCAGTACTATTGATATTGAAACAAATATATTGAGAATTCTAACTACTGTGAAACCAGAAGTCCTTGATTATCAAGTCAATATTTCCTATAACAAATAAAGGGTGTCCCAACTAGAACGCAATTTTTAAATTTGGCGCCATTCGAAGTGTCATTGTTTGACATTTCAACAATTGTTATTGTTTGCTAGTAGAAGGTACGAGGTTAGTAAAAATGGAGCGCTACACGAATGAACAACGCATTCTCATTGTGAAATTGTTTTACCAAAATGGTGAAAGTTTTGCTGCTACAGTTCGCAAATTGCGATCAATTTGGGGTCACAATAATACTCCAAAAGAGTCAACTGTAAAGAGATTAATGCATAAATTTGCCGAAACTGGATCTGTTAGTGATGTAAAGACAACAACGCGCCTTCGACCAGGTCGATCGACCGAAAATGTCGCAGCTGTACGTGATGATGTCGCTCAAACTCCATCCACCTTAATTCGACACCGAGCTCAGCAAATTGGTGTCTCCAAATCCACTATGCAGCGAATTTTGACGAAAGATTTGCATCTTCATGCATACAAAGTTCAATTAACTCAGGAACTGAAGCCAGCTGACCATGGACAGCGAAGGGAGTTCGTTAATTGGGTATTGGAGAGACAATATGAAAATGCTGATTTTGCCGATAAAATCATCTTCAGTGACGAGGCCCATTTCCATCTTGATGGATTCGTCAATAGGCAGAATTGTCGCATTTGGGGTGAGGAAAATCCTCGAGTGATTCACGACAAGCAAATGCATCCTCAATGTGTCACTGTGTGGTGTGGTTTTTGGGCTGGAGGAATCATTGGACCTTTTTTTTATGAAAATGAGGCAGGTCAAGCGCAAACAGTCAATGGTGTTCGGTATCGTGAAATGATAACCAGTTTTTTCTTGCCTAGAATTGAAGAAATGAATGTGGAGGGCATGTGGTTTCAACAAGACGACGCCACATGTCATGCAGCCAGAGAAACAATTCAATTGCATCAGTCATTTCCCGGTCGTGTTATTTCGCGTTTTGGAGACCAGAATTGGCCGCCTAGATCGTGCGATTTAACACCTTTAGATATTTTTCTTTGGGGTTTTTTGAAGTCGATGATTTACGCGAATAAGGCGACGACGTCTCAAGCCTTAAAAAAGGAAATTGGACGCTGCATTAATGAAATACCGCAGCATTTATGCAAAAAGGTCATTGAAAATTTCATTAAAAGATCGCGTGTGTGCCAGCAAAGCCGTGGCGGCCATCTGCACGATATCTTGTTCCATACATAACCTCATTCTGTCTACGATATAATAAAGTTTCACGATTTTTTTTAAAATATCTGTGTTTTATTTAAAAATTGCGTTCTAGTTGGGACACCCATTATAATTATCGTATTACTATGAAATGTAATATTCATCAGTTTATACATTGAAATTACACTATAGAATATACAGTGGTGGTCATATAATTAGAAACACTTATGAATAAAGAAATTATAACTCAACGTACAAATGTCCGTTAAAAATATACACATTCAACAATTAATAAGCATGCAATAATATAGCCATTCAAATAAAAACACTTAAATGCATAAAATATAAAACATACCTTACTTTTAATTACAAAATGAGTCACACGATAAGGAGTTTATTTCTGTTACAGGCCGCTTGGACGCCTACTTAAAAACATTTTAAAAAAGCATCCATAGCTCTTTTTTTGAAATTGGAGAATAACATTTCTTTCTTGGCTTTTTCTATTATTTTGGCGACAATTCAAAATTTTATCTTGTTCAAAATGGGCAAAAATAAAAGTTTGACGCGTCAACTAGGGACATAATTAATTGTTAATTTACATATAGATCATAAATGTGCGGACAGAAGAATAGCTGAGCATTTAAATTGTTTTGTTAAGAAAGTTTTTGATAAATTTAAAGTTTTTCTTGCAATTGATCATGGTTATGGTTTGACAACAACATAAAAATATAAGAAACCAAATAACTAAAAACCAACAACCTCCCCCAAACCGACTGGTCCTCGTGGGGGAAAATGACCACGACCCTCTAAAGATAAGAAATAACAGGAAGACAAATGACGATCTATATATAGCAACTATAAATTGCCGATCACTAGGAACCATGGAAAAATGATGGGAAGACGACTTCAACAAAATAGCTGGTCCGGTATGGACTCGTTTAGCAAAAGACAGGAATACGTGGAAATCTTTAGAGGAGGCCTTTGTCGACAGACAAGCTGTTCCAGACAAACATCCAGTTGCCGAACATACAATGATTAAACCAATTTAATTTAGTTAGTACTTTGAAAGTAATTTAAATTTAATTTAGTAGAAAAGTATTTAGAAAGTAATTATGTTAGGCATGTATAATTAATAATTAATGAGTATTATTGTAAGATAGAAACAGCAATAAAGGCTATTTTGTTTTATTTATTTATTTATTTATGGTTTGTGGACTCGGTTTCCGCACTTAGACTCTCCTAACTCCTTTGCAGCCAGCCTAACTCCTTCCAAAAGCACAGAAGCCTCCTGGGTACTTCGCAGGCTTCACGGAGCGACCTCACTGTTCCGAGGATTTCTGCACGTTGTTTAGCCACAGCCTCGCATTCCAGGACTACGTGGGTGACTCCTCGATTCCTCTGCGCTGAAACACCCACTGCACAAGTCTGCTGTCTGTCACGACTAGACAAAAAGATGTTTGTAAAGGAACCAATGGCCCGTAATTGTCCCTATTATTGTTTTGAGATTGGTTCTGTTTAAGTTTAGAAGTTGCTTTGTCAGTTGCGGGTTAACTGCTGGCAGACCCATTTTTGACTGTCTGCAGTCCGCACTTCGCGACCATCGTTGATGTTGGAGTTCCGAAGATCTTTGGCGAGCCCAGGTTCGCACCTGCGAGAAGGGCAAGGGAAGGAGCGGATACGGGCCAGCAGGCATCATTGCCGAGAGATCCACTATGTCCCTTAATCCACTGTAACTATGTTTGTCAGGGTTATTGCCTCCAGTGCATTGTGACACTTCAGTATCAATTTACTGTTTGTCCTTTTGCTCACTAACGCCATCAGCACAGCCGCACTGTCGGATACGAACTTAATACAAAAGTTATTAATTCCTAACCGCTGCACGGCTCTGGCTGCTTCGGTTAGACCGACACAGCCCACACTCAATGATCAAGCTGTATGTGCCCAAAGATAGGAGTATGTTGATATTGAGATCCAAAGAGAATATGCCAGCGCCGGAACCACACTCTTTTGAGCCATCGGTATATATGCGTAGCTCATTCAGGGTTGATCGATCACATTCTTCTCTCATTTGCACATGGTATTTCCTATTGAGCATGAGTTGGTTTGCGATCCTATCACATGGCGCGGCTATTAGAGGTTGTTACTCTAACGCCTTGTTGAGAATCGTTGTGTGTGCTGTAGTGATTTTTACCCCATAGATCCAATACCATAAGCTTAACGGCAGCTAGTGTTGCCTCTTGCTGTATGTTTCCAGGGGTACAACTTGCAGGGCTATCTCCAATGCTGCAGTTGGCGTTGTTTTCATGCAACCGCTAGCAGCGGACAAAGCAAGCTTTTGGAAGCGTCCATGTTTCGTTATTACCGTTTGCAGTTCTGTTCTCGCCCACCAAACCACGGCTCCGTAAGCTAGCATTGGCCTGATAACGGCAGTGTATAGCCATAAAGTATTCTTAGGCGATAAACCCCTTTTCACGCCAAGCATTGATAAAAGGCGATCGTTGCTTTATTTAGTTTGTACTCTAGTTGTTTATTCCAAAGCAGTTTGCTGTCCAGAATCACACCTAAGTGCTTGATGTTTTCCTTTAGTGGTTTCTTGTTTCGGAGCCGTAAATAAAGGCACAGTTAAAATATTAAACTAACTACACATATATAGATCACGCTATATCTCGTGACCATTTTCATACAAATTCGTTTAGCGTTAGTGGGTAACTCCTGTCGAAAAGTAATTTTGTCACAAGCCCAAGCCCGGCACGAATCAATGGTGATGACCGTTATTGCGCATGAGTACAAAATACGGTATCAAAGGGACGAAAGCGGGACGCGGGGCGGTCGCGCGCTTCGGGAGGAGCTGCGATTGGCTCTCCAGTCGTTCTCTGCTGCCCGCGCTCATACGTCGCCCCGCTTGCCTGTAATGTACAGTCGCGCACTCAACTGTGTTTCATTCGCCTTATAATTTGTTTCGTTAAAATTTTATGGATTACTAGCTGATCCGGAAAACGTCGTTTTGCCATGTATATCATTTATAATAAAAATAGGGGTTGATCGTAGAGGGATGAAAATTAGGTGTTGTATGTATTTTTTAATGCTGTATCATAAAAAATAAAACAATAAAAATTTATTTAAAAATTAAAAAAAAAATTAGGTGTGGACTACCCTTAACATTTAGGGGGATGAAAAATAGATGTTGTCCGATTCTCAGACATACCCAATATGCACACGAAATTTCATGAGAATCGGTTGAGCCGTTTCGGAGGAGTTTAACCACAAACACCGCGACACGAGAATTTTATATATTAGATTAAGTTAGTACGGTTTTGTTTGAATTTTGTTATTGCGTTATCCTGTTAAATTTATTTAGTTAGTGTTAGGTTTTTTTTAATTAAATTAAGTTTTAAGAACACATAGTTTACCTGTTCTATTTTATTTCTTTTACGCAAATGGTTTTATCAGGTACCAGACATTTAATTTCAAGTATATTACAGTTATTTTTGCAGACACACAGATGCACTCTTCTTTTTTTATTTTTTTAGAAGTAACACTTATATACACGATTGTACACATGCGCAGCTATTCCCTCCACAAGTCGCTCAGCACCATTGATTCGTGCCGGGACCTGTACCAAGTACGTTCTCTGAGGAGTATAGAGTATAGACATAATAAAGTTTGGAAAATCCAAAAGTGCACGCCTCATAGCGGTCATTCACATTTAAAAAAAATTCTAAAACAAAAACTCAAGTTTTTTAAAACAAAATAACAAAAAAAATAAAAAATAAATGAAAATGAATGATTGAAAAAAAAACAAAAATATAATAAAAAAATATATAGTGGCGCCATAACTCTAAGGTGAGGAAAAAAAATATACTAAAATAAATGTATATAAGTATAAATATACAAATACACAGTCGTATTTCAGTTTTTTACAAATTATAATTAAACGACAGTACTTAGAACGCTTATATTAACTAGGAATCAGCCCAGGGTATAACTTTATATAATAAGAAAAAAGTATTCTGGTACGATAAATTTTTCGACCAATTTCTCTGCCACATACATGGATCCATAAACATAGACTGACGGACGTCCAAGAATGATTGATTTTAATGTTATTATTTACTATGTTAAACAAAATAATTGTTCATAAAAAATACCATATGTGCTTGATAGATTATTTAAGTCGATTTTAGTGCACTCAAATTATCCTGTAAGTGTTATATTAGTGAGAAAAGTCATTCAAATTTCGAAAGACTGGGTTTTTTGACATGTCGAGAGTAGAGCACTGCCTCCGCTCCGCTAATGAGGCGTGCAATACCTACTAATACTAAATCTGCCGTGCGATTCTGTTAATAAGTGAATTCAACAACGTTCCCTTCCATTTTTGGAATCTCATGGTATTCTGTTAAGCAATTTCACATTACGTCTTGACAAGCGGAGGGAGCTTATAGTTTATCAGGGGCCTTAGTCAAGATGCCTTAACAGTAGTGTATGTAGAACGTCAAAAACTAAATTTGTATGAAAACTTTTCGACACGAACTGTCATTTCCATACAAATTAAGTTTTTGACTTTCTACATACACTACTGTTAAGGCATCTTGACTAAGGCCCCAGAATGCCAAATCGTAAAATGACTGCTTCACGAATCACGACTGATTTGATCGCGACCGCCGCAGCGAAAACCGCTGTGAGAGTTCGAAAAGTGAGTTACAGAATCGCAAAGCTGTATTGACAGATGAGTTTTCTACAGTCTCTAGTCTCTACTAAATCTGTGGTTTAAGAAAATAAAATCATTAAATGTTATTATGTGATTATTGAAATATAAACCCAAACAATTTACATAATAATTATTAAAGTGAAAACTGTGTTGATTATTTGTTCAAAATAATAATGTAACGTATAGAAAGAAGACGCGAAGTCCAGCTACAGCTGTGTTTCGTAGAGGTCGATGAATAATGTTTTGAATGATTTCTTTTAGGTACAAGATTCGAATTTGATTAATTTTATTGTAATTACTGTTATCGCGATGGGATGTTTTTATAGCAAAAAGGAAATTTCTGATTTGCATCCAAATATATTTCGGGTTGTTAATATTGATGAAGATGGCACAGACCTGTGTTCCGGTCAGTTAGAAATTACAGATTCAGATATCATTCTTTATAGAGAAGGCAGAGACTCAACAGTATGGCCACTACATTCTTTACGAAGATATGGCTTTGAAGGAGATTTATTTAGTTTTGAGTCAGGTAAGTGTGACAAACTTAAACAAATATATTTTATAATAATCTAAGTTACCATGCATAATAGGGTTTTATTGTGATTTTTTGACGATTCATTACAGGACGGAGGTGTGAAACAGGTGAAGGAATATATGCATTTAGATGTCGAAGAGCATCTGTGCTCTTTAGAACACTGCAACAACAAATCCAATTAAGGAATGTTGTCCATGATTCAGTGTCATATCCAGTATCAAGAATCAATTCAACTCCTCAAAGCAGACAAACACTTCAAGCTAGTGTGGTACACAGATCTTCAGTGGATAATGGACAACCAGATACAATTTTGAACAATAATCCTATTTTGCCTTCATTGCCACGTAATCCAACGCCCAGGTCTCCATCTAGTGCTGATATATTAGAGGTAATTCAACCATTGAATGGACGTACCCAAACAAGTACTCATGCTACTAATATTTACCAAGTAAGAAATTTTAAAAGGGAACACAATAACAATCAGTCTGAACTTGGAGATGGGCGACATATGTATTCTAATGAACTTAATAGGGACTTGGCAATGCTTAGAAAAACCTTACGACGTGAAATGGCTTTAATTGCCATCAGAGACATTGAGGATGAGACACAGTTTCTTAAAGGTTACCTACCTATGGAAAATGAAGGAGGACCATCAAATGAAATGACAAATGATACTGCCCAAAAGTCACTAGAAGATGATAAATTGCATACTGATCCTGCCATACAGACAACCATAAATTCTGAGCTGAATGTTGGTCAAAAAGATTCTGTCAGAGATCCTACCAGGCTATATGTTAATATAACAGCCAATGAACAACTTGCCATAGAACCTGTTAAAAATGACACACCTATCACACCAGTTACATCCAAACCAGTAGAGTATTGCAATCTAACTATTGGTTCTAACCCAGAGGTCAACACATATGCTAATCTTATGATAGGTGAAATGGCTGACAATATCAAAAAACATGATCATAATCACAAATTTTCTGAATCTGATACTTTTATGTCTATGTCACCAGTAGAGGAATTAGAAGTTAACTATGCTGTTTTAGATATTGATACAAATAAAGATGCTTTACGAACAAGTATGCAAGCAGCAACCCCTGAGAGTCAATCAAATAATAGTTCTAAGAATAATAGTACTGCATCTTATTCGTCACATGCAAGGAGCCGAATAGTATCACAAAATAGTTTAGATAAAAGTTCAAGTACAAATGCTGTACCATCGTTAGCCACGGCTAACATAGGCTATACTACTATAGATTTTGACAAAACAGTGGCATTAACTTCAGTTGCGACAGCAGCTGATGCAAATCTTGATGGTCGTAAAAGCAGACATAACTCATGTGTTATTATTTCAAATTCTTGTGAAAGGAAGTAAAGAAAATTATATTCTAGTTGAGTATAATATCATTATTATTTATTATACAACTGTGGAGTTACTGAGTATAATACAATATACTATATAGGAGTATAAGAATAATTTGTGCCAAAAATGCCAAAAATTGTTTTTGACCAAGAATTAAAGTTACAAAGTATTTTTTATAAAATGAGAAAGCCATAAATTAACAGATCATAAATTCTAAGTTAGCAATATACTCATGCAACTTAATTATATCACTATATTTGTATGTCCAAAGCGTATTCATGACCAAAGCTAACCATTTTGTTGTAATGATGTCTAGTGTAGATATATCATTCAGATATAAATTACTTTAAACTGTCTGTGTAGAGATGTTATCAAACTGGCTGATTAGCATGATATCAATTTAGGTACTATGAAAGTAAGATTAAACTAAGTAATACAGCGATTTGCGACAGGCCTAAATGGAGGAAATGTGTGAAGTTTTTTTAAATGATATTGTAGAGGTTTAAATATATGTAGTCTTCCTAGAAGGCACAAATATTAGGTAAGTAAATAATTATCCTAGTATTAAGGTTACTGCTTATATAAGTTGTTTAAAAATGCCAAAGAAATGTATGTATTCAGGGGTATTATAAGTACAATTGATATAGTTAGCTTTTCTCGCTGTATTTAAGCAAGTAAGACCACCAAAATGAAAACAAATCATTATTATCATAATGGTAACTTTAAGTTGCTATAAGTACTTCAAAGAACCGTCATTATAGACGGCTTTTATTATTGTTGTGTCAAGATAAGAGCATTGCCTCAGGAGTTGAATGAAATATTTTTTTTTGTTTTCATTTGTACTAAAGAAAACTTGATAAGAAAAGGTATGTTTTATAAACCTAGATATTAAGTTATTTTTTCTATAGATAACATAGAATTTGACAAGAAACTGCTTGATTATAAAAATACTATTATTAAGTATATTTACTATCAAAGCATTTAGCCTATAGGCTCCCAGTAATCGTGCAGACGTTGAATCAATCTCCAGTTTTATGGTCAAGCGGATTATTGAAGTCGTCACCGACGTTATATGTTCTTTTACCTTTAAATACTGAGATTAGGCAATAACTTCTCTGACCCTTTGTTGTTTCAATATTGTCTTCCGTCAGTAACCTTACACAGTATTCGATATACTGTATATTGGATTCGTCTAGCCTCATCCACCATCTTGAAAGACTCCTCTTATAACTATCCATTCAAAAACGCCATCGACAGTATCAAAGTACTTGGGGTGTCAAAATATCGAGTAGCGTCTAGTTTCCAGTTTTCCATTTGGAAAGTAGCATTTTGTGTGCTCAGTTGACGGCGATAACCCGAGTCTTAAGTTCACTTTCAAATACTTGAAAGTGCGTTCGCCTATCCTTATTCCGTAGAGCCGAGGTACTCACAGCACAAAAAGATTAAACTCAAAAAATCGACTTAAGTATATCAAGTAGTATTTTTTTTAAATTTGCCACATTTTAACTTCCTAGTTCCTTTAATCTTAATATGTAAGGTTTTTTACTTCTAAAATGAGCCACAATGTTATAGGTACTGTTTTGATTCTTGTTTGACTGATATTTAAATTAAGTGCCAAAAATGAAAGTTAAATATAGTGTAATTTATTTTTTGATAAACGTTAGTTTGCAAATACTCTATTAGAAGGTTTAATGTTATACTGAAACACATTCAGAAAAACGTTGATTTGATTGATTAATAGTTATGTAAATGATTTTATAATGACATCCACATGTTGGTGGAAATGAAAACCGCGAAAACTTTAAATTGTTTAATTATAGATAGTAAACAATTATACTAAAAATATTTCTCGTTAAAAAAATTGTTTTGAATGTATGAAATGTATTGGAAATGTAAATAAAATTTACATATTTACATTGTGATGTTTAATTTTATTTTTGCATATTTTTTCCATGTTCTAGGGCAATAAAAGAAAAATCACCTTAACTTATGTTTAATTATGTAAACATTATATAAAGTACATGAAGTAACTAGAAATAAGCGGCAGGACGACGAGTAACCAAGAGCAGCAGATGTCACCTTTCGCTGAAAAAAACAGTTTAACTTAATACAACATTAGCTATACTTAATCATTTATTTGGGAGAAGGAAGAACATTGCCGGCCTCTGGGAGGTTATTTGATATAATGGAGAATGAGAAATATAATATAAATTACAGATACCACCTGCACACCCTGGCGACCGAAGACCTATATAGAGAGATATATATATAGTGGCTATGTTCTTATATATGAGATAATGACAGGTGGTTATAGAAAGGAGCCGGGTGGGCCGTGCAGATAATTGAATAATAATGTAATTTATACCTATAAAATGAACTATTATTATTCAATTATTTATAATTTTGTAAGATAAGCATATAGTATAAATTTTAATGATTTGTTTAATTAGTAATAATTGCTAAAGCTATTTATATTAGTGTGCAGACTACTAGGCCACTTTACCAATATCAATTCTACGTATCACTCGTGCAAAAGAACATTACATAATTAAATATTAAGCATAACATAATTACATCCAAAAGAGAGGCCAAAATCAAGGATTGTAACGTCACAGGTTTTTTAAAAATATTGATTATAATTTAATAATAACTATTAGGTACATGTAAAGTAACTAATAGCTATATTGTTGTTTATATTTTCTTGTTGAAAGACAGTAAATAGCATGTTTAGTATGTAGGTGTATTTCATCAGAAATTACGGATATAGGGATATCAGTGAGTGTGGTATAACACTTACAGTTGTTTTCAACGTTTTCAGGGGCCTCGGTAGAAGCCATCTCAGTGGGACTCTCCGTTGTGAATCCTGTCGTTTTGACAACCAAAGCGTTAGTGCGCGTAACTAACAAGCTATTAAATTAAATCATATCACATACACATGACATAATTAATACGGAGTGAGAGAAATCAAATTAACTGCATACAATATCACCACTTATGATGGAGACATTTAATATACCAACATTAAATACAGTTACATAGTTTAATATTTGTAAAAATAATAGTTTAGTAATCTTTCCAAAATCAAACTATCACCCATGTATGATGGCAAAATCTCATGTTTCATGTTAAGTGGGTATTCAGTAGCGTGTGTGTTTATTTTCTACATATAGGTAGTTTTGATTGTTCCCTTTGTATTGAAATATTTCTCAGTAACATTTGGATTACAGTACATATTTGCATTTATATAATATTGTAAATTGGGAAGCGTATGTACTCATATTCGATGTTTGTTTGTTTTCTGTGAAATTGTATGCAGTCGTAACCCGTAAAGAATGTCCAATTGACATAGCATGCGCATTTTATGCATTTGAAGAAGCACCTATCGATTAGTATTAACAAAAAGCTACGAAACGACATTGATGCTATTTTTCCTTAGTTTTTCAGTCATTAAAGATTTTCATCATACAATTTTGATATCCTACAGGATATCAATTTTTTATTTTTATAGAACAGGGCGCAAACGGGCAGGATGCTCACCTAATGTTAAGTGATACCGCTGCCCATGGACACTCAATGCCAGAGGGCTCGCGAGTGCGTTGCCGGCCTTTTTAGAATTGGTACGCTCTTCTTGAAGGAGGATCCACATACTGGTGGTGCGCGGCAAAAACTGCCTTGTAAACCTTGAATTTCGTATTCTGCCTCGACGTCTGATGATGAAACTCAGCTGCAGGTATTAATCCGAACAACTCCTCCATGGTAAATGCGGTAGAAGATGCAGAGTGACTCCACATCTCTACGCAACGCCAAAGGATCAAGCCGCTCGGAGAGGGATTGGACGTTGACGATTGGAACCGCTCTTCGGTGAATACGGTCAAGTGGAAGAAGCTGGTACTGGGAAGCCCCCTACCAAAGAAGAGAACAGTACTCCATGTGGGGCCGAATTTGCGCTTTATACTGCAAGCAGTGGCCCGGAGTGATGTACCGTCTTGCATTGCAGAGCACACCAAGCGTTTTGGAGGCTAATTTAGCCTTTCCCTCCAAATGACCGCGAATCTGAACATCGTTCGATATGTTAACGCCAAGTATTAGTATGCTGGCTGTGGCTTTTAAGAAGAGTGTCTTCGAAAAGAGGAGTAGCGACAAAGGGTGTTTTTTTTAGCGGAAAACGCGCAAACTTGTGTGTTCTTAGGGTTAAATGGGACTACGTTTAGTCTACCCCAATCTGAGACTCCACGTAGTAGAGTTTCGACTTAAGACACAAGTTTCTTCCAGTACTCATCGACAACTGCCCGAGAAATACCTGCGCGGACAGTGTAAAGAGTATCCCCAGTGCTATCGTCCGCATAGCAATGAATGTTGCTAAGTTGCAGCATATCATTGATATGCAGAAGAAACATGGTCGGGGATAAAACACAGCCTTGTGGGACGGCAGCGTTCACGGGTTTAGAGTTGGAACATACTCCGCCGATGACGACCTTGATGCTCCGATCGGCCAGAAAGCTGGAGACCCAGTCGCATAATTTCTCGGGAAGTCCGTAGGCCTGAAGCTTCGAGAGCAGTGCTTTCTGCCAAACCCGATCGAAGGCTTTCGCTATGTCCAAACTAACCGCTAGCGCCTCTCCCTGGGACTCAATTGCCTCATGCCCATCTATGTCTAAGGTATACAAGAAGGTCACCAGCCGAACGACCACGACGAAAGCCGTACTGATAATCGCTAATCAGCTGGTGGCCCTCTAGATACCTTAAGAGCTGGCAATTAATAATGGATTCCATTATTTTGGAGAGCAAGGAGGTTATAGCTATTGGGCGATAGTTAGATCAGAGCAATCGCATTTTATAGGGATCGGATGTATCGCAGCGGTCTTCCAGCAATTCAGGTCAGTGCCGAGGGAGTACAGGTACCGGAAAAGGCGCATTAGGACCGGAGCCAACTCAGGAGCACAATTATTTAGTTATTATTGTCGAATATTTAAAAAAAAACCATGCAATTAAGTCTATAAGCATGATTATTTGTTGGGTGTTATATGCACCATAATCATTACAAAAATTTGTAGATGTTTCAAATATTTACTTTATTTTTGTTGTATATTAGTCGTCTTAAACATAATTAAATGTTAATTAATGTATAATACTGCATCTGAGACGGAAATCACATTTCCTTTTTGTTTCTAAACTTATAAATCAACTCCATGTAAAATGTTCACTCAGCATTTGTATGGAGATAAAAACACACCTGCTTCATTGTATACTTGAGTAACGAGGAACGCCACGTCAGAAACATTGAGAGTTGAGAATGTCAGGAGGCAAGAAATTTCATGACCTGATGCCAAATCGCTACTTAATGTCACGTTGCTGTAAATATCGTACGAATCTTCCGATGCAATCACTAGATCAGTAGCATTCACTGCCTCTCTGAAATGAAAATAGGTTAAGATGTTAATACAGTACAATCTCGTCCCTCTTGGTATTTCCGAATAAATACGACATAGGGTCCTTCAAGAATAGAGCGTACCGATTCTTAAAAGGCCGGCTACTCACTCGCAAGACTTCTGTTAGTGTCCATGGGTGGCGGTGGAGACATTCGTGAGCCTCCAACCCGTTTAAAAAACCGTTTAGTGTAGCTATTTCAACAACAAATACGGAATATAGTGCCCTGAGAAATTCCCGACTGCAATATCGAGTTTTGATGCATTTTGCAGTAAAATTCTGACGAAATATGGGCTCTTTTCGAAATCAGGTTACTGGATCTTAAGAATAATTACACGTCAACAAGATGTGCACTTTTTTATCTTCATTCGGTGCAGAAAAGGTTAAATAGAAGCTCGAATAATATTACACCAGTTCATAGGTGAAGAAAATTTAATTTGCCCCGGGTAACAGTCGTAAAAGCAAAATCTATTTTTTTTTTTCAGGAAAAGTAAAAGGTTATAGTGCAATTGACGTTTTGTACGGGAGGAACAAACAGTAGATTTAATAAAAAAATAGAATATCTTTAATTAATCAAAGTATGCACTTTTGCCATCTTATATGTATGATCTCTTTACTAAAAAAAACATTCGGACGGAAAATCTTTGAATGCGGTTTTGACTGCCCCATCAGAGTTGAATTTTATACCTCGCAAGAAGTTATCCAAATTTCGAATAAAATGATAATCTGTTGGAGCCAGGTCCGGGGAGTACGGTGGATGTCTTAGACAATCCAATCGAAGTTTCTCTAATTTGACGACGATGATGCTCTGATCGGCTAGACAGCTGGAAACCCAGTCGCATAATTTCTCTGAAAGTCCGTAGGCTTGAAGCTTCGAGAGCAGTGCTTTGTGCCACACCCGATCAAAGGCTTTCGCTATGTCCAAATTGCCTCTGCCCATCTATGTGTAAGGTATACAAGAAGGTCACCAGCCGAACGACCACGAAGAAAGCCGTACTGATAATCGCTAATCAGCTAGTGGCCCTCTAGATACCTCAGAAGCTGGCCATTAATAATGGATTCCAAAATTTTGGAGAACAAGGAGGTTATAGCTATTGGGCCATAGTTGGACTTCGGGACAGTGCAGAGCGAGTACAGGTACTGGAAAAGGCGCGTTGGGACCGGAGGCGACTCAGGAATAGGTACTAACGTTGTGCACAAAATATTTAGAATAGTAAAATTAAGACTTCCTCGTGTTTTTTTATAATAAAATGTTTTGCAAAAACTAATTTTTTGTCCTTTAATTCCAATAATTTCCCACTGAAGTTAAAAATGAGAAAACATTAAAAAAGTCGTAATAGTGCTTTACGACGTTGTTCCCCGGGGCAAGCGATATGTAAAATTTATCTTTATATATATATTTTATATTTAAGGTTATCTTTTTAACATACCTAGTATAAAAAAACAGTTCAGTCCAATTAAAATGTTAACTAAAGTACTCCTTCGTCTCTTTCGCCATTGTTTACTCTGTCATGATAATAGACAGCTTTTATGAATAATTGCGGTTACTAGTTATACGCACCCATCAACAGTGAAAGTCAGATCTGGATAAGGTGCCACACCCAGTGCCTCACACGTAACAAACACGTCTTCATCGTCATCAGTGTCAGGACCATCCTCAACAGTACTAAATTCCAATTGAACACCGGTTCCTTCACCTGAAATAATGTTTAGGTAGGTATGTCAGTAATGAAACTCATAAGGTTTAGGTTTTTTTCCATTATCGTTTTACAATATTCACTTTGTGCAGGCACTTAGGCTCGTGTTATAGAACCTTAATCCAGTTGCAAGAGCCATCAAACCACTACAATCACTATTTATTAGAAACCACCCAACTGAAATTTTAGAAAGCTATCAGCAATCTTTATTACAAAAACTTTAATTTGCTGAAACAATTGAAACCTCCATATCCTAGAGTTTCCTTGTATATCCTACCTGTTAACCGTTCTTCATTCATCCGTTCTACATGGCTAATCCACCTAAGCATTCCCTTTCGTAACTTTGACATTACGTCCTCTTTTAACCCAACTTCTATGAAGATAATCCCAAATTATTTGAATATATCTCATAGGATTGATTAATTTTCAATCAAACGAAGAAGCAACTTTATTATGTACAATACAATACATATTTTACTCTGTAAGTTATCGAAATCTTTACCACCTCGAATGCTACGATTTTACACATTAAAACTTGTTTGCTGTGACCGCAGTGCAATAATAGTATTGCAATAAAAGTGAATTAAAGAAACAGTGTATTTTGTATATTTTTGTCTCTTAGTGGTAGAACGTGCCAAAAATTTCTATATATTTTTTTGTACATTGTACAAGATTTATAAATGATATATTTCCATTGCCCACTCTGTAAACTTTCATTAGAACCATTTGTAAGTACGTGTGGTCCCAAAGTTCTGTCACTAGCACATTATTTCTACATTTCGAGCAGGATTTTATAAAAAATTATTGCATTCTATTTTGGAATGTTTGATTATTGTTTTAAAACAAAAAACAATAACTTTCCGTAATTTTTCACGATGGAGTGGACATTGAAAGTAAACCGAATAGTTGTTATTGGTTGACGCTGTGGACACTCGCCGAGTACCATTTTCAAGTTGCTCAAAAATTTGAATATAACGCTTAGGTTTGTGTACGGTATATTGATAGGTACTTGAATCTAGTTTGAGGACAAGAAAAGAACTGGCTGGCCACGTCCGCAAGAACACCAGCAGTAATCAAAGCTATCAAGGCGCGGATAGTAAGAAATCCTGTCCGAAAACAGAATTGATGGATTTGAGATGGGTTCAGTAGGAAAACAGTAAAAAGGTTTTAAATAAATCTTGGTCTACGAGCATACAAAAAAGTGGGCACTTACTTAATGCTGTTAAAAGAATAAGCTTAAAGATGGGGTGTTGTTTAAGGGTAGGAAAAACCGAACGTGATATCCTCTTTAGGACGAAAAATTTTTCATATTGAAGAAAGTACAATAAACAGAATTATACATTACTAGAGTTCTGAAGAAGCTGAAAATAAAGTTCAAGGTGAAATGGACATCATCCATCATCAGTAATGTTTGTTGGGAGTGTCCTATTACGGGCTAACTGAGGTTAATTTTTTGAAAAGGGGTCAAAACCAGTGCTAAGATTACAAGAGAGGTTTTGTATCGTTGTCAAAGACATGTCAGACCCTATTTGCGGGACATCACTTCGTTTCCATCAGGACTCTGGTCTGCATAAAAGCCAAGACCATAAAGCCTGTTTGAGCGTCAAAACATCGTCTTAATTAGAATGAATTGCCTTCCTCCATCCGACCTTAATCCTTTGACCAGAAATTATGAAGGGCTTAGAGAGGAAGGTCTGTGATAAACCTATGAAAATTTGGAGAATCTGAAGTCATCTTTAAAAACCAGTGACTGAAATGACACGAATATGTGGTGTGATAGAGACTGGCCGCAGTTAAGGGCTGTATTAAAATGAGGGAGGTTATTTCGAATATTTTTATGCTTTTTTTATTCCTTAATTAATGTACTAAAATTATATATACTATTACAAACTGATAGTACTTTTGTTTTTATATTATTATTTATGAAAATTTGGGAGATAGTATAATATTGCGTATTTTTTTGATAATATCGTATTACTAGGTCTGTTACAACTAACAACAACAACAACTGTAACAACTACACTGGTGCAACTAATATTTTTGTTAGCACTTACTAAAAACTATTAATGGTTCATATTGCCGTACTTCGTCAACTATATTTGAAACTTCGCATTCGTATACTCCGGAGTCCTTCACCGTCACGTTCCGCAATAAAATGTCGTCATCTTGTACTATTTCTGAAACACAAGATCAATAATTAATCAATGATTTCATCGTTAAATACCATGCTAGGAATTCCTAGAAATCGTGATAAGTAACTAAACATTACCTGGTAGTTAAATTTATTACTTTTTAGCCAGGATAATCCATCTGCTGTTTTAGGCAAACACGTACTTGTAGAGGTATTTCGCATCAAGAGTTAAGAATACGGTTAGATTTTTATTAGTGTATTAATTCTCCTAAAGTATCAGTCGTCTGTATTTCCGTTATAAAGCAAACTTTATACACAAAATCTTACCAATATTATGACGTAATGCATCCGGAGGATGCCCAACTATCCTTTGGTAAATGAGGCTCCTTTCTTCGCTGGAGCCATTCATTGGGCTCCACCACCATTTTACAAATAAACCTTTATCAGATTCGTTTGATTTTAGTTCATATCCACATTTTAGTGGCACGTCACCGCCCGCTTTCATATAATCTGGTACCTCAAACTCTGATAATGAGAATTGCTTGCTGGCTGAAAATAATTTAATAGAAAACACAATATTTATTAAATTTAGCCTTTAGGTATGTTTTTAGCTTGTTTTAGGTTCGCACCTCCCTAAATAAAAAACACATTACAGTGCAAAGTAATAACAAAGAAATCTGGAATGCGTTAAAACCATTCAGATCACACAAAATATTTTTGTCTATTTAGTTAATCTGTAAACATATAATTACAATGAACCTTGAGCAAAAAATTATAAACAGAAACTTCTCTAAATACAACACTATGTTTCTCGCCAATAGATCATCGTTATTATTTGAACGTTATTGTTTTAAACATCCATTCATCTTTATGATTTACAACATCACTGTCCGCCTACATTAATTTTTTAAAATTATCTTCAGGGAAGTACACAATATGGGGGTCTTCCGATTACACCATCTATATTAATAGGAATATAATGTTTACAAAATGTTTCAGCAGTATATGTCGTTAGCAGGTTACCCCTGCTGTCAATTTGGTATTTGTATTAATATTATTTCCGAATCACACAAAATTAGGTCATATTATATACAAATGAATAAGCGGCTATCTTGGCCAACCTTGAGTTGGTCCGGGAATGTTAAAAATACCACCGCGGTCGGCAGCGACCTCAGTGTTGATCGCACGCGCCGTTTATTCGAATTATTTGATAGAGTTAGCATTATTATCCAATCTTGTATAAAAGGATGCGCAATGCGCGGTCTTCGATACCTCATTTCACTATGAAGTGTATCTTGCATCTATGTATGATTACTATAGCCGTCAATGATGGCAACTTATTAATATTTAGGTTCAAAAAGGTAATAGTTAAAACGAAAAATGCTATAGCAGCACAAAATATGAAAGCGATAAACGTTATATTTTTTATCATAATTAATATTTCAATTCAATTTCATAGTTTTCAATCAATAATTCATTTGAAAATTAATACGATATAAAAGAAAACTCTTTCTTTACTCGTTAAACATTAATAAATGTTTTTTTTTTAATTTTGCCGACAAATTGAATGAAAATATGTTTAACAAATGTTTAATATGAAAACAACTCACCTGTTACAAGGAGAAGGATCAATCCGAATCGCCACATTTTCCCTGACTTACGGCTGCGTGAGACCGCCCGCCCTACTCGTTAAACGGCCTTCAGTGAGGTCAAGAAAACCAGTTAAATCTATCACTAAATACACTATATTCCTCTAGCACACTTTGGCTCTAGTCGTGGCTTTGTATATCTTATTCTCGAAATAATTTGCGCGACCGCTGCCGCCTTGGACGCGATATAGGTACATAATGGCGAAATAAACTGTTATTGCGTAGGAGAGAATTTTCTTTTAGTATAGTATACTGTTGGTCCTCGAGAACATATAAATATTGCTACTACAAGACATGTGCATATACATATATGTTATGGTTTCAAATGAAAACATTTTTAGTAAATAAATATTTATTTTTGTTTATATCTCATATAACCTTAATAACACTAACATGCTATTTTACATTAGACATTTTATGCGGTATTTTATTCATACATTAACTTTTTGCTAAATATATCTAAGCTGAGTAAAATGTATCCTTTTCAGTATAAAATAATTTAATATTAAGATTATCAAATAATTATGTTATGTTTTTTGGTTCAAAGACTAAATTAAAGTTATAACTTTATATATATTGTAATTTTAAGACATATATTTATACCTGACAAGACAACATAGCAAGTTCTATACAAGAGCAACATTACGATTCGTAGAACATAATTACAACTAATATTTAGAATATAGAAAGGTTTCTGAGCCTTCAGAAACTTATAAACTCAATTTATACATTTAAAATTGCTATACTACAGCGTAAAGTGTGAAAGAAGCCTATCATTGAAGGTTACATTTTTAAAAAGTGGTGGGTTAGTTGAAGGCCGCGTGGGTCTCTTAGTAGCACACACATGAGCTACAGTGTCCCTAATGTGGGCACGCGGAACATCCCCTCGGAGGGACACAAGTCGGGCTAATTGCTCTTCAGTAACTTCTGGACATTTGTCAACTACACCGTGTAAGTCTAACGACAGCATTTCGATGTCTTGACACCGTAGTACCTAAAATATGGGATGTCATAACTTTTCAAGTAAAGAAAGGTGTGTGAGGCGAAACACAACTATATAATACTAGCTGACCCGGCATACGTCATTTTGCCATGTACTCGTATATTAGGAAACATTTTTTTAGTTCAATAAAAATAACTAAAAAAATAGGGCTTGGTCGTAGGGAGGTGACATTTAAGGCCTACAACGCACTAGCGGCTGGCCGCGATGCGGTGTGCCGCTGCGGCAGGCCGCGGTATATACGGTCTGCCGTAGCGGCATGCCGTATTCCGGCTAACCGTCCCTATTGCGGTCTGCCGCAATCGTCACTCGTCAAGTGCTTCTTGAAATATTGCACATAATGGACGTTGAAGAAGTTGCGTTATTTATTTATATCATCGTAGAAAATATCGTCAAAAAACTCTGCGTAGTGTCTAGCGCAAGGCAAACAAGCGATGACTGAGGCTGGTAGGACGTGGTCGGTGGTATTTGCGGCTAACCGCGCCGAGTGCGTGGAGGGGATGCGGCGCGCCGCATCATTCAACCGGTGCGGCTCGCCGCAGCTCCAGATCAACCGGAGCGGTTGACGGTTGTCCGCAAGTCAGTGCGTTGTTATCGTGCGGTTTCATGTAATAATAATCGATGTGCGGCCTGCCGCAGCGGCACACCGCATTGCGGCCAGCCGCTAGTGCGTTGTAGGTCTAACGGTTGTATGTATTTTTGTATGCGGTATCATATGGGTTTTATCTAACTATGACACTAATTATGGGGATATTGATATTTTCCACCTCACCAAAGAAGATGTGAGAAAGTATTTGAAGAGGCGGGAAGACTCTTATTTTATTTAGGTTGTGATTTGTAATATTAAGTATTATTTGTTGTTTTAAATGTTAAATTTCAGTTTTCTTTATATGGTTTTGTCTATTGATGTGCTTATTTGTTTTATTTTTCGTATATAATATTGTTTACCTAAGTAATCTGTTTTGGCTTTCTGTACTGTCTAAGTGTTTGTTTTATAATACTATGTATGTTAGCTGTAAGATTACTTATAATTAAATAAATAAATAACAAAAAGTTTTGTTTAAAAAAAAACTTAGGGGTGGGACCACCGTTAAGATTTAGGGGGATGAAAAATACATGTTGTCCAATTCTCAGACTTCTGAATATGCATAAAAAATTTCATATGAATCGGTCGAGCCGTTTCGGATGAGTATGGGAACGAACATTGTGACACAAGAATTTTATATATGTATTAGATTAAAGTTAAGAGCCTTTCTACGCATTCTAATCATATAAGAGTGTATTTTGACAATTGACGATAGGATAAGAGATTTTTTTAATGTTATTTCAGCAAGTAAAACTAGGTAGTATTTTGATGCCATATTAATTATATTAAAACACGTTATTCACCAGGGTCACATTGAATAAACTTATTGAATAAAAACAATAATATCACCATATTTAAAAAAAAATCGCCCCTGCCCATAAAAAAAACATAGAATAATGTAAACCAGATGAAGAAATTCGCTTCAATTCGTAAGTAGATCTATAAATTTTAAAGTTAAAAAAACCTTACCTCAGCTAATGTGGAGATAACCTCAAAGGGCCAGTCCACATTGATCCCTTCCGCTGCGATGGCCTGAGCTTTGATCTTCTTAAAGAACGCGCGAATTTGGTTCGCCTCTTTCACAATTTTCGTCGCAGCCTGTTGAGCCTCTTCCACGCCCTTAAAAGTCACCTTCTTAGACAACATGGCCGTTATATACTTTCGATAAACCAAGTTCTGAGCTTCATTTATTACGTAATCAAAGTTTTTCTCCCTCAAATGGTTGTAATCTAGAAAATAATCTTGCAATGTTACGCAAATAGTGTCTACGGGAATTGTTGTAGATAGCCACTTAGCGGTGAAGAGGTCATTAAAGTGTTCTTCTAAATCTAAAAACGCTTCTTCGAGCAAGAATTTTGCTGCTTCATCCCGCAAATTCTGCAACAAATGTAATCTTTACATAGTTCACTATTTAGATAATGTAGTAATGGTATGTTATGTGATGTTAATTTTATAATAAAAAACCAATATACAACAAAGAGATAAGTAGAGTGACCGAATATATTATTTATTACATTGCAAAATGTTATAAAGAGATTAATATTAATAATTATAAAAAAAATTTTCGATTTATGTAAATGTACGAAAATAAAATATACAACTGGAATCAAAACTTTCCTTATATTAGGTCCTTACATATGAAATTGGCGTATTTCGTACTGGCCACTTCAATCACGACGTTCTCCTCTTTGGTAAGGAATTCCAAATTCAAATTTGTACAGCTATTTACTCATGTATTTGTGCTTCGATGACCGTCATTCATTTGTTTTTTTTCTGTTTGCGTCACTCATTTTACAAAATGGAAAACTTAAAGTATCGCATTATTTACGAGTACGAGTTCCGCCGTGGCACTAGTGATGCGGAAACGACTCGAAGGGTGAATGATGTGTATGGCGGTCATGTTGCAAAAGAAAACACAGTTCGTTTTTGGTTCCAACTTTTTCGTTCTGGAAATTTCGACCTGCAGAACAAGCCCCGTGGACGGCCTGAGACCCAAGTTGATAATGAAGTATTGAAGGCTATTGTGGAAGCGGATCCATCGCAAACCACGTCCGAGTTAGCTGCAGGCTGCGGTGTTAGTGATAAAACTGTTTTAATTCACTTGAAGCAAATTGGGATGATTAAAAAGCTTGAAGGATGGGTACCTCACGAATTGACTGAAGCAAACCGGCAAACTCGCGTCGACTGAAGGTACAAATGTTCCTCTCTCAATGTTCCTGAATCAATACTTGTGATGAAAATTGGATTCTTTACGATAATCGGAAGTGCTCAGCGCAATGGTTGGATCCTGGCCAGCCAGCCAAATCCTGCCCCAAGCGAAAATTAACCCCAAAAAAGTTACTTGTAAGCGTTTGGTGGACTAGTGCCGGTATTGTTCATTGCAGTTTTCTCAAATCTGGCCAGACTATTACGGCTGATGTCTTTTGTCAGTAATTGCAAACCATGATGGAAAAGCTAGCGGCTAAACAACCTAGGCTGGTCAATCGCTCCACGCCACTGCTACTTCACGACAACGCTAGACCACACACTGCACAACAGACGTCTACCAAATTAGAAGAGCTTCAATTGGAATGTCTAAGACATCCTCCGTACTCCCCGGACTATGCTCCACCAGATTACCATTTTTTTCGAAATTTGGACAACTTCTTGCAAGGGAAAAAATTTAACTGTGATGGGGTAGTCCGAATCGCCTTCACAGATTTTATTGATTCCCGTCCGACTGTTTTTTTTAGTAAAGGGATCAATGAACTACCTATGAGATGGCAAAAGTGCATAGAAAACAATGGTTCATACTTTGATTAATTAAATATATTATATTTAAAAATATTCGACTTTTTGTTCCTCCCATACAAAACGCCAATTTCATATGTAAGGACCTAATATTATGCATATAAGACGATGTCACAAATAAGAGAGTAGGACGGCCGAACGAGTAGGTAATAAAAGGCGAGCCGTTGGCGCGATTCCTAAAGTTGGTGAGTGATATCTCTTAGTTTAGCGATAACATGGTTCAAAATAAGTAAATTATAGTTTTAAGTGTTTTTCTTTGTTTTTGTTATAATTTTTTTCATATTGTCTATCTTATGACTACTAAAACCATTAGGTGCCACTCGACTCGGTATAAACTTACATTTTACGTTTACGTAAAAGATTTCATTTTAATCCCACAACGTCAAAATGATTAAAATCTATGAGGGACACGATTACTGAGTGAAATGTTCGATTATTACCTGGAAGGTGGCCAGCATCTTATTAAACTTATCTTCCGCGGCGGGATCATGTCTTCCGGGTGGCCAATGGCGGGCTTGCGTCTGTTGGGCGAGTCGAACCATTTGCTCGCTATTGTTGACGATAGTTATCATGTGATGCGTGAAGTACACAACGCGGGAACGATCCGCGAAATGCGTATTCTGTAATAAGTTATAAATTTAACCCACACTGTTTACTTTTAACTGTTTTATTCTACTACTATAACTCAAACATCTGTTTAAAACAGTTCCGTTTTCTAATTCTTATGTTATTATTTTACCGGTTGAAAAGAAACATTTCAATTCGAAGAACCTTGATTATATTTCTTAATGTATTTAAAAAATACATTAAGAAAAATAGTCAGGCTATATCAATCATGTTTATTTGTTATAGCCTGTAAGGATACATTTATTTGATCACCATACGCAACGCTTTAGCCATGGAATGATTTAATTTTTTTTTCTTCATAATAAACAAAACCAGTGACGGTACAATCCTTGGGGCCTTGGCCTAGGATTTCTGTTTCGTGATTCTTTGCTTCCATATACAGTTATACAATCTACACTCGCCGTCGATGACGTTTCCTCGCGATGTTTTCCTTCACCGTACGAGCGAGTATTAAATTATTACATAGATAGAAAAGTCCATTGGTGCACAGCCAAGGACCTCAGGAATAAAAATCGCACACTCAAGCCGCTAAGCCAACACTGCTTTCTTCATAATCAACATTCAATAGCAAATTTAAAGTCAACGCCGATCAATATTTAAAGCTAGAAATCTTACATAGAAATTAACTGATTTGACTTCATTATTCTCATGCAGATAAATAAACAAGACAAATATTAAACTAATTAAAGCATGTTTTTATAATACCTTTAATTTTTTTTTATCTCACCTTAAATTGTATAACACCTTCCCTGTACATGTTACCGAAGCGAGTCACTTGATCAATACTCAGTAGGAGAGCCTTGAAAGTTATCTCTTTAGTGATTGTCTCTGTAACCTAAAAAATACTCAAAAAACTACATCCAAATCGCTTAACAAGAGATATATTTCCTAATAATACTGTATATTCTTTATTTATTGACGCTCGCCATTGTGACTGGCAGAATGCGAAGAACAATATTCTAACATACCAAGCAAATAAATAATTTATAGAAATGAAACTTAAATCTAATATTAATTAGTAGATATTCGTACATGCAAATGATTGACGCATAGAAATACTGGTTACTTTTCCAGATTTTAAGCGGTTCTCTTCCATTTAAAAATAATTTTCGTTTGGGTATTCCATCCCATGCTCGCTTACAAAACTTGAGCTAGCTTTATCCTATTTGCAATTTGAATGTATTTTACTTAAACCGTCGCGTCCGTCTTAATGGCTTATGCTTATGAGCAATTATTTCTTTGTGTTTACGATTTGCGATATATTCGTAAGTGTACTTTGCCTTCGCAAATATTTTAAGTTTGAATTTCGTATACGGGATCTCCAACCTAGAGGGAAAAAAACCAATGACGCCAAAAACCTTTACGACTTGTATTTGTTTCGTGATATTATCTCTATAGGTAAGTAGACGATCAGCCTTCTGTGCCTGATACACGTTAGATCTTAGGAATTCCGGTTTCCTCACGATGCTTTTGAACACACGACCTCAGGGCTGAGAGTCGCATGCACAATCCAGTAGGCAAGCTAAACGAGAACCAAATTGAATATGAAAATGGGGGAACACAGCTGTACCTGCAAGTTTTGATCAATCATTTGGAATATGATGACCGGCGCGTGTGTATGGAAGGCAGATGTATGGGGTTCCACTTCCGGGGAACGCTCGCCGCCCCACTCCGCGCGTTCTGCTTCAAAAGTCTTGTCCATCCACTCTCGATAGTTCAACTCCATTTTCTATTTATTAGATTAAATATATCTTTTCAATAAAAAATCTAGACATTAGTATTCTAAATCGTATCAAACTTATATCTGTCAAAATAAAATCTGAGTGACCTTTGACATTTTGGACAAAAAAAAATATGACATTGTTACGTGTGTCTTGAATAAATGTATACTTAGTAATAATCTTATCTTATTTTTATCTAGATTCACTGATCGACTATGATTTTTGCGATTTCGTGTAGAGATTTTAGTTGATTTTTTATCAATTTGTATATGTTTTGCTATTTTCATCCATCCAATAATAATATATATAAACAACCTTTTAACATTCCTTTGATAGGATTAAGACAAGTGAAGGACAACTGCTATAAAAATATAAGCTTATAATAAAATTTCATGTTTCAAAAACATTAAAATACCTGAAGATAATCATCTTCTAATTTCTGCATTATCTCCTTCGACAGTAATGGCTTTAATGTTAATACATCAATATTTAACTCAGTACTTCCCATTAACTCTGACCCTGGGTATGTGTTTAAAATCCACGACAAAAGTGTGACATTTTCATTACCTTCCAAACCATTCTGTACAACATCTTGCATCTACAAACAAATATTCAGTCTTATATTTTAGACAATTATAAATAATATCGTTAGCTCATCTAATCAAGACCTTTCCCATTTTTATTGTTGGGCACTAATAATTGTGTCGGAGAAACTTGTTAAGGCGACCCACTTTCCCTTAAACCGTCCCTCCATCAAGAGACCTCCCAAGTGCCGAGTTCAATGCATTTGAGCCTAAGGTCCTAAGGATTGAATTTTGAATTTCAATTGGTAAGGCAATTAAGTTAGAAGGCACAGATGCCTGACCAACTTACGTATAAAATGAGTGTTATTGATATATCTTTGTCAATACACACATAAATTGGCAAATAAAATAAAGAATCTACATACACTCGACGACAGACAATTATGATACATATCAACATATTTGTTAACTATATCATAGTGTGGAGGGAAGCAAGGCACACATAGAGTTTTGACGACCCGTAAATCTTCTAATATCAATTGCCGGGTCAGTTCTAAGTACCGAATAAGCCATAATTTATTATCTTCTCTTTCGTCCACACGTGTGCCTTCAATACGCTCAGTAACCGCAGATTCCAATACTTTAAAAGCCATACTTCGCCAGTTTTTTGGTCGGCCTGGTGGCATGAACCCGGATTGGTCTTGCTGCTGGAAAAGGTTTAATATGATTAAAAAGAAAAAGTTTTATTAGTAGTTAGTAATTAAGGATAAAGGTTATGAAAATCGGTCCTAAGGATTACATCATAACTATTGACAATGATTTAAATAAATAAGTAGAAGAGTGCCTGGGTCACATACTTTCACCAACAAACAACATACGAGGGGAGGTCCAAAAGTTCGTGGAATGAAAGGGTTTTAGTAAAAATGAAACAGTAAATTTATTTTTCCTTTTCAATATAATCACCCTTAAGCTGAATACATTTATTAGATCTATGAATTAATTTTTCTAAACCATCGTAAAAATATTTTTTATCTTTTCCCTCAAAATAAGCCAAAATTGCCTCCTTTACCTAATTGTCGTCGGAAAATTTCCTTCCCCTTAAGTCTTTTTTTAAATTGGGGAACAAATAAAAATCACTTGGGGCCAGATCTGGACTATAGGGTGGGTGGACTAGTGATTCGAAGCCATGCGTGTGTAGAGAAGCCATTGCAACTTTGCTCTTGTGAACCGGCGCGTTGTCTTGCAAGAGCAACACACCCTTGGTCAATTTTCCCCGACGTTTTTCTTTGATGGCATCCTTTAATTTTTCTAGTATTGTTGCGTAGTATTCTCCGGTTATGGTCCTGCCCTTTTCTTTATAATCAATCAGTATTATCCCCTCACAATCCCAAAAAACAGTAGCCATCAACTTTCCAGCCGACTCCGACACTTTGAATTTCTTTGGCGGTGGTGTCCCCTTTTTATGCCATTGCATGGACTCTTGTTTGGACTCAGGCTCGAAGTGATGAACCCATGTTTCATCGCCGGTAACAATTCGCTCCAAAATCGATCCAGAATCGTCGCTACATAACTCCAAAAAATGTTTTGACGCTTCGACGCGCTGCTGTTTTTGAAGCGGCGTGAGCATTCTCGGTACCCATCTTGCACTGACTTTTGTCATACCCAGGTGGTCATGTAGGATTCGCAAAATTGTGGTATCTGATACTCCAACTAATGCAGATAACTGTTTTTTCTTCAAACGGGTGTCCTCCAGTACAATTTTTTCCACTTTTTCGACGATGTCTGATGTGGTGGCCTCAACTGGCCTTCCTGAGCGGGGGTCGTCTTCAATCGACTCCCGACCATGTTTAAAAAGACCATGCCATTTGTAAATCATTGATTTACTAGGGCACTGTTCCCCGTAAACAGTTTCCATTTCATTTAAAATGGTCTGAGCGTTCTTTCCTTGCTTGGTAAGTAATTTAATGACAGCACGGTGTTCAATTTTCTCCATAGTTTCAGTTTTCTTCCGGATTGTCGTGTTTAGCAGGCGAGTGTTCGTAAACGAATGACGCAATAGGGCTGAAACTCCATTTATATACTAATTATGAGTCCTCAATTAGTATGACACTAAGCGAGCGCCCCTATCCCCACTCCATCCCCTCCATTCCACGAACTTTTGGACCTCCCCTCGTAGGTAAAGAGATTTCAAGAAGAATATCTAACGGATGGAAATCCTATTAGGCTACAAAGGAAGTTATGAAACACAAAATTATACTAATACTGGAGTGTCACCATGCACTGTAGGCAATAACCCTGGCCAACAGGGTTACCCTACAGTGGATAAAAGGACAAAGTGGATCTCACGGTAAAGCTGCCGACGAGCTTGCAAAGGGAGCCATCAAAGCCAACATGCCAACATGCAATGGAACAGAGCATGGTCGAAATAAGAAAAGTTGGTAGATGGAGAAACCAGGACTGTATACAAGAGAAAGGGATGTGAGAACGACTATTAAGAGGATGAAGTCAAAGTGGACTGGGCAATTTATTAAGAAATAGTAAGTGGTCCAGTAATCTGACAGAACGGTGTCCACATTATGGAAAGTGGTAGAGGACAACCACATAAGCAAGGGGATGAGATATCCACAAACATGATAGGAAATTTATGGCGGTGCGGTACGTCACGCTCAATGAAAGCAAATGGAAAAGAGTGAGGAGACCTTTTCGACTTGGCAAGCAGATGACCTGCTTGTGCTATAAAATTATAATTAAAAATCTGTGAAACTAAAATTGGCAAAAAATATATGAAACTAAAATTGATTAACAATTTTTTAATTTATGTAAATCTGCTTTAGACCCAACCTTTAATGCCATTATTTGTATTTTTACAGTGTTAGCTATATTTATTTGATGCTATTGTTTAAAATATTTCCCCTTTAATTCATATAGACCCAAAAGTAAAAAAACTTAAAATGCCATAGCACCAACCTGTAATGCCATTTGGTCCCTTTTTTCTTCTCTTTCAATAATTCTTAAAGCAGTAACAATAACCGTTGGTTCTTTTCTAACAGTATTTAATGTCCTAGCTAATATAAGTTTAATTTGTTTTTCCAGTAATTCTGACACTGCCTGTACATCATCAAAATATGCTTTCAACATAATTTTGTCATGAGAGGACTGGTTTGGTAAACGATGTAATTCATACAGTAAATCATCTCTAGAATTTTCCAAATCACTAAGGCACTGGAAATAATAAGCAATAGTATAAATCTTACTATAAATCTTGATAAATTCAAATTATAACTAGCCTAACAACCATACCGTATTTAACCAAAAATAAACAAATCATTTACCTGATGCGCATGAAGTAATTTTCCTTCTCCAATCCATTGTTTAGCTTTTGCAACACTTTCAGGGACAGTGAAAATATGTTTTAAGCTGTCCATTGCAGTCACATACTGCGAGTGACGACAGTCTTCTTCTCGTACTGCTTGTAGTGATGCTACTAATGGTGGTACGCCTTTCAACAATTCTTCCAATTCATCCATTCTACAATAATATATTTTCAGTTTGATTTATTACATATTTATATATTAGTCATTAAGTTTCAATAAAACTCATTACTTTGAACTAATCTGTTGCACATCATCCAGACATTCTTGCAGCTGTCGTAAACCAACACTTACTCCATCTAATTTGCCTTGAACTGCTGATTTTAGTTGAGCTTCAATTGAAGCTTTTTTGTGTGTGATTCTTCTTTTATATTGCTCCACCTAAAACATAGGTGATCTTATAAATATATTTACATAAAAATAATATTAACAGTGGATTAATCCTTTAAGTAATCAGTATTTTGTGTCACACACGAAAATGTTCATATTTTTTTTAATTTGACGCGTACTTTCTCTAACTGTCCCGGTCGTTGCATCATATTCGTCACCATTTTCTCTGCTGCTGCTTTAGCTTCTTCTTCAATTTCTTCCATTGTGCTCATAATTAAATGTTCCTAAAATCAATTAAGTACTTTTAAACAACTAGAACTTAATTATATTTGAAATGTAAATACTAAATAGTAAATACCTAGAATTTTTTTTTTTTTTTGGAGTTTATGGCCTGGTATCTAGACGGTAGACCTTTAGGCCATACCTAGAAGTTTGTTCTTATGTCACCACAGACTAGCTAACCACTTTGTGGTTATAGTATTGTCTTTGATTTACCTTACCTTTACACATTTAAAGAAAAAACTGTTTGACCGGATTGTCACCGTGACCACGCACGCTGTAAAGCACGCGAAACGTTGGATAAATTTAAAATTATGTTAAATAGTTGTAAATTTATAATAATACATAACTTCAATCCGGTCAAACAGTTTTTTCTTTAAACACTTTGTGGTTATTACCATTACAAGAAAACAGCTAATATATATATATATATATATATTGTAAATAAAGACAAATTATAATAATTAATACGTAGACAACGTACTACGTTCTCAAAAAAAAGATTATTAAATTTAAAAAATTGACTGACTCTAGGGTCGAGTGATGACAACTCCTATAGAATGTTCCCCCTAGGACCAACTTTAAATACCCCTAAATATGGATAAACAACCCCTAAAGTTTTTGTTGTACACTCGGTTTGGAGGTAATTACTATGGCACACATCATTTCGACGATTAAACGAATTATCCAATTTCAATTTCCGACTGAATGAATTTAAGTGATAAAGGGTCACATCAATTCAATATTTATATTATTATTTATAATAGCCAGGGACCAAGGTGTCTAGGCATAATGATGCCGAAAAGTATTCTACATACACTACATACACTACTACGTATGTATTTGTATTGTCGAAAACGCTTCGTTCGCAGCTAAGATACACATTACTACACTACCGCAAAGTCGACAGCGTATAAACCTAATAAAAGTAAAAGCTTTACAATTTTATTATACATTTGCAGAACAAGACCTGGCTGTATGGACTTAAGTCCTTTGCCTTTCCTATTAGGGATAAATTAATATCATGACGCCATAACGGTCACACTGCCCAGTAACGTAACTGTACTCTGTAGTAGCCAGTGTTGAGTGTTCACTGTTCTGTACTTAATTTTGGTTATTGTTTGTTTGTCTATGCCCTATGGTTATTGTTTATTTAAATTTTAAATTGATTAATATTAAAAATTTGGTTTAAAGGTCTCGTTACTAGTCCATAAAATAAAATAAAAAACATAATAATATTATGTACATTTGTGTATGGTGTAATGTGTATAAAATATACTGTAAACTGTACATTCTTGATAAATATTAAATTAACCAAATACATAATATACAAAATAGAATAATTAGTTGTATTTGCACAGGATTAGCTGTACATGCTATTGTTTAAACTAATTCCCCTCTAAGTAAATATATACTGTTTTAAGTTGGCCAAAAGTATAATTTGTAGTCATAATACCTATGTCATGGAAACGTCTTTAGAAGACAAATTGCTTCAAGACATAATAAAAAGTGATAATAATGCTATTTTACAACATATTTCTAGGGGGGCAAATCCAAATAAAATAACTAGCCATGGAAAAACGTGTTTGGGAGAAGCATCTAAATTGGGTAACATGGTCATTGTACAAATGTTACTTAATTCATATAGTGAAAATGAAGCGTCAAACCAAGGAATCATTTATAAGAAGTGTAATAGGTCACATAAGAGGAAATTGAAAAGTGTTGGACCTCATGATGGAAGTGTTAGTAAATGTAAAAATAGAAGTGAAGAAATTTATCAAAGTCATAAGCAAGATATAAATGGCAAGGAAATTAAAAATAATGAAAAAAAAAATCAGGATATCTTGGTATCTTTGAATAGTGATGGTTCTAGTAGTGATGACAGTAAAGCAGGTATTACAAAACCTCAGGCAACCTGTGTTGCTACATCTCTTCATGTTGATCTGGAATGGGATGAGGATATAGGTACAGCTGCACCTATTACACATGAAGATGAAACTTGGTCATCAATTTACAGGTGGTATGCTGCTATATTAGAAAAAACAGGTGCTGCATTAGCTTCAGCATCAAAGGTTACCAATGGAATCAATCAACAAGATGCGTATATGAGAACAGCCTTGCATTATGCAACAGAGCAAGGACATACTGAAATAGTAAAATTATTACTAGATTCTGGTAGTAAATTAGATGTTACCGCGGGAGATGGTCTTACTGCATTGCATATAGCTGTTATAAGAAACAATATTGAAATCGTTAATATGCTGTTGTCAGCTGGAAGTCACATAAACTACAAAACACATGAAAAAATGACTGCATTGCATTTTGCAGCTTCTAGGGGATTTTTAGAATTAGTAAAAATTTTAGTCTCTAATGGAGCAAATTTAGAAGCCAGAGATACCAATGAAAGAACTGCTTTATACTTGGCAACAGGAAGAGGCCACATCGATGTGATAAAATATTTAATATCTTCTGGTGCCAATGTTAATGGTGAAGAAATCCATGGGTATACTCCACTATGTGAAGCTGTTTGGCAAAAGTATGCTCAAGTTGTAGAAGTTTTGTTAACTTCTGGTGCTCGAGTTACTCATTCTCATAAACTTTTACACAATGCTGTAATGCAAGGTCAAAAAGATATAGTCAGAATGCTTATTAATCAAACAGGAGGTATAAATTTGTGTGATGATGCAGGGGACACTGCTTTATTATTAGCTGTTAGATTATCACACATTGAAATACTCAAAGAACTATTAAATAAGAAAGCCAATATAAATATTTGTAATAATATAACAGGTTCTAATGCTTTACATATAGCAGTTGAAAGTTTTAAAGACCTAAACCAGTTTGAACAATTACTTTTACTGTTACTGGAGAGAAAAATAGACATGAATGCAACAGCTTTAACTGGCGACACAGCTCTAAATAGAGCACTCTTATTACAAAAGGATCATGCAGCAATATTACTTATCCGCCATGGAGCAGATGTTAATACAATTGATTTTCAATCATGTGGGTTAGACAACCTAACAATGGTTAAACAAAGAGCAACAAATCATTTAGCAAGACTATTACTTAAAGCAGGTCATTACAGGCCTGAACTTGATCAGTGTGGGGTTTTACCAAAAAAAGATACAACTGCATATTGGTTGCATCAGATATGTAAAGAACCTTATAGTCTATTAGATATTTGTAGGATTCAAATTAGATTACTTTGTAGACAAAAACCATTACATCAATGTATACCTTCATTACCAATACCGATAAGCCTACAAAGATTCTTAATGTTTGAAGATGAAATTTAATGAATCATTTTACTTTTGTAATTTATAATAGGCTAGGCTTACTGTAACGAAACCACCAGTAATCTTATCTGTCCAGTATTTATGATGTTATTCTTTTAAATATTTAAAGTATTATTACCTAGTATAAATATATTACAAATCCAAATATAATTTATTGTTGTATAATAATTATTGACATAGAAAGTATATTAGGCTTTATGTTTTGAGGTAAAGAATGTGTTATTACTTATTATGTTAATTTATATTTATTTTAATGACAGGACTGGCATGGACAACACAGTAAATACTAGTTGGGACCTATAGTACATTTATCAATAAGTTTTTATGAATGCATTGTATAAACTATACAAGAATACATTGCTAAAAACATGGTGCGCGGTATAAGTACCTAAATAAATACAATATACCTTGATTAAAATCGCTTTTTATTATAACTGGCATTTTTGTACTCTAAGCTATTAAAAAAAGGAAAGAATTGGTTTTTTTTTAATCAATATAAAAAATGTTAAATACGAGAGTTCTGTTTGAGGTTTGGTTGAACGCGCTATGTATTAAAATGTCGGGAATAACGTGTTTGAATAAAGAAATTATTTTTGTCCCATCCATGCATAACTTAACCCACGCTACGACCAAACAACGCACAGGTAGTAAGTAGTACTATATTATCATAAAATAAATGACTTCAGCATCATCTCGACCTTTTGGGTCTCTAACGTGATCGGTGATTTAACCTGTTAGTAACTTTAGTATTAGAAATCATTATAAATGGGTAAAATTAATGACTGTAAGTTGTAGCTATAGCTCGCTATATGAACGTATTTTGTAAGGCAAAAATCACATAGCTTCTTCGTTTTTGAATACGGAGTTATTGTGATTTGAGTCCAACCTAAAATAAGCGTACTAAGACGCTACTCAATTAAGATATCAGTATGTCTAAATTCAATTCATTTTTGACGTACGGGAGTCAAACCTAAAATCTTTAGTTGTTTTTGCGAATAAATATACATCAACTATTTATATATATATATATTGTTGTTTTAGTTAAGGGGCTCAACTCAAGAGGATGTAACTTTAAATTTAGTTTATTTAATCGGGAGTGGCTTCCATTCTTTGTATTATACTTTAATTAATATACACATAAATATGCGGTATGGTCGAAAGACTATAGCCTGCGCCATAGGCGAAAAAAAAATAATACACATTACACTATGTAGTGTACAGTCAGGGCTGCCAGATGTACGATTTAAATCGTACTACTACGATTTTTTGTCATTATTGCTCATGTACCACGACCAAGATCGTACATAAAATGTACGATTTTTCCAGCAAGTATTATGTTCGGAGAATTTCCCAACAACCTAACGTATCTTTTACTTGAATGAAGACCCTTTTTCATATAAAGTCTGTATTTGTGTGCATTGTTACAAAACTTATTATTTTTCTTTTGTAAATACTTGTATTGGAATATGTATGTATATGTACTCAATACGCTTGCAAGAATGGGTAGTGGAAATGAAGAAGAGCGACCTGCGCCAGGTACTCCAAAAAAGAAATTAGCCAAAAGAGGAGAGCTTTCTGCAACAGAAAGTAACAAATACAGACCACAGAACTATCGTCCCGATTGGGAAAAATTAGATTTACTTAAGGACTGGTTAGGGTCCGGTAAAAACCAATTTAAAGCCAGGTGCACTGTTTGTGACGTCGAAATGGTTTCAGAATATGGAGTTTTACAGTTACACTCTTTAAGACAAAAGCAGCCAGTCATTTTAAATAAAAACTTTCCACTTTTATGTTGTACGATCTTTTCATTTCAAAATTTCCTTGGAATACGATTTTTATGTAGTTGGTGTACGATCATGCTTTTTTTTCATCTGGCAGCCCTAAGTGTACTAACTACTAAATACGATAGGTTGCCTATCTTGTCAAATTTTAAGCCGGCTTGTTTATTCCCTTAGTATCACAAATCTGGATTACAAAATACAAACTAAGTAAACATTCTCACACCTCATCTTAGATGCTAGTTAAATTGTTTAAAAAAGCATTAAATAATGTAAAAATCTAACAATGAGCTTGCTTTTAGAATACAAACATTTATTTCCTATTGATAGCATTCAAAAGGTGTGTGAACTATTTGAAGAACAACTGCGTTCGGAGAAGGAACCAGATTTGTCCTTTTTCTCAATTATTGTTGGAGCAGTAGAAAATAATCTTACTAATATCAAAGCAAGCGATAAAGATGTAAATCTAGGTAGCAATAAATTCAAAATGAAGTTTCCCTCATTAACATGGGATGAAGTAAAGTCTCTATACGAACGATTCACTTCTTTGATGAAATGTGGTGTGGATGCAAAACTGCTCAGCGGCGAATATTCAACACGAGAATTAGTAAAACGAGTTGCAGATGTCGTTTGGAACTCGTTAACACGTAGTTACTATAAAGATAGAGCACACCTTCAGTCAATATATAGTTTTTTGACAGGAAATAAGTTGGATTGTTTTGGTGTTGCATTTGCAGTTACAGCTGCTTGTCAAGTATTGGGTAAAAATGATGTACATCTTGCTCTCTCTGAAGATCATGCATGGGTGGTCTTTGGAAAAGGTGGAAAAGAAACAGCTGAGGTATAAATAATGGTACAATCTTTCTAGATCCTTTTATATTTATAAAAATAAATTTATGTTTGTGCATTAACTAGCTGTAGTGCCAAAAAATATATTGTTAAAATATTATTGGAAAAAATATGGAAATGTGAAATAAAGTTTCAAGTTAAATGTTGAATGTTCAGGCAATAAAGTATTATATTTATATAATATACTATTATTTGTTTATAGGTAACTTGGCACGGTAAAGGTAATGAAGATAAAAGAGGAAGATCTGTAGGAGATGGTGTTCTTGCACATTCTTGGCTGTATGTGGCTGGAAAACCAGTAATATGTACTAGAGTTATGGAACTTGCAGCTTTAGTCTCATCTGTCAACCCCACTTTAACTCCGACAATTGATGTCCATGAAGTTTCTCTAATGCAGTATAAACTTCTATGGCTACTGTATGACAAAGGTAAATTTTTATTAGGCTATGAAAAAATGAATGGTAGAAAAGCTTTAACTGAATATTACTATGTCATGTTATGGTAGAGTGTAATACACTCTATAGGACCTAGATGTAACTAAATGTTACCTAAATATTGGCAGCTGGCCCCAAAGATATGACTGGTTTTCTAAAATTTTCAGGTCATCTGGATACATACCCTATGGCCTTGGGGAATCTTGCCGACTTAGAGGAGCATATGTTATCAAATTATCCTGATGAATCTAAGCAATGCATATTGAAAGAAACTATAGACACAAAACCAAATACCCCAAAACCAGACTCCACAGCACTCTATCTACAAGCAATCCGTTCATCTAGAAGTCACTATGATGATCGCCATGTTTATCCATACACATTTCAAGGTGGTTACTACCACCGCCATAAGATGTACAAGGAAGCTTTTCATGCTTGGGCCTGTGCAGGAGATGTTATCAGACAGTTTGTATTATTATTGGTTGCAATTTGGTTGAAATTTATATAAGTTTCAACTACCTCAATATTATACTTTAAAATTATTCCTATTATGTGTTGGCATATAATCAACTAAGGAAATTAAATAATCAATTCAAAAAATCAAATCAAATCTAAAAAATGAAATTTATCTTTCAGTTACAATTATTCCCGTGATGATGAAGAAATTTATAAAGAATTTGCAGAAATAGCGAATGAGTTAATACCACAGTTAATGAAGGCTGAAAGTTCCGGGCATTCTGCAAGGTCAATCTTGAAGGATCCAGAGTGTTTTGCATCTTTATTGAGGTAAAGTTGAATACTGCTCAACTATGTTCTCGAATAAAGTTATTTAACAACCCTGTTTGTTTTATCGATTAGTAATTAACAACAGAATTTTATAACTTTTATTATAGTTAAAGTTTCTCTAACGTGAAATTCATTATATATTTAAATATATTTTTTACTGTAAGGTTGTAATAGATTTAAATGAATACACAGATTTTATGATGGCATCTGTAAATGGGAGGAAGGCAGCCAGACACCAATTCTTCATATTGGTTGGGCTAAACCTCTTGTAAGCACCATATCAAAATTTGATTCCGAGGTGAGGGCTCAAGTCAACATTGTCTGCAATACTGATAACAACCATATTGGTGAGGATGTACCAACACAAAGTGAAAATAATTCAACCGGAAGCAATGACAGCTGGAATGATGCTTTAAATGTAGAAATGACGGTTCGAGAACAATTAACGGCAGCAGTTAACAGCAGGCCTCGGGTTACACTTTACAGTCATAAAATGGCTGCTCTAAAGCCCTTGTTGCTTGCAGAACGATTAAACACTCACGCCTTGCAATTGCAATTGACTGCTCAAAGCCAACTTCAACGGCCCCAAACACAACGGCGTGATGATGACGAACAGAATAGTGGTTCAGCGGGACGCGCTAAACGAGCTCGCCGGGAGCGTTAAATTATTCGTTTGATGGCCTAGGGAGTGGCAATAAAATTTCTTTATGTCGTGTCCTGATCCTAGAATTGATCATTTCATTAAATGTTTGATTATTCATAGATCTGGCTATGGAAACGTTCAAGTATTACGTAACGAATTTTGGGAAAAGAGGGAGGGTCATTTTGTTAAACTTTAGTTGTTTAATATTATTTTCGACTTTCTAGTACTTTACACGGATAATGGTAACTTTTAGGTATATAAAGAGCCACTGGGTGGTCACGAAACGTTTTACTATTGGGTACAAAAAAAACGTTGCGGCGCGTAATAGGGGGGTCAATAATCTCCAAAAATTGCGTGACGTAATGCTTGAACGCTCCCTATACCATTCCATATGGCTGGCTATATTTCATGTAAAGATCAATTCTGTGATCAACCTGTGATATGCATAATACAAACAATAAATACATACATAAGTATGTCTTGTAATGTTATAAAATAAAAAAGATGGTATTTAGTTTAGTGAAACTATTTGTTTGAAAAGTAAAATAAGTTTTTGGCTCCCCCTATGCGAAAGTTTGCAAATATAACATTCTTGAATCAATTGTATTTTTAACGAGATGTATTTTTATTTTTTATTAGATACTATATAATAATAAGCTACAATACTAAGTACAAAATAGCCTGCATTTAACTAAAATTTAAGTGTAGTGAGGTTTTTGTTAAATTGTAGAATTTATTTAGGTTTGTGGTATAGAGTCAAACTCTTATCAATTTAAATTTCCTTATTAGACTATTACTTATTTAAATTGATGTGCAAATTTAACTCTACGTAGTGGATGTCTGTTTACATAATATTTAAAGAAGTCTTTAAAGAAGCTTTGAGTAATTTCTTATGTTGGAATTGTAAATTTAACGAAGTTTAAAAAGAGGCTTAAGAGAAATTGTTCTTATATTTTAATTGTTGTAAATATAACATTATTTATATGAAACCATGTTTATTTTTGTTTAATGCTGACGATAAAATTTGACGTAATTTACGTCAAATTATTAGGAGTTTGATAATGATTTTGTGCTTACCCAGCGACTTTTTTCATGTCACTAATGGCGAAATATTAGTATTTAATTGTGGCACTTAATCTACTCCAGGTTTTATTTTTTTTCAGGTATTTTGTTTTGAGGGGCTTAAAGGCTGGCCCATTATACTCTAAAACAAGTGCTTCCTAGATAACTTAATAAATAATCTCTGTTTTAAGTTGTTACCTAGCTCCGTCCCTATTTCGTTACGACCTCAAATAACTATGAAAAGTTGATAACTATATTCTGTACCTACTTATGATTTTTAATGCGTAACTTATACAAGTAAAAAAGTCGTGAAATATATAAACGTGCTCGTTAATATGCACGCTCATAGTATTCACATATTTTGATTTGCATTAACATTACTTAGAAAGTTACTCTGCGTTATTTTGACACATAAGAATAAAATAAACGCTTTGTAATTTTTTAATAAGTACACATGCTGTTGCACTGGAAAGTGTTATTTTGTGGTTATCTTGTTGATTTAAAAGTTTTTTATGTATGAGACTATTCTCGAATTATTCCGTTTCAGGCTTTATAATTTTATTAGTCCACGCCTTTAAAAGTTATTGCATCATTGTTTTCATATTTTATCAATTTTATAGTTTTCAGATATTTATTACTACAGTGTAGGAAATAGTACCTAGGTAATAGCTCCATTTGTATAATATTAGGTACCAGTTAATCAATATAGATAAAACAAAACCTCTAAAATTAAAGAGATTTAGTAAACACTATCGGCCTTATTAAATATGGATTAAAGTCAGTACGGTGTTTGAAAACATATTTATATTAATGGAAATAACATTGAAACCATGGTAACTAACAAGATACTAATGTCTCACGTATATAATGCCGTTTATTTTTAATCCCAAAATGTTCATACACAAACCATCAACACTGATTATATCAGTAAAAATATAGAAGTAAGGTCAAATAATAACAACTTTGTAAATTAATAGAGTGTATAGCAATTCGAAGTAATAAAAGTGTCATAAAATAATAATTGTTTTATTCTCGCCTATATTAACGGTCTGAATTAATGAAATGATTGAAATTATCGATCGATTAGGTAGGTACTATCGTTGATCTACAAAAACGATTATATCGTCGCTGTAGAATGATAACATACAAGGGTCCAGAGAACCAAACATTAAAGGAAACGATAAAAATGTTTCATTTCGTCAATGTTTGTTAAAATATTATTGTGTTTTTGTCCATAGTTCTGGATGGTTAAAAGGCCTTATTTATTAATAAGATAAATAAGTCCTATAATAATAATAATGAAGACGATATTTTATTTAAATTACAGTGAACGAAATGTTTTCCCAAAAATCAATTCAAAATAATTTATTTCATTAAAAATACTAGCGGCCAAATTTTTATAGGCAAGTTGCCTAATAAATATACATAAAAATTTGGTTTTTCGGCAAATAACCGATGAGCGCACTAATCCTGCAGCCAGATCTTAGACCATGAGTTAAGTTCGGTGGCGGTTGTTGTTGTTCAAATAAATTAAACACTGTTCGAAGCGTCAACTGTCTTGTTTAAAACTTGAGCTTACTTATAACTAACGTAAAATTAGGGGTAGTGGCCAGTGGGGTTGCGACCGTAACCGTTGTTAATGGGTTCTGAACTAAGTGACACATATGTATTCTATAACGAATATAAATGTCGACCTATTGTACATTCTCGGAAACGATAATGTTAGATATATTATAATTTATAATGTAAGAAAAACTAAAGGGCTCATTTATTACTACCAAAACGATTACTTTATTGGTATGCACTTTTTATAAATAGCCTAACTCGAGTAGGGAATTAAATATAAAAAGAACTAACAAAAGAATTGTATGATACCCAATAATTGGACAAGTCAGATAATAGTGACTATTTACTGATTTCGTTGCTTGGTAACCGTTCAAACAACCATTTAGTTGAACAATTGTGCTACTAAATATAATAACAAGGTACGATTATTTAGCAATTATAAATTATGTCAATTCCAGAAATAGCTTCAAAATTAGTGAAAAATTCATTTACTGAATTGAAGAAAAATAGTTCCTCTTGTACTATTATAATAGTTGGAAGTAAAAATGTGGTAAGTACCTCTTTTTAAGGGTATTACGTTGGTGACGTTACTTGCTCCTACTACTTATTCGCTTTTTGCAGGGAAAATCGTCTTTAATAAATACTTTTCTTGAAAAAAATGAAGCCCCACGAGAGACGTTGGTACTGGAATATTCTTTTGGAAGAAAGTCAATTCAAAAACATGGAATTGACAAAACTATATGTCATGTATGGGAGTACGGAGGTAAATTAGAAATGATGAAAGAAGCGCTTACTGCCGTTCCGGTAGAGCATAATTTCTATTTTTGTATTATGGTTGACTTAAATAAAAGCAGGAGTTTATGGAACGTCTTAGAAATTAGCTTGGAAACCATTGCAAACAATTATAAGAATCCAGATACGTCACCGGAAATAGTAATTATAGGAGGAAACTATGATCTTTTTAAAAACATAGGTACGTACAAGTTAAAATATACCTTTTTTCAAGCAATACAATAAAAAAGAAAGGTAGGTCTGACGATCTGAGACGGTGCTTCGTAATACATAAGTAGTAGATAAGTAATTTGGGGAAGTATCTCTAAAATTATTTATTTTCTAATACCAAACAATTTTTTTCAGAATCTGAACTGAAAAAACTCATTTGCACTACCTTAAGAAGTGTTGCATTTTTATATAAGGCACATCTCATATTTTATTCCCAAAATGAGGCACCTTTAGTGAAGAAAGCAAAGGATATGTTTTATGGAATGGGGTTTGGTAAAGGTATATCTCTGAAGGATAAAAATACAAATTATTTAAAGCCTCTTATAATACCAAAGGGTACTGACAGCTGGGAAAATATTGGTGTGTCCCCGGAAAATCTGGATCAGGTATATTTTATTAAGTAATATTTACTTGTAATTTTTGGAATAAGGTGCTACATTATCTGTTGCGTCTGTCGAGAGGGGAAAATTTTCCTTTGACGCCGGTTGCCGTACACAAATGAAACCAAAGCGAAGTGTCGACTGTAACGGGTTTTATGGACTTTTATGTTAATAAAAATTAGGGTAGTGAGGTAGTGATGCCGATTTGGCAAATAACAGAAACATGAGAGCTTTACCGAGTCTTAAAACTAGTAACAGAGAATTTACATTAAAAAATCTAAACGACAAATGTGATATGTAGAATTAATAGGAATCATCTGATATTATTTATTAAACTATGAAAAATAATATCCATATAAGTTTATCACTTTGGGGTTCATGTATTACTTATCCTTTCATTGATATTTAGGCAGGACCTCTTTATTATATCTTTACATATTAAAACATAGACTTAGCAATAATGCGAGCAAGCCCTTTGGCATTAAAAGAGTCCATAGGCGGTGGCATCACTTAACATCAGAGAAGCCTCCAGACCGCTTGGCTCCTGTTCTATAAAAAAAATGTATACTCTCTTGATACAAGCTATAATAGAGAAAACCGTTATGTTCTTGTAATTATGTGTATTTTTTTACCATCATATCACAAATCTGCATCCTTACCATCGAACAAGCAATAATTCGGCACTGCAGCGCGCGGGTACCGCAGACGCAGCGTCGACGCGATGCGAAAACAATTCGAGCTGTGTTGTGTTACTGCTTTCCAAAGAAGTTTATCCACAGATTACATCATGATACTGAACTTGAGTTCATGCTTCCGCTTTCACAGATCACAATTTGTTAATAGGTACGGAATAAAAATCTCAGCAAACATTTCTTAATTTATTATTTAAGATTTTTTTACAGATAAAAGCGCGTTATATTTCAAAAATATCGTTGGAACCGACAATAACAATCAAAAGTAATTACTCAGAGGTACAACGTACCCATCCTGAACCCATATTGGATTCGTTGGCAGCTTTAAAGTGTGAAGAATTACTTAATTTACAATATTTCGATTCTTCTATTAAAGAGCATTTATCTTGTTTAACATAAAATATGTTTTTTTAAAGACCCTCCTTGTTTTGTGCTTTCACCCTAGAATTCAGCGATAGGAGAGCTTTCTGTGCGAGGGGATGCTCAGTGATCGCTAAACTGTTTTGTAAACAGCGACGAGCTAGAATTAAATCACCAGAGGCCTGTTGAAATAAAAAATTGTTTTTTTTTATGTACTGTACTCAGGCGTTTGGCCGTCATCCTAGCTATATCTAGTGGCAATGCGGTCTAATGGTTAGAATGTCTGAGTGTGCTCCCGCTTACTAAACAGACCTATATTAAACCTGGCTAGAGACGGGTGAGAACGTCCACTCCTTTGTTGCTTTAGGATAAGATTAATTATATTCAATAGTGAAAAGCTTTTAGTGACATATTAATAAGTTCACCATACTTGGGATGTGTGGAACCGAAATCATCAGTGTCTTACAAACAGAAAGAACTTAAATTACATCAATAACATCTTAACATTAAATACTGACAAACTGTGGCTAAGATTCGGTGAACTATGTCCACCATAATATAAGGCCCATGGTTTAAACGTTCTTGCAAACAAACTTGTGTCTGAAGTCGAAACAATGCTACGTGGAGTTTCGGACTGGGGTCGACTAAATTTAGACACAAGTTTGCGTGTTTTCCGCTAAAAAATCCTCTTTGTCGCTACTGCTCTCTTCGAAGACAAACATACAAGAAGCTTGATGTGCTCAGCAAGGTGAGATGGTAGGTTCACTCCGTGCCACCTCTTGCAACGCTATAAAGCGCAAATTCGGCCATACATAGAGTATTGTTATCGTCTCTGGGCGGGAGCTCCAGTACCAGCTCCTTCCACTTGATCGTATTCAACGAAGAGCGATTCGCCTTAGAGAATGACCATAAGAATATGGTGTACCAATCCTTAAAAAGCCGGCAACGCACTTGCGAGCCTTCTGGCAATGTGAGTGTCCATGGGCAATTTGAGTGTCCATAGGCGGTATAACCTGTTATATAAAAAAAACTGAATATAAATGTTACAATCAACTTACAAAAGAAACATGCGCAAGATTGAACCAAATGTTTGATCGCGCTTCTAAACTTGTTGAAAAATAGAGGGCTTGTCTAAAACATGGAATAATAAGGTCCCATTGATTGCAGTACAAACAACACAACCCCAAATTGTTGTAAATTTCTGGTCCGGGAATGTGAGTAGCCAAGATTCGTCTGAAACCAAATTTCTGTGATATAGGGTAGCCCTAACCCAAGTGACATTAATACGTCTGATTCGTTGGAAAATATGTGATCAGCCTTTTGTGCCTTCAGCTATTAATGTTTCGCCGCCATTCAAACCTAGGCAGTCTGCTGGAACCATGTAGAATAATATTATATGTGAAAATATTATCAACAGTTTTAACTGGTAGACTGGGTACGGTTGAAACAGAGCGAATATCTCCGCAGCAGTACGACCTCTACCAAAAGCTCCTCCAAGGAAATTGACAAATATAGGGCGAAAAAGGAGAAAAATCTAGGAAATCTACAATTTACACCTGAAAATAAAAGGGAAAGAACATGAAAATATATTTAAACAAATCAAAGCTAAACAAGTAAATAAAAGGTTATATGGCGGGGAGATTAAAACAAATGCTGGGATCAGGAAAAAAGAGAACACGCAAATGCATCGTCATCATCATAAGAGGAGTGCTACTGTCTTGTATGTATCATGTATGTCACCATATTCGGAAAACAGACCGAGGGAAAAATGGATACAATGCACAGAACGTAAAATGTAGGCGCATGAAGAGTGTACAGAAGGTATTCTTTAAGGCGGAAACATACTACCAAAACGCGACGCTACACCACGCCATCCGACGCATGTCAGTACTTATCAATCCCATATATTTAATATGGTCAGATGCACATAGACAACACGCCATGTGATCACACGCGGTAACATCCAATCGATTTGGATCGGCGTGTTGTGGATGTTGTGATGATGACGCCATGCGTCAGTCTTTCGAGTTTTTGACACGAATGTCAATTTATATACTTAGATATTTTTGGATTTATTTGGCGAAATGAACGACGAATAATTAATTGAGTTGGTGAAACAATATTCTGTTTTATTCATATAAAACAGAATATTGTTTCACCATGTCATCATGAGATTATCTTAATACAAGGACCATACTCTAATATTAATACTATTAATAATACTCATAATATTCATCTGACTCTGAGTCATAAAATCCATAGGACAGTAAGCTAATTTGACCTTCACTATTGTCAGCTAAATGACTTCTGAATTTGCAAGCGTGTCGTGGTGTCGCGTGTTGGTAATGTGCATGATGGACATCGGGTGTCGACACGACACGTCGCGTCGCGTTTTAGTAGTATGTTTCCGCCTTAATTCTGTTTGCCACAATTGTGATTGCGATTGATATTTTATTAATTTAAGTATTTTTACTAAACATCCATATAAAAATATTGTTTTTATATAGAAATAATAAGTTTAGTTTTACTTATTAAGTTATAGCTGAAGTGCATTAATATTTTTGAATTTCACGACCGTGAAAATTAAATTAATTTATTAAATTTTGTTTTATTTGCATGCGTTTCAATTGACACCAGGCACTGTTTCAACCAACCCGTGTAGGGACAGTTGAAACAAATTTTTATTTATTTATTTGGCTTCACACAAAATACAATATAACGATCTCAAATAGCATTGCCCATTGGTAGACAGATAAATGATCTTTAATTTAATACATTTCTGTTATCGCTTGTACAAATAGTTCCGATGCAACAGACGACATAAGTAAAATTGTTTCAACCGTACCCAGTCTACCCTACCTTATTCACTTACCTGTAATATCTTAGAGCAATTTCTGGTTGATCATTATAGAAATTATACATAGCTATATTAGCTACGGCTTCCATGTTCGATGGATTTTGTAGTGCAACCACTCTATAATATTTAACTGCTACGGCTGAGTTACCCATCATTTCATGAATTCTTGCCTGCTCCAGTAAAAGCGGAGTATATTCGTGGAAAACGGACAATCCTTGTTTACAAACATCTAGTGCTGAAAGAGGTTGATTAAGATTAACGTACATAGCTACCAAACGTAAATAAACCGAAATGTGTTTCTGTTGCTTTAATGATCGTCTTAAACAGTCTTCAGTATTTCTATGCATTCCAAGAGCGTAATAACATCGCGCTAATGAGTAACTCCACCACCAATCGTGTTTTTCGTCGAGTTTTTTGACTTGAAATATTACTTCTATTGCCTGAAAAAGTTGAATATGTATTAAACTCTTAAGTGGCTTAGACTTTGACATGGACATTCTTGTGTTTCACGTTTAACCAGAAACATGCCTATGAGTCTCAAAGACATTCAGTGACCTGAGAATTATCATTTTTCCACACACGATGTCATATGTTTAGATCATACTTTTTTCTTACTATCGATAATCGTATCTGCGAGGCGAGAATCCCTCTTCATGTAAATAAATCTTTAGGTGTTGGTTAAAAGTCAGTTCCTAGTCAATTTTGAGAGGTCGTTTATGATGTTCAATAATATTTCTTACCTTGCGAACATTACTTTCACAATAAAATATATATTCAAACAAAGTTTTCGCTGCAGGCAAGAAATATTTATCATCTTCAGAAATAAATCTCAGGATTACAGGGGCGTCGGAATAGGTTGAACCTGCCGCTGCAGCAGTTGCAGCTCTAGAGAAACGAGAAGCTGTAAGTAAAGCGGAATGGGCAGTTCGAGCTCGAACAGCTGTTCCTGTCCTAGACCCAAGTGTAGTTGTTGCTAATCTTCGCTCTTGCTGAAACAAGGACAAGTCACTTTTTTGGAGATAAATTGATTTGAGAACTGGCAGTAAATGTAAAATTAGAAGCATTTAATATATACTTATTTCTTTATTGACGTTCATAACCTACGTTCATAACCTACCTAAATGAATAAATGATTATGAATTTTAATTTCAACATCTTAAACGCACAGTGTAATTGCAGAGAAGCAAAGTTTGAGTTCACTGATATATTTCTTGTGATTTATATATAAAAGCTAGGATAAAATAAGGTGCTACACATAGAGCAGGTTTCAACCAAGGTTTTACTCTCCACGATCGATGACTTATACTTATAGGGAGGATACATCCCTAAATTTTTGTTAAATCCTACAAATATGTAGCAATTATACATACGTTATTAGCAGTTTTTATTTCTCTTTGAAATGATGTCCCTGGTCTCGAAGTTTTAGCTATACCTGTATTTATCAAATCATCGTTATGTGCATAGAATTCAACCTCCTCGTATCCATTTCCTGCTATTTTAGCCTGCACTGTCATAGCTCGCATTCGAATAAATTCCACAAATTTATTATTAACGTTTTTGGTCACATTTTGTGAAATTTTAATACACTTGTGGTATTGCTTTGTTTTATAAAGATTTAGAATTCTGTATTCAATATCCATGGTGTTTCAAATTGGAATAATTATCAGTATGTTTGAATGCGTGGCCATGGTAACAAACATGACATACATGTAGGGATCATACAAATATCAATCAAAACAATTATTACAAAAAATACAATTACTAATATAAAAAAATTGAAATTACAAAAATCGATTTTATAGTGTGAGGGAAGCAACTATGGATATCCAGACCTAGCTCGTATATCAGAATGCTTAATCTGGACATCGGTGAGGCTTAGGCTTAGGCTTTCTTCAAAATAAGTCAAAACAGAAAAATCTAAAATTTATGTAAGCAAAGTACTTATTCATTTAAATCTCATTTTTTCTTCTGATTTATAAAAATTATTAAACACTGGTTATTTATCAATATTAAAACAATAATTAATGGTTCAAATTTTAAAATGCGAGACGAAAAACGATATTTCGATTTTTTTCCAATAAAATGCTTAAAAAACTAAAGAACATTATGAAACTTGGCTTGCTAGCCCGGTCAATTTAGACCAAAAAATGAGAGTGAAGTTACATAAAGTCCCAACAAGCTG